TGCATTCACGCCACTGCAAGGAAATCCGGCCTCCTTTCAAGTTAGGGCTTCTCGCTGTATATTCCACTTGCGGCAGCAAACTCGGTGTCCCTCCCACATACCTATTGCTGAGGAAGCCTACTCTTTCGGTTTGTCTGGAAAGATGGCATAAGTGTTGAGTCTAAGCTAGGGAATCTGCTCTCATCTCGAGACGATCTGGGGTACACGGACCATTCCTCGAGTTGCTGTGCTGAAGTTGGTGTTCTTCTAGACTTGGGACAGTGTCCTTGGGGAATCTCTGGAATTGTGTGAAGGAAGTCGAGCCACTGGTGTTATTTAATGGGGATGGGGGAAGGCTCTGGAGTCAATGCAGGGGAATCTGGCCTCATCTCGAGTTGATTTGGGGCACATAGAGCTGCTTTGCGTTGCTGGGGTGACCTCAGTGACCGTCTAGACTTGTGACAGTGTTCTTGGGGACTGTCTTGAGATCCATTAACCAAGTCGAAGCTCCTTACATGTTTGATGGAGATCACAGAATCGCTCTGCATGAAATGCAGCGGAATCGGGCCTCATCCAACTTCTAGGGGGAAGTCACATGGTTTTGCTCGATTTTCGGTGGCGACCTGGGGTATCTTCTCGAGTTAAGGCGGGGATGGCCCTTCAAAACACGTGTTTATATAGTGATGTCACGTCTCCTGTCCAGTAACGAGGGACACGTCAGGAATCTCTTTGAGTCTTGGCAGGGTAAAACGAACGCTTCTCGAGGTAAGGCAGGGCACCCAAGGACCCTTTCCAGTAGTCACAGGGATTTGGGGATTCCTAACAATGTTCAAGAGGAGTCATGCATCGTCACCCTTTGAAGTAGTGATCTCCGAGTACCTCTCGATGTGTCAAAGGGATGTGAGGCATTCCGTCAAAATGAGGCAGGGACCTAGATCTTTCTCTAACGTCTCGACAGGGGATTCAGACATCCCTTCCTGTTGTGACATGAAAGACGAGCCTGTATTCACACCACTGCAAGGAAATCCGACCTCCTTTCAAGTTAGGGCTTCTCACTGTATATTCCATTTGAGGCAGCAAACTCGGGGTCCCTCCCACATAACTATTGTTGAAAGAAGCCTCCTCTTTCGGTGTTTTTGGAAAGTTGGCCTACGTCTTGGGCCTAAGCCAGGGAATCAGCTCTCATCTCGAGACAATTAGGGGTACATGGAGCATTCCTCGAGTTGCTGTGCTGAAGTTGGTGTTCTTCTAGACTTGCGACAGTGTTCTCAGGCAATCTCTGGAGTTGCCTGAAGGAAGTCAAACCACTAGTCCTGTTTAATGGGGAAAGGGGGATGGCTCTGGAAGCAATGCAGGGGAATCGGGCCTCATCTCGAGTTGATTTGTTGCACATGAAACTGCTTTGTTTTGCTGGGGTGACGTCAGTGTCCGTCTAGACTTGTGACAGTGTTCTTGGGGACTGTCTCGAGATCCATTCATCTACTGAAAGCTCCTTACATGTTTGATGATGGTCACGGAATTGTTCTGCATGCAATGCAGGGGAATCGGGCCTCATCTCGCATCTAGGGGGATGTCTCCTGGTTTTTCTCGACTTGCGGCGGGGACCTGGTGTATGTTCTTGAGTTACGGTGGGGATGGCCCTTCAAAACACGTGTTTATTCAGTGACGTCAGGACTCCTGTCTAGTAACGAGGGACACCTCAGGAATCTCTTTGAGGCTTGGCAGGGCAAAAAGGGACGCTTCTCGAGGTGAGGCAGGGCACCCAAGGTCCCTTTCCAATAGTTACATGTATTCTGGGATTCCTAACAATGTTCAAGAGGAGTCTTGCATCGTCACTCTTTGAAGTAGTGATCTCCGGGTTCCTCTCGATATGTCAAAGGGATGTGAGGCATTCCGTCAAAATGAGGCAGGGACCTAAATCTTTCTCTAACGTCTCGACAGGGTGTCAGACATCCCTTCAAGTTGTGAGATGATAGACGAGCCTGTATTCACGCCACTGCAAGGAAGTCCGGCCTCCTTTCAAGTTAGGGCTTCTCGCTGTATATTCCATTTGAGGCAGCAAACTCGGGGTCTCTCCCACATAACTATTGTTGAAAGAAGCCTCCTCTTTCGGTGTTTCTGGAAAGTTGGCATACGTCTTGGGCCTAAGCCAGGGAATCAGCTCTCATCTCGAGACAATTAGGGGTACATGGAGCATTCCTCGAGTTGCTGTGCTGAAGTTGGTGTTCTTCTAGACTTGCGACAGTGTTCTCAGGCAATCTCTGGAGTTGCCTGAAGGAAGTCAAACCACTAGTCCTGTTTAATGGGGAAAGGGGGATGGCTCTGGAAGCAATGCAGGGGAATCGGGCCTCATCTCGAGTTGATTTGTTGCACATGAAACTGCTTTGCTTTGCTGGGGTGACGTCAGTGTCCGTCTAGACTTGTGACAGTGTTCTTGGGGACTGTCTCGAGATCCATTCATCTAGTGAAAGCTCCTTACATGTTTGATGATGGTCACGGAATTGTTCTGCATGCAATGCAGGGGAATCGGGCCTCATCTCGCATCTAGGGGGATGTCTCCTGGTTTTTCTCGACTTGCGGCGGGGACCTGGTGTATGTTCTTGAGTTACGGCAGGGAAGGCCCTTGAAAACATGTGTTTATTCAGTGACGTCAGGACTCCTGTCTAGTAACGAGGGACACCTCAGGAATCTCTTCAAGGCTTGGCATTACAAAAGGGACGCTTCTCGAGGTGAGGCAGGGTAACCAAGGACACTTTCCAGGAGCCACAGGGATTTGGGGATTCCTAACATTGTTCAAGAGGAGTCAGGCATCGTGACATTTTCAAGCAGTGAACTCTGCCTGCCTCTCGAGGTGCCAAATGAATGTGAGGCATTCCGTCACAATGAGGCAGGGACCTAGAGCTTTCTTTAAGGTCTCGACAGGGGATTCAGACATCCCTTCATGTTGTGAGATGAAAGATGAGCCTGTATTCAAGCCACTGCAAGGAAATCTGGCCTCCTTTCAAGTTAGGGCTTCTCGCTGTATATTCCACTTGAGGCAGCAAACTCGGGGTCCCTCCCACATACCTATTGCTGAGGAAGCCTCCTCTTTCGGTGTTTCTGGAATGTTGGCATAAGTGTTGAGTCTAAGCCAGGGAATCAGCTCTCATCTCGAGACAATTTGGGGTACACGGAGCATTCCTCGAGTTGCTGTGCTGAAGTTGGTGTTCTTCTAGACTTGGGACAGTGTTCTCGGGGAATCTCTGGAGTTGCCTGAAGGAAGTCGAGCCAATGGTTGTGTTTAATGGGGAATGGGGAATGGCTCTGGAATCATTGCAGGTGAATCAATCCTCTTCTCGAGTTGATTTGGGGCACGTGGAGCTGCTTTTCATTGCTGGGGTGACCTCAGGGTCCGTCTAGACTTGTGACAGTGTTCTTGGGGACTGTCTTGAGATCCATTAACTAAGTCGAAGCTCCTTACAGGTTTGATGGAGATCATGGAATGGCTCTGATGCAATGCAGGGGAATTGGGCCTCATCTCGCCTCTAGGGGGAAGTCACATGGTTTTTCTCGATTTTCCGCGGCGACCTGGGGTATGTTCTCGAGGTACAGCGGGGATGGCCCTTCAAAACACGTGTTTATTCAGTGACAACAGGACTCCTGTCTAGTAATGAGGGACACCTCAGGAATATTTTGAGGCTTGGCAGGGCAAAAGGGATGCTTCTCGAGGTGAGGCAGGGCACCCAAGGACCCTTTTCAGGAGCCACAGGGATTTGAGATTCATAACATTTTTCAAGAGGAGTCAGGCATCGTGACATTTTGAGGCAGTGAACTCCGCCTGCCTCTCGAGCTGCCATATGGATGTGAGGCATTCCGTCAATGAGGCAGGGACCTAGAGCTCTGCTAAGGTCTCGACAGGGGATTCAGACATCCCTTCATGTTTGAGATGAAAGACGAGCCTGTATTCAAGCCACTGCAAGGAAATCCGGCCTCCTTTCAAGTTAGGGCTTCTCGCTGTATATTCCACTTGAGGCAGCAAACTCGGGGTCCCTCCCACATACCTATTGCTGAGGAAGCCTCCTCTCTCACTGCCTCTGGAAAGTTGGCATAAGTTTTGAGTCTAAGCCGGGGAATCAGCTCTCATCTCGAGACGATTAGGGGTACACGGAACATTCCTCGAGTTGCTGTGCTGAAGTTCGTGTTCTTCTAGAGCTGGGACAGTGTCCTTGGGGAATATCTGGAATTGTGTGAAGGAAGTCGAGCCACTGTCCGTATTTAATGTGTAACGGGGGTTGGCTCTGGAGTCAATGAAGGGGAATCTGACCTCATCTCGAGTTGATTTGGGGCACATGGAGCTGCTTTGCATTGCTGGCATGACCTCAGGGCCCGTCTAGACTTGTGACAGTGTTCTTGGGGACTGTCTTGAGATCCAAAAACCAAGTCGAAGCTCCTTACATGTTTGATGGAGATCACAGAATGGCTCTGCATGCAATGCAGGGGAATCGGGCCTCATCTCGCCTCTAGGGGGAAGTCACATGGTTTTTCTCGATTTTCGGCGGCGACCTGGGGAATGTTCTCGAGTTTCAGCGGGGATGGCCCTTCAAAACACGTGTTTATACAGTGATGTCACGACTCCTGTCTAGTAACGAGGGACACCTCAGAAATCTCTTTGAGGCTTGGCAGGGCAAAAAGGGACGCTTCTCGAAGTGAGGCAGGGCACCCAAGGTCCCTTTCCAATAGTTACATGTATTTTGGGATTCCTAACAATGTTCAAGAGGAGTCTTGCATCATCACCCTTTGAAGTAGTGATCTCCGGGTTCCTCTCGATGTGTCAAAGGGATCTGAGGCATTCCGTCAAAATGAGGCAGGGACCTAGATCTTTCTCTAACGTCTCGACAGGGTACCAGACATCCCTTCATGTTGTGAGATGATAGACGAGCCTGTATTCACGCCACTGCAAGGAAATCCGGCCTCCTTTCAAGTTAGGGCTTCTCGCTGTATATTCAATTTGAGGCAGCAAACTCGGGGTTCCTCCCACATACCTATTGCTAAGAGAAGCCTCCTCTCTCGGTGTCTCTGGAAAGTTGGCATAAGTTTTGAGCCTAAACCAGGGAATCAGCTCTCATGTCAAGACGATTAGGGGTACAAGGAGCATTCCTCGAGTTGCTGTGCAGAAGTTGGTGTTCTTCTAGACTTGGGACAGTGTTCTCAGGGAATCTCTGGAGTTGCCTGAAGGAAGTCAAACCACTGGTCGTGTTTAATGGGGAAAGGGGGATGGCTCTTGAATCAATGCAGGGGAATCGGGCCTCATCTCGAGTTGATTTGCTGCACATGCAGCTGCTTTTCTTTGCTGGGGTGACCTCAGGGTCCGTCTAGACTTGTGACAGTGTTCTTGGGGACTATCTCAAGATCCATTAATCGAGTCGAAGGTCCTTACATGTTTGATGATGATCACGGAATTGTTCTGCATGCAATGCAGGGGAATCAGGCCTCATCTCGCATCTAGGGGGCAGTCTCCTGGTTATTCTCGAGTTGAGGCGGGGACCTGGTGTATATTCTCGAGTTTCGGCGGGGATGCCCCTTTAAAACATGTGTTTATTCAGTGACGTCAGGACATCTGTCTAGTAACGGGGGACACCTCAGGAATCTCTTCGAGGCTTGGCATTGCTAAAGAGACGCTTCTCGAGGAGAGGCAGGCCACCCAAGGACCCTTTCCAGGAGCCACAGGGATTCTGGGATTCCTAACATTGTTCAAGAGGAGTCAGGCATCGTCACCTTTTGAAGCAGTGAACTCCGCCTGCCTCTCGAGGTGCCAAATTTATGAGAGGCATTCCGTCAAAATGAGGCAGGGACCTAGATCTTTCTCTAAGGTCTCGAGAGGGGATTCAGACATCTCTTCATGTTGTGAGATGAAAGACAGGCCTGCATTCACGCCACTGCAAGGAAATCCGGCCTCCTTTCAAGTTAGGGCTTCTCGCTGTATATTCCACTTGCGGCAGCAAACTCGGTGTCCCTCCCACATACCTATTGCTGAGGAAGCCTACTCTTTCGGTTTGTCTGGAAAGATGGCATAAGTGTTGAGTCTAAGCTAGGGAATCTGCTCTCATCTCGAGACGATCTGGGGTACATGGACCATTCCTCGAGTTGCTGTGCTGAAGTTGGTGTTCTTCTAGACTTGGGACAGTGTCCTTGGGGAATCTCTGGAATTGTGTGAAGGAAGTCGAGCCACTGGTCTTATTTAATGGGGATGGGGGAAGGCTCTGGAGTCAATGCAGGGGAATCTGGCCTCATCTCGAGTTGATTTGGGGCACATAGAGCTGCTTTGCGTTGCTGGGGTGACCTCAGTGACCGTCTGGACTTGTGACAGTGTTCTTGGGGACTGTCTTGAGATCCATTAACCAAGTCGAAGCTCCTTACATGTTTGATGGAGATCACAGAATCGCTCTGCATGAAATGCAGCGGAATCGGGCCTCATCCAACTTCTAGGGGGAAGTCACATGGTTTTGCTCGATTTTCGGTGGCGACCTGGGGTATCTTCTCGAGTTAAGGCGGGGATGGCCCTTCAAAACACGTGTTTATATAGTGATGTCACGTCTCCTGTCCAGTAACGAGGGACACGTCAGGAATCTCTTTGAGGCTTGGCAGGGTAAAACGAACGCTTCTCGAGGTAAGGCAGGGCACCCAAGGTCCCTTTCCAATAGTTACATGTATTCTGGGATTCCTAACAATGTTCAAGAGGAGTCTTGCATCGTCACTCTTTGAAGTAGTGATCTCCGGGATCCTCTCGATATGTCAAAGGGATGTGAGGCATTCCGTCAAAATGAGGCAGGGACCTAGATCTTTCTCTAACGTCTCGACAGGGTATTCAGACATCCCTTCATGTTGTGAGATGATAGCCGAGCCTGTATTCACGCCACTATAAGGAAATCCGGCCTCCTTTCAAGTTAGGGCTTCTCGCTGTATATTCAATTTGAGGCAGCAAACTCGGGGTCTCTCCCACATAACTATTGTTGAAAGAAGCCTCCTCTTTCGGTGTTTCTGGAAAGTTGGCATACGTCTTGGGCCTAAGCCAGGGAATCAGCTCTCATCTCGAGACAATTAGGGGTACATGGAGCATTCCTCGAGTTGCTGTGCTGAAGTTGGTGTTCTTCTAGACTTGCGACAGTGTTCTCAGGCAATCTCTGGAGTTGCCTGAAGGAAGTCAAACCACTAGTCCTGTTTAATGGGGAAAGGGGGATGGCTCTGGAAGCAATGCAGGGGAATCGGGCCTCATCTCGAGTTGATTTGTTGCACATGAAACTGCTTTGCTTTGCTGGAGTGACGTCAGTGTCCGTCTAGACTTGTGACAGTGTTCTTGGGGACTGTCTCGAGATCCATTCATCTAGTGAAAGCTCCTTACATGTTTGATGATGGTCACGGAATTGTTCTGCATGCAATGCAGGGGAATCGGGCCTCATCTCGCATCTAGGGGGATGTCTCCTGGTTTTTCTCGACTTGCGGCGGGGACCTGGTGTATGTTCTTGAGTTACGGCAGGGATGGCCCTTGAAAACATGTGTTTATTCAGTGACGTCAGGACTCCTGTCTAGTAACGAGGGACACCTCAGGAATCTCTTCAAGGCTTGGCATTACAAAAGGGACGCTTCTCGAGGTGAGGCAGGGTAACCAAGGACACTTTCCAGGAGCCACAGGGATTTGGGGATTCCTAACATTGTTCAAGAGGAGTCAGGCATCGTGACATTTTCAAGCAGTGAACTCTGCCTGCCTCTCGAGGTGCCAAATGAATGTGAGGCATTCCGTCACAATGAGGCAGGGACCTAGAGCTTTCTTTAAGGTCTCGACAGGGGATTCAGACATCCCTTCATGTTGTGAGATGAAAGATGAGCCTGTATTCAAGCCACTGCAAGGAAATCTGGCCTCCTTTCAAGTTAGGGCTTCTCGCTGTATATTCCACTTGAGGCAGCAAACTCGGGGTCCCTCCCACATACCTATTGCTGAGGAAGCCTCCTCTTTCGGTGTTTCTGGAATGTTGGCATAAGTGTTGAGTCTAAGCCAGGGAATCAGCTCTCATCTCGAGACAATTTGGGGTACACGGAGCATTCCTCGAGTTGCTGTGCTGAAGTTGGTGTTCTTCTAGACTTGGGACAGTGTTCTCGGGGAATCTCTGGAGTTGCCTGAAGGAAGTCGAGCCAATGGTCGTGTTTAATGGGGAATGGGGAATGGCTCTGGAATCATTGCAGGTGAATCAATCCTCTTCTCGAGTTGATTTGGGGCACGTGGAGCTGCTTTGCATTGCTGGGGTGACCTCAGGGTCCGTCTAGACTTGTGACAGTGTTCTTGGGGACTGTCTTGAGATCCATTAACTAAGTCGAAGCTCCTTACAGGTTTGATGGAGATCATGGAATGGCTCTGATGCAATGCAGGGGAATTGGGCCTCATCTCGCCTCTAGGGGGAAGTCACATGGTTTTTCTCGATTTTCCGCGGCGACCTGGGGTATGTTCTCGAGGTACAGCGGGGATGGCCCTTCAAAACACGTGTTTATTCAGTGACAACAGGACTCCTGTCTAGTAATGAGGGACACCTCAGGAATATTTTGAGGCTTGGCAGGGCAAAAGGGACGCTTCTCGAGGTGAGGCAGGGCACCCAAGGACCCTTTCAGGAGCCACAGGGATTTGAGATTCATAACATTTTTCAAGAGGAGTCAGGCATCGTGACATTTTGAGGCAGTGAACTCCGCCTGCCTCTCGAGCTGCCATATGGATGTGAGGCATTCCGTCAATGAGGCAGGGACCTAGAGCTCTGCTAAGGTCTCGACAGGGGATTCAGACATCCCTTCATGTTTGAGATGAAAGACGAGCCTGTATTCAAGCCACTGCAAGGAAATCCGGCCTCCTTTCAAGTTAGGGCTTCTCGCTGTATATTCCACTTGAGGCAGCAAACTCGGGGTCCCTCCCACATACCTATTGCTGAGGAAGCCTCCTCTTTCGGTGTTTCTGGAATGTTGGCATAAGTGTTGAGTCTAAGCCAGGGAATCAGCTCTCATCTCGAGACAATTTGGGGTACACGGAGCATTCCTCGAGTTGCTGTGCTGAAGTTGGTGTTCTTCTAGACTTGGGACAGTGTTCTCGGGGAATCTCTGGAGTTGCCTGAAGGAAGTCGAGCCAATGGTCGTGTTTAATGGGGAATGGGGAATGGCTCTGGAATCATTGCAGGTGAATCAATCCTCTTCTCGAGTTGATTTGGGGCACGTGGAGCTGCTTTGCATTGCTGGGGTGACCTCAGGGTCCGTCTAGACTTGTGACAGTGTTCTTGGGGACTGTCTTGAGATCCATTAACTAAGTCGAAGCTCCTTACAGGTTTGATGGAGATCATGGAATGGCTCTGATGCAATGCAGGGGAATTGGGCCTCATCTCGCCTCTAGGGGGAAGTCACATGGTTTTTCTCGATTTTCCGCGGCGACCTGGGGTATGTTCTCGAGGTACAGCGGGGATGGCCCTTCAAAACACGTGTTTATTCAGTGACAACAGGACTCCTGTCTAGTAATGAGGGACACCTCAGGAATATTTTGAGGCTTGGCAGGGCAAAAGGGACGCTTCTCAAGGTGAGGCAGGGCACCCAAGGACCCTTTTCAGGAGCCACAGGGATTTGAGATTCATAACATTTTTCAAGAGGAGTCAGGCATCGTGACATTTTGAGGCAGTGAACTCCGCCTGCCTCTCGAGCTGCCATATGGATGTGAGGCATTCCGTCAATGAGGCAGGGACCTAGAGCTCTGCTAAGGTCTCGACAGGGGATTCAGACATCCCTTCATGTTTGAGATGAAAGACGAGCCTGTATTCAAGCCACTGCAAGGAAATCCGGCCTCCTTTCAAGTTAGGGCTTCTCGCTGTATATTCCACTTGAGGCAGCAAACTCGGGGTCCCTCCCACATACCTATTGCTGAGGAAGCCTCCTCTCTCGCTGTCTCTGGAAAGTTGGCATAAGTTTTGAGTCTAAGCCGGGGAATCAGCTCTCATCTCGAGACGATTAGGGGTACACGGAACATTCCTCGAGTTGCTGTGCTGAAGTTCGTGTTCTTCTAGAGCTGGGACAGTGTCCTTGGGGAATATCTGGAATTGTGTGAAGGAAGTCGAGCCACTGGCCGTATTTAATGTGTAACGGGGGTTGGCTCTGGAGTCAATGAAGGGGAATCTGACCTCATCTCGAGTTGATTTGGGGCACATGGAGCTGCTTTGCATTGCTGGCGTAACCTCAGGGCCCGTCTAGACTTGTGACAGTGTTCTTGGGGACTGTCTTGAGATCCAAAAACCAAGTCGAAGCTCCTTACATGTTTGATGGAGATCACAGAATGGCTCTGCATGCAATGCAGGGGAATCGGGCCTCATCTCGCCTCTAGGGGGAAGTCACATGGTTTTTCTCGATTTTCGGCGGCGACCTGGGGAATGTTCTCGAGTTTCAGCGGGGATGGCCCTTCAAAACACGTGTTTATATAGTGATGTCACGACTCCTGTTTAGTAACGAGGGACACCTCAGAAATCTCTTTGAGGCTTGGCAGGGCAAAAAGGGACGCTTCTCGAAGTGAGGCAGGGCACCCAAGGTCCCTTTCCAATAGTTACATGTATTTTGGGATTCCTAACAATGTTCAAGAGGAGTCTTGCATCATCACCTTTTGAAGTAGTGATCTCCGGGTTCCTCTCGATGTGTCAAAGGGATCTGAGGCATTCCGTCAAAATGAGGCAGGGACCTAGATCTTTCTCTAACGTCTCGACAGGGTACCAGACATCCCTTCATGTTGTGAGATGATAGACGAGCCTGTATTCACGCCACTGCAAGGAAATCCGGCCTCCTTTCAAGTTAGGGCTTCTCGCTGTATATTCAATTTGAGGCAGCAAACTCGGGGTTCCTCCCACATACCTATTGCTAAGAGAAGCCTCCTCTCTCGGTGTCTCTGGAAAGTTGGCATACGTCTTGAGCCTAAACCAGGGAATCAGCTCTCATGTCAAGACGATTAGGGGTACAAGGAGCATTCCTCGAGTTGCTGTGCAGATGTTGGTGTTCTTCTAGACTTGGGACAGTGTTCTCAGGGAATCTCTGGAGTTGCCTGAAGGAAGTCAAACCACTGGTCGTGTTTAATGGGGAAAGGGGGATGGCTCTTGAATCAATGCAGGGGAATCGGGCCTCATCTCGAGTTGATTTGCTGCACATGCAGCTGCTTTTCTTTGCTGGGGTGACCTCAGGGTCCGTCTAGACTTGTGACAGTGTTCTTGGGGACTATCTCAAGATCCATTAATTGAGTCGAAGGTCCTTACATGTTTGATGATGATCACGGAATTGTTCTGCATGCAATGCAGGGGAATCGGGCCTCATCTCGCATCTAGGGGGCAGTCTCCTGGTTTTTCTCGAGTTGAGGCGGGGACCTGGTGTATATTCTCGAGTTTCGGCGGGGATGCCCCTTTAAAACATGTGTTTATTCAGTGACGTCAGGACATCTGTCTAGTAACAGGGGACACCTCAGGAATCTCTTCGAGGCTTGGCATTGCAAAAGAGACGCTTCTCGAGGAGAGGCAGGCCACCCAAGGACCCTTTCCAGGAGCCACAGGGATTCTGGGATTCCTAACATTGTTCAAGAGGAGTCAGGCATCGTCACCTTTTGAAGCAGTGAACTCTGCCTGCCTCTCGAGGTGCCAAATTTATGAGAGGCATTCCGTCAAAATGAGGCAGGGACCTAGATCTTTCTCTAAGGTCTCGAGAGGGTATTCAGACATCTCTTCATGTTGTGAGATGAAAGACAGGCCTGCATTCACGCCACTGCAAGGAAATCCGGCCTCCTTTCAAGTTAGGGCTTCTCGCTGTATATTCCACTTGCGGCAGCAAACTCGGTGTCCCTCCCACATACCTATTGCTGAGGAAGCCTACTCTTTCGGTTTGTCTGGAAAGATGGCATAAGTGTTGAGTCTAAGCTAGGGAATCTGCTCTCATCTCGAGACAATCTGGGGTACACGGACCATTCCTCGAGTTGCTGTGCTGAAGTTGGTGTTCTTCTAGACTTGGGACAGTGTCCTTGGGGAATCTCTGGAATTGTGTGAAGGAAGTCGAGCCACTGGTCTTATTTAATGGGGATGGGGGAAGGCTCTGGAGTCAATGCAGGGGAATCTGGCCTCATCTCGAGTTGATTTGGGGCACATAGAGCTGCTTTGCGTTGCTGGGGTGACCTCAGGGTCCGTCTAGACTTGTGACAGTGTTCTTGGGGACTGTCTTGAGATCCATTAACCAAGTCGAAGCTCCTTACATGTTTGATGGAGATCACAGAATCGCTCTGCATTAAATGCAGCGGAATCGGGCCTCATCCAACTTCTAGGGGGAAGTCACATGGTTTTGCTCGATTTTCGGTGGCGACCTGGGGTATCTTCTCGAGTTAAGGCGGGGATGGCCCTTCAAAACACGTGTTTATATAGTGATGTCACGTCTCCTGTCCAGTAACGAGGGACACGTCAGGAATCTCTTTGAGGCTTGGCAGGGTAAAACGAACGCTTCTCGAGGTAAGGCAGGGCACCCAAGGACCCTTTCCAGTAGTCACAGGGATTTGGGGATTCCTAACAATGTTCAAGAGGAGTCATGCATCATCACCCTTTGAAGTAGTGATCTCCGAGTGCCTCTCGATGTGTCAAAGGGATGTGAGGCATTCCGTCAAAATGAGGCAGGGACCTAGATCTTTCTCTAACGTCTCGACAGGGGATTCAGACATCCCTTCATGTTGTGACATGAAAGACGAGCCTGTATTCACACCACTGCAAGGAAATCCGGCCTCCTTTCAAGTTAGGGCTTCTCACTGTATATTCCATTTGAGGCAGCAAACTCGGGGTCCCTCCCACATAACTATTGTTGAAAGAAGCCTCCTCTTTCGGTGTTTCTGGAAAGTTGGCATACGTCTTGGGCCTAAGCCAGGGAATCAGCTCTCATCTCGAGACAATTAGGGGTACATGGAGCATTCCTCGAGTTGCTGTGCTGAAGTTGGTGTTCTTCTAGACTTGCGACAGTGTTCTCAGGCAATCTCTGGAGTTGCCTGAAGGAAGTCAAACCACTATTCCTGTTTAATGGGGAAAGGGGGATGGCTCTGGAAGCAATGCAGGGGAATCGGGCCTCATCTCGAGTTGATTTGTTGCACATGAAACTGCTTTGTTTTGCTGGGGTGACGTCAGTGTCCGTCTAGACTTGTGACAGTGTTCTTGGGGACTGTCTCGAGATCCATTCATCTAGTGAAAGCTCCTTACATGTTTGATGATGGTCACGGAATTGTTCTGCATGCAATGCAGGGGAATCGGGCCTCATCTCGCATCTAGGGGGATGTCTCCTGGTTTTTCTCGACTTGCGGCGGGGACCTGGTGTATGTTCTTGAGTTACGGCAGGGAAGGCCCTTGAAAACATGTGTTTATTCAGTGACGTCAGGACTCCTGTCTAGTAACGAGGGACACCTCAGGAATCTCTTCAAGGCTTGGCATTACAAAAGGGACGCTTCTCGAGGTGAGGCAGGGTAACCAAGGACACTTTCCAGGAGCCACAGGGATTTGGGGATTCCTAACATTGTTCAAGAGGAGTCAGGCATCGTGACATTTTCAAGCAGTGAACTCTGCCTGCCTCTCGAGGTGCCAAATGAATGTGAGGCATTCCGTCACAATGAGGCAGGGACCTAGAGCTTTCTTTAAGGTCTCGACAGGGGATTCAGACATCCCTTCATGTTGTGAGATGAAAGATGAGCCTGTATTCAAGCCACTGCAAGGAAATCTGGCCTCCTTTCAAGTTAGGGCTTCTCGCTGTATATTCCACTTGAGGCAGCAAACTCGGGGTCCCTCCCACATACCTATTGCTGAGGAAGCCTCCTCTTTCGGTGTTTCTGGAATGTTGGCATAAGTGTTGAGTCTAAGCCAGGGAATCAGCTCTCATCTCGAGACAATTTGGGGTACACGGAGCATTCCTCGAGTTGCTGTGCTGAAGTTGGTGTTCTTCTAGACTTGGGACAGTGTCCTTGGGGAATCTCTGGAGTTGCCTGAAGGAAGTCGAGCCACTGGTCTTATTTAATGGGGATGGGGGAAGGCTCTGGAGTCAATGCAGGGGAATCTGGCCTCATCTCGAGTTGATTTGGGGCACATAGAGCTGCTTTGCGTTGCTGGGGTGACCTCAGGGTCCGTCTAGACTTGTGACAGTGTTCTTGGGGACTGTCTTGAGATCCATTAACCAAGTCGAAGCTCCTTACATGTTTGATGGAGATCACAGAATCGCTCTGCATTAAATGCAGCGGAATCGGGCCTCATCCAACTTCTAGGGGGAAGTCACATGGTTTTGCTCGATTTTCGGTGGCGACCTGGGGTATCTTCTCGAGTTAAGGCGGGGATGGCCCTTCAAAACACGTGTTTATATAGTGATGTCACGTCTCCTGTCCAGTAACGAGGGACACGTCAGGAATCTCTTTGAGGCTTGGCAGGGTAAAACGAACGCTTCTCGAGGTAAGGCAGGGCACCCAAGGACCCTTTCCAGTAGTCACAGGGATTTGGGGATTCCTAACAATGTTCAAGAGGAGTCATGCATCATCACCCTTTGAAGTAGTGATCTCCGAGTGCCTCTCGATGTGTCAAAGGGATGTGAGGCATTCCGTCAAAATGAGGCAGGGACCTAGATCTTTCTCTAACGTCTCGACAGGGGATTCAGACATCCCTTCATGTTGTGACATGAAAGACGAGCCTGTATTCACACCACTGCAAGGAAATCCGGCCTCCTTTCAAGTTAGGGCTTCTCACTGTATATTCCATTTGAGGCAGCAAACTCGGGGTCCCTCCCACATAACTATTGTTGAAAGAAGCCTCCTCTTTCGGTGTTTCTGGAAAGTTGGCATACGTCTTGGGCCTAAGCCAGGGAATCAGCTCTCATCTCGAGACAATTAGGGGTACATGGAGCATTCCTCGAGTTGCTGTGCTGAAGTTGGTGTTCTTCTAGACTTGCGACAGTGTTCTCAGGCAATCTCTGGAGTTGCCTGAAGGAAGTCAAACCACTATTCCTGTTTAATGGGGAAAGGGGGATGGCTCTGGAAGCAATGCAGGGGAATCGGGCCTCATCTCGAGTTGATTTGTTGCACATGAAACTGCTTTGTTTTGCTGGGGTGACGTCAGTGTCCGTCTAGACTTGTGACAGTGTTCTTGGGGACTGTCTCGAGATCCATTCATCTAGTGAAAGCTCCTTACATGTTTGATGATGGTCACGGAATTGTTCTGCATGCAATGCAGGGGAATCGGGCCTCATCTCGCATCTAGGGGGATGTCTCCTGGTTTTTCTCGACTTGCGGCGGGGACCTGGTGTATGTTCTTGAGTTACGGCAGGGAAGGCCCTTGAAAACATGTGTTTATTCAGTGACGTCAGGACTCCTGTCTAGTAACGAGGGACACCTCAGGAATCTCTTCAAGGCTTGGCATTACAAAAGGGACGCTTCTCGAGGTGAGGCAGGGTAACCAAGGACACTTTCCAGGAGCCACAGGGATTTGGGGATTCCTAACATTGTTCAAGAGGAGTCAGGCATCGTGACATTTTCAAGCAGTGAACTCTGCCTGCCTCTCGAGGTGCCAAATGAATGTGAGGCATTCCGTCACAATGAGGCAGGGACCTAGAGCTTTCTTTAAGGTCTCGACAGGGGATTCAGACATCCCTTCATGTTGTGAGATGAAAGATGAGCCTGTATTCAAGCCACTGCAAGGAAATCTGGCCTCCTTTCAAGTTAGGGCTTCTCGCTGTATATTCCACTTGAGGCAGCAAACTCGGGGTCCCTCCCACATACCTATTGCTGAGGAAGCCTCCTCTTTCGGTGTTTCTGGAATGTTGGCATAAGTGTTGAGTCTAAGCCAGGGAATCAGCTCTCATCTCGAGACAATTTGGGGTACACGGAGCATTCCTCGAGTTGCTGTGCTGAAGTTGGTGTTCTTCTAGACTTGGGACAGTGTTCTCGGGGAATCTCTGGAGTTGCCTGAAGGAAGTCGAGCCAATGGTCGTGTTTAATGGGGAATGGGGAATGGCTCTGGAATCATTGCAGGTGAATCAATCCTCTTCTCGAGTTGATTTGGGGCACGTGGAGCTGCTTTGCATTGCTGGGGTGACCTCAGGGTCCGTCTAGACTTGTGACAGTGTTCTTGGGGACTGTCTTGAGATCCATTAACTAAGTCGAAGCTCCTTACAGGTTTGATGGAGATCATGGAATGGCTCTGATGCAATGCAGGGGAATTGGGCCTCATCTCGCCTCTAGGGGGAAGTCACATGGTTTTTCTCGATTTTCCGCGGCGACCTGGGGTATGTTCTCGAGGTACAGCGGGGATGGCCCTTCAAAACACGTGTTTATTCAGTGACAACAGGACTCCTGTCTAGTAATGAGGGACACCTCAGGAATATTTTGAGGCTTGGCAGGGCAAAAGGGATGCTTCTCGAGGTGAGGCAGGGCACCCAAGGACCCTTTTCAGGAGCCACAGGGATTTGAGATTCATAACATTTTTCAAGAGGAGTCAGGCATCGTGACATTTTGAGGCAGTGAACTCCGCCTGCCTCTCGAGCTGCCATATGGATGTGAGGCATTCCGTCAATGAGGCAGGGACCTAGAGCTCTGCTAAGGTCTCGACAGGGGATTCAGACATCCCTTCATGTTTGAGATGAAAGACGAGCCTGTATTCAAGCCACTGCAAGGAAATCCGGCCTCCTTTCAAGTTAGGGCTTCTCGCTGTATATTCCACTTGAGGCAGCAAACTCGGGGTCCCTCCCACATACCTATTGCTGAGGAAGCCTCCTCTCTCACTGCCTCTGGAAAGTTGGCATAAGTTTTGAGTCTAAGCCGGGGAATCAGCTCTCATCTCGAGACGATTAGGGGTACACGGAACATTCCTCGAGTTGCTGTGCTGAAGTTCGTGTTCTTCTAGAGCTGGGACAGTGTCCTTGGGGAATATCTGGAATTGTGTGAAGGAAGTCGAGCCACTGGCCGTATTTAATGTGTAACGGGGGTTGGCTCTGGAGTCAATGAAGGGGAATCTGACCTCATCTCGAGTTGATTTGGGGCACATGGAGCTGCTTTGCATTGCTGGCGTGACCTCAGGGCCCGTCTAGACTTGTGACAGTGTTCTTGGGGACTGTCTTGAGATCCAAAAACCAAGTCGAAGCTCCTTACATGTTTGATGGAGATCACAGAATGGCTCTGCATGCAATGCAGGGGAATCGGGCCTCATCTCGCCTCTAGGGGGAAGTCACATGGTTTTTTTCGATTTTCGGCGGCGACCTGGGGAATGTTCTCGAGTTTCAGCGGGGATGGCCCTTCAAAACACGTGTTTATACAGTGATGTCACGACTCCTGTCTAGTAACGAGGGACACCTCAGAAATCTCTTTGAGGCTTGGCAGGGCAAAAAGGGACGCTTCTCGAAGTGAGGCAGGGCACCCAAGGTCCCTTTCCAATAGTTACATGTATTTTGGGATTCCTAACAATGTTCAAGAGGAGTCTTGCATCATCACCCTTTGAAGTAGTGATCTCCGGGTTCCTCTCGATGTGTCAAAGGGATCTGAGGCATTCCGTCAAAATGAGGCAGGGACCTAGATCTTTCTCTAACGTCTCGACAGGGTGTCAGACATCCCTTCATGTTGTGAGATGATAGACGAGCCTGTATTCACGCCACTGCAAGGAAATCCGGCCTCCTTTCAAGTTAGGGCTTCTCGCTGTATATTCAATTTGAGGCAGCAAACTCGGGGTTCCTCCCACATACCTATTGCTGAGAGAAGCCTCCTCTTTCGGTGTTTCTGGAAAGTTGGCATACGTCTTGAGCCTAAGCCAGGGAATCTGCTCTCATGTCAAGACGATTAGGGGTACAAGGAGCATTCCTCGAGTTGCTGTGCAGAAGTTGGTGTTCTTCTAGACTTGGGACAGTGTTCTCAGGGAATCTCTGGAGTTGCCTGAAGGAAGTCAAACCACTGGTCGTGTTTAATGGGGAAAGGGGGATGGCTCTTGAATCAATGCAGGGGAATCGGGCCTCATCTCGAGTTGATTTGCTGCACATGCAGCTGCTTTTCTTTGCTGGGGTGACCTCAGGGTCCGTCTAGACTTGTGACAGTGTTCTTGGGGACTATCTCAAGATCCATTAATCGAGTCGAAGGTCCTTACATGTTTGATGATGATCACGGAATTGTTCTGCATGCAATGCAGGGGAATCGGGCCTCATCTCGCATCTAGGGGGCAGTCTCCTGGTTTTTCTCGAGTTGAGGCGGGGACCTGGTGTATATTCTCGAGTTTCGGCGGGGATGCCCCTTTAAAACATGTGTTTATTCAGTGACGTCAGGACATCTGTCTAGTAACGGGGGACACCTCAGGAATCTCTTCGAGGCTTGGCATTGCAAAAGAGACGCTTCTCGAGGAGAGGCAGGCCACCCAAGGACCCTTTCCAGGAGCCACAGGGATTCTGGGATTCCTAACATTGTTCAAGAGGAGTCAGGCATCGTCACCTTTTGAAGCAGTGAACTCCGCCTGCCTCTCGAGGTGCCAAATTTATGAGAGGCATTCCGTCAAAATGAGGCAGGGACCTAGAGCTTTCTCTAAGGTCTCGAGAGGGGATTCAGACATCTCTTCATGTTGTGAGATGAAAGACAGGCCTGCATTCACGCCACTGCAAGGAAATCCGGCCTCCTTTCAAGTTAGGGCTTCTCGCTGTATATTCCACTTGCGGCAGCAAACTCGGTGTCCCTCCCACATACCTATTGCTGAGGAAGCCTACTCTTTCGGTTTGTCTGGAAAGATGGCATAAGTGTTGAGTCTAAGCTAGGGAATCTGCTCTCATCTCGAGACGATCTGGGGTACACGGACCATTCCTCGAGTTGCTGTGCTGAAGTTGGTGTTCTTCTAGACTTGGGACAGTGTCCTTGGGGAATCTCTGGAATTGTGTGAAGGAAGTCGAGCCACTGGTCTTATTTAATGGGGATGGGGGAAGGCTCTGGAGTCAATGCAGGGGAATCTGGCCTCATCTCAAGTTGATTTGGGGCACATAGAGCTGCTTTGCGTTGCTGGGGTGACCTCAGGGTCCGTCTAGACTTGTGACAGTGTTCTTGGGGACTGTCTTGAGATCCATTAACCAAGTCGAAGCTCCTTACATGTTTGATGGAGATCACAGAATCGCTCTGCATTAAATGCAGCGGAATCGGGCCTCATCCAACTTCTAGGGGGAAGTCACATGGTTTTGCTCGATTTTCGGTGGCGACCTGGGGTATCTTCTCGAGTTAAGGCGGGGATGGCCCTTCAAAACACGTGTTTATATAGTGATGTCACGTCTCCTGTCCAGTAACGAGGGACACGTCAGGAATCTCTTTGAGGCTTGGCAGGGTAAAACGAACGCTTCTCGAGGTAAGGCAGGGCACCCAAGGACCCTTTCCAGTAGTCACAGGGATTTGGGGATTCCTAACAATGTTCAAGAGGAGTCATGCATCGTCACCCTTTGAAGTAGTGATCTCCGAGTGCCTCTCGATGTGTCAAAGGGATGTGAGGCATTCCGTCAAAATGAGGCAGGGACCTAGATCTTTCTCTAACGTCTCGACAGGGGATTCAGACATCCCTTCATGTTGTGACATGAAAGACGAGCCTGTATTCACACCACTGCAAGGAAATCCGGCCTCCTTTCAAGTTAGGGCTTCTCACTGTATATTCCATTTGAGGCAGCAAACTCGGGGTCCCTCCCACATAACTATTGTTGAAAGAAGCCTCCTCTTTCGGTGTTTCTGGAAAGTTGGCATACGTCTTGGGCCTAAGCCAGGGAATCAGCTCTCATCTCGAGACAATTAGGGGTACATGGAGCATTCCTCGAGTTGCTGTGCTGAAGTTGGTGTTCTTCTAGACTTGCGACAGTGTTCTCAGGCAATCTCTGGAGTTGCCTGAAGGAAGTCAAACCACTAGTCCTGTTTAATGGGGAAAGGGGGATGGCTCTGGAAGCAATGCAGGGGAATCGGGCCTCATCTCGAGTTGATTTGTTGCACATGAAACTGCTTTGCTTTGCTGGGGTGACGTCAGTGTCCGTCTAGACTTGTGACAGTGTTCTTGGGGACTGTCTCGAGATCCATTCATCTAGTGAAAGCTCCTTACATGTTTGATGATGGTCACGGAATTGTTCTGCATGCAATGCAGGGGAATCGGGCCTCATCTCGCATCTAGGGGGATGTCTCCTGGTTTTTCTCGACTTGCGGCGGGGACCTGGTGTATGTTCTTGAGTTACGGCAGGGATGGCCCTTGAAAACATGTGTTTATTCAGTGACGTCAGGACCCTTGTCTAGTAACGAGGGACACCTCAGGAATCTCTTCAAGGCTTGGCATTACAAAAGGGACGCTTCTCGAGGTGAGGCAGGGTAACCAAGGACACTTTCCAGGAGCCACAGGGATTTGGGGATTCCTAACATTGTTCAAGAGGAGTCAGGCATCGTGACATTTTCAAGCAGTGAACTCTGCCTGCCTCTCGAGGTGCCAAATGAATGTGAGGCATTCCGTCACAATGAGGCAGGGACCTAGAGCTTTCTTTAAGGTCTCGACAGGGGATTCAGACATCCCTTCATGTTGTGAGATGAAAGACGAGCCTGTATTCAAGCCACTGCAAGGAAATCTGGCCTCCTTTCAAGTTAGGGCTTCTCGCTGTATATTCCACTTGAGGCAGCAAACTCGGGGTCCCCCCCACATACCTATTGCTGAGGAAGCCTCCTCTTTCGGTGTTTCTGGAATGTTGGCATAAGTGTTGAGTCTAAGCCAGGGAATCAGCTCTCATCTCGAGACAATTTGGGGTACACGGAGCATTCCTCGAGTTGCTGTGCTGAAGTTGGTGTTCTTCTAGACTTGGGACAGTGTTCTCGGGGAATCTCTGGAGTTGCCTGAAGGAAGTCGAGCCAATGGTCGTGTTTAATGGGGAATGGGGAATGGCTCTGGAATCATTGCAGGTGAATCAATCCTCTTCTCGAGTTGATTTGGGGCACGTGGAGCTGCTTTGCATTGCTGGGGTGACCTCAGGGTCCGTCTAGACTTGTGACAGTGTTCTTGGGGACTGTCTTGAGATCCATTAACTAAGTCGAAGCTCCTTACAGTTTTGATGGAGATCATGGAATGGCTCTGATGCAATGCAGGGGAATTGGGCCTCATCTCGCCTCTAGGGGGAAGTCACATGGTTTTTCTCGATTTTCCGCGGCGACCTGGGGTATGTTCTCGAGGTACAGCGGGGATGGCCCTTCAAAACACGTGTTTATTCAGTGACAACAGGACTCCTGTCTAGTAATGAGGGACACCTCAGGAATATTTTGAGGCTTGGCAGGGCAAAGGGGACGCTTCTCAAGGTGAGGCAGGGCACCCAAGGACCCTTTTCAGGAGCCACAGGGATTTGAGATTCATAACATTTTTCAAGAGGAGTCAGGCATCGTGACATTTTGAGGCAGTGAACTCCGCCTGCCTCTCGAGCTGCCATATGGATGTGAGGCATTCCGTCAATGAGGCAGGGACCTAGAGCTCTGCTAAGGTCTCGACAGGGGATTCAGACATCCCTTCATGTTTGAGATGAAAGACGAGCCTGTATTCAAGCCACTGCAAGGAAATCCGGCCTCCTTTCAAGTTAGGGCTTCTCGCTGTATATTCCACTTGAGGCAGCAAACTCGGGGTCCCTCCCACATACCTATTGCTGAGGAAGCCTCCTCTCTCGCTGCCTCTGGAAAGTTGGCATAAGTTTTGAGTCTAAGCCGGGGAATCAGCTCTCATCTCGAGACGATTAGGGGTACACGGAACATTCCTCGAGTTGCTGTGCTGAAGTTCGTGTTCTTCTAGAGCTGGGACAGTGTCCTTGGGGAATATCTGGAATTGTGTGAAGGAAGTCGAGCCACTGGCCGTATTTAATGTGTAACGGGGGTTGGCTCTGGAGTCAATGAAGGGGAATCTGACCTCATCTCGAGTTGATTTGGGGCACATGGAGCTGCTTTGCATTGCTGGCGTGACCTCAGGGCCCGTCTAGACTTGTGACAGTGTTCTTGGGGACTGTCTTGAGATCCAAAAACCAAGTCGAAGCTCCTTACATGTTTGATGGAGATCACAGAATGGCTCTGCATGCAATGCAGGGGAATCGGGCCTCATCTCGCCTCTAGGGGGAAGTCACATGGTTTTTCTCGATTTTCGGCGGCGACCTGGGGAATGTTCTCGAGTTTCAGCGGGGATGGCCCTTCAAAACACGTGTTTATATAGTGATGTCACGACTTCTGTCTAGTAACGAGGGACACCTCAGAAATCTCTTTGAGGCTTGGCAGGGCAAAAGGGACGCTTCTCGAAGTGAGGCAGGGCACCCAAGGTCCCTTTCCAATAGTTACATGTATTTTGGGATTCCTAACAATGTTCAAGAGGAGTCTTGCATCATCACCCTTTGAAGTAGTGATCTCCGGGTTCCTCTCGATGTGTCAAAGGGATCTGAGGCATTCCGTCAAAATGAGGCAGGGACCTAGATCTTTCTCTAACGTCTCGACAGGGTGTCAGACATCCCTTCATGTTGTGAGATGATAGACGAGCCTGTATTCACGCCACTGCAAGGAAATCCGGCCTCCTTTCAAGTTAGGGCTTCTCGCTGTATATTCAATTTGAGGCAGCAAACTCGGGGTTCCTCCCACATACCTATTGCTGAGAGAAGCCTCCTCTTTCGGTGTTTCTGGAAAGTTGGCATACGTCTTGAGCCTAAGCCAGGGAATCTGCTCTCATGTCAAGACGATTAGGGGTACAAGGAGCATTCCTCGAGTTGCTGTGCAGAAGTTGGTGTTCTTCTAGACTTGGGACAGTGTTCTCAGGGAATCTCTGGAGTTGCCTGAAGGAAGTCAAACCACTGGTCGTGTTTAATGGGGAAAGGGGGATGGCTCTTGAATCAATTCAGGGGAATCGGGCCTCATCTAGAGTTGATTTGCTGCACATGCAGCTGCTTTTCTTTGCTGGGGTGACCTCAGGGTCCGTCTAGACTTGTGACAGTGTTCTTGGGGACTATCTCAAGATCCATTAATCGAGTCGAAGGTCCTTACATGTTTGATGATGATCACGGAATTGTTCTGCATGCAATGCAGGGAAATCGGGCCTCATCTCGCATCTAGGGGGCAGTCTCCTGGTTTTTCTCGAGTTGAGGCGGGGACCTGGTGTATATTCTCGAGTTTCGGCGGGGATGCCCCTTTAAAACATGTGTTTATTCAGTGACGTCAGGACATCTGTCTAGTAACGGGGGACACCTCAGGAATCTCTTCGAGGCTTGGCATTGCAAAAGAGACGCTTCTCGAGGAGAGGCAGGCCACCCAAGGACCCTTTCCAGGAGCCACAGGGATTCTGGGATTCCTAACATTGTTCAAGAGGAGTCAGGCATCGTCACCTTTTGAAGCAGTGAACTCCGCCTGCCTCTCGAGGTGCCAAATTTATGAGAGGCATTCCGTCAAAATGAGGCAGGGACCTAGAGCTTTCTCTAAGGTCTCGAGAGGGGATTCAGACATCTCTTCATGTTGTGAGATGAAAGACAGGCCTGCATTCACGCCACTGCAAGGAAATCCGGCCTCCTTTCAAGTTAGGGCTTCTCGCTGTATATTCCACTTGCGGCAGCAAACTCGGTGTCCCTCCCACATACCTATTGCTGAGGAAGCCTACTCTTTCGGTTTGTCTGGAAAGATGGCATAAGTGTTGAGTCTAAGCTAGGGAATCTGCTCTCATCTCGAGACGATCTGGGGTACACGGACCATTCCTCGAGTTGCTGTGCTGAAGTTGGTGTTCTTCTAGACTTGGAACAGTGTCCTTGGGGAATCTCTGGAATTGTGTGAAGGAAGTCGAGCCACTGGTCTTATTTAATGGGGATGGGGGAAGGCTCTGGAGTCAATGCAGGGGAATCTGGCCTCATCTCGAGTTGATTTGGGGCACATAGAGCTGCTTTGCGTTGCTGTGGTGACCTCAGTGACCGTCTAGACTTGTGACAGTGTTCTTGGGGACTGTCTTGAGATCCATTAACCAAGTCGAAGCTCCTTACATGTTTGATGGAGATCACAGAATCGCTCTGCATGAAATGCAGCGGAATCGGGCCTCATCCAACTTCTAGGGGGAAGTCACATGGTTTTGCTCGATTTTCGGTGGCGACCTGGGGTATCTTCTCGAGTTAAGGCGGGGATGGCCCTTCAAAACACGTGTTTATATAGTGATGTCACGTCTCCTGTCCAGTAACGAGGGACACGTCAGGAATCTCTTTGAGTCTTGGCAGGGTAAAACGAACGCTTCTCGAGGTAAGGCAGGGCACCCAAGGACCCTTTCCAGTAGTCACAGGGATTTGGGGATTCCTAACAATGTTCAAGAGGAGTCATGCATCGTCACCCTTTGAAGTAGTGATCTCCGAGTGCCTCTCGATGTGTCAAAGGGATGTGAGGCATTCCGTCAAAATGAGGCAGGGACCTAGATCTTTCTCTAACGTCTCGACAGGGGATTCAGACATCCCTTCATGTTGTGACATGAAAGACGAGCCTGTATTCACACCACTGCAAGGAAATCCGGCCTCCTTTCAAGTTAGGGCTTCTCACTGTATATTCCATTTGAGGCAGCAAACTCGGGGTCCCTCCCACATAACTATTGTTGAAAGAAGCCTCCTCTTTCGGTGTTTTTGGAAAGTTGGCATACGTCTTGGGCCTAAGCCAGGGAATCAGCTCTCATCTCGAGACAATTAGGGGTACATGGAGCATTCCTCGAGTTGCTGTGCTGAAGTTGGTGTTCTTCTAGACTTGCGACAGTGTTCTCAGGCAATCTCTGGAGTTGCCTGAAGGAAGTCAAACCACTAGTCCTGTTTAATGGGGAAAGGGGGATGGCTCTGGAAGCAATGCAGGGGAATCGGGCCTCATCTCGAGTTGATTTGTTGCACATGAAACTGCTTTGTTTTGCTGGGGTGACGTCAGTGTCCGTCTAGACTTGTGACAGTGTTCTTGGGGACTGTCTCGAGATCCATTCATCTAGTGAAAGCTCCTTACATGTTTGATGATGGTCACGGAATTGTTCTGCATGCAATGCAGGGGAATCGGGCCTCATCTCGCATCTAGGGGGATGTCTCCTGGTTTTTCTCGACTTGCGGCGGGGACCTGGTGTATGTTCTTGAGTTACGGTGGGGATGGCCCTTCAAAACACGTGTTTATTCAGTGACGTCAGGACTCCTGTCTAGTAACGAGGGACACCTCAGGAATCTCTTTGAGGCTTGGCAGGGCAAAAAGGGACGCTTCTCGAGGTGAGGCAGGGCACCCAAGGACCCTTTCCAATAGTTACATGTATTCTGGGATTCCTAACAATGTTCAAGAGGAGTCTTGCATCGTCACTCTTTGAAGTAGTGATCTCCGGGTTCCTCTCGATATGTCAAAGGGATGTGAGGCATTCCGTCAAAATGAGGCAGGGACCTAGATCTTTCTCTAACGTCTCGACAGGGGATTCAGACATCCCTTCATGTTGTGAGATGATAGACGAGCCTGTATTCACGCCACTGCAAGGAAATCCGGCCTCCTTTCAAGTTAGGGCTTCTCGCTGTATATTCAATTTGAGGCAGCAAACTCGGGGTCTCTCCCACATAACTATTGTTGAAAGAAGCCTCCTCTTTCGGTGTTTCTGGAAAGTTGGCATACGTCTTGGGCCTAAGCCAGGAAATCAGCTCTCATCTCGAGACAATTAGGGGTACATGGAGCATTCCTCGAGTTCCTGTGCTGAAGTTGGTGTTCTTCTAGACTTGCGACAGTGTTCTCAGGCAATCTCTGGAGTTGCCTGAAGGAAGTCAAACCACTAGTCCTGTTTAATGGGGAAAGGGGGATGGCTCTGGAAGCAATGCAGGGGAATCGGGCCTCATCTCGAGTTGATTTGTTGCACATGAAACTGCTTTGTTTTGCTGGGGTGACGTCAGTGTCCGTCTAGACTTGTGACAGTGTTCTTGGGGACTGTCTCGAGATCCATTCATCTAGTGAAAGCTCCTTACATGTTTGATGATGGTCACGGAATTGTTCTGCATGCAATGCAGGGGAATCGGGCCTCATCTCGCATCTAGGGGGATGTCTCCTGGTTTTTCTCGACTTGCGGCGGGGACCTGGTGTATGTTCTTGAGTTACGGTGGGGATGGCCCTTCAAAACACGTGTTTATTCAGTGACGTCAGGACTCCTGTCTAGTAACGAGGGACACCTCAGGAATCTCTTTGAGGCTTGGCAGGGCAAAAAGGGACGCTTCTCGAGGTGAGGCAGGGCACCCAAGGACCCTTTCCAATAGTTACATGTATTCTGGGATTCCTAACAATGTTCAAGAGGAGTCTTGCATCGTCACTCTTTGAAGTAGTGATCTCCGGGTTCCTCTCGATATGTCAAAGGGATGTGAGGCATTCCGTCAAAATGAGGCAGGGACCTAGATCTTTCTCTAACGTCTCGACAGGGGATTCAGACATCCCTTCATGTTGTGAGATGATAGACGAGCCTGTATTCACGCCACTGCAAGGAAATCCGGCCTCCTTTCAAGTTAGGGCTTCTCGCTGTATATTCAATTTGAGGCAGCAAACTCGGGGTCTCTCCCACATAACTATTGTTGAAAGAAGCCTCCTCTTTCGGTGTTTCTGGAAAGTTGGCATACGTCTTGGGCCTAAGCCAGGAAATCAGCTCTCATCTCGAGACAATTAGGGGTACATGGAGCATTCCTCGAGTTCCTGTGCTGAAGTTGGTGTTCTTCTAGACTTGCGACAGTGTTCTCAGGCAATCTCTGGAGTTGCCTGAAGGAAGTCAAACCACTAGTCCTGTTTAATGGGGAAAGGGGGATGGCTCTGGAAGCAATGCAGGGGAATCGGGCCTCATCTCGAGTTGATTTGTTGCACATGAAACTGCTTTGCTTTGCTGGGGTGACGTCAGTGTCCGTCTAGACTTGTGACAGTGTTCTTGGGGACTGTCTCGAGATCCATTCATCTAGTGAAAGCTCCTTACATGTTTGATGATGGTCACGGAATTGTTCTGCATGCAATGCAGGGGAATCGGGCCTCATCTCGCATCTAGGGGGATGTCTCCTGGTTTTTCTCGACTTGCGGCGGGGACCTGGTGTATGTTCTTGAGTTACGGCAGGGATGGCCCTTGAAAACATGTGTTTATTCAGTGACGTCAGGACTCCTGTCTAGTAACGAGGGACACCTCAGGAATCTCTTCAAGGCTTGGCATTACAAAAGGGACGCTTCTCGAGGTGAGGCAGGGTAACCAAGGACACTTTCCAGGAGCCACAGGGATTTGGGGATTCCTAACATTGTTCAAGAGGAGTCAGGCATCGTGACATTTTCAAGCAGTGAACTCTGCCTGCCTCTCGAGGTGCCAAATGAATGTGAGGCATTCCGTCACAATGAGGCAGGGACCTAGAGCTTTCTTTAAGGTCTCGACAGGGGATTCAGACATCCCTTCATGTTGTGAGATGAAAGATGAGCCTGTATTCAAGCCACTGCAAGGAAATCTGGCCTCCTTTCAAGTTAGGGCTTCTCGCTGTATATTCCACTTGAGGCAGCAAACTCGGGGTCCCTCCCACATACCTATTGCTGAGGAAGCCTCCTCTTTCGGTGTTTCTGGAATGTTGGCATAAGTGTTGAGTCTAAGCCAGGGAATCAGCTCTCATCTCGAGACAATTTGGGGTACACGGAGCATTCCTCGAGTTGCTGTGCTGAAGTTGGTGTTCTTCTAGACTTGGGACAGTGTTCTCGGGGAATCTCTGGAGTTGCCTGAAGGAAGTCGAGCCAATGGTCGTGTTTAATGGGGAATGGGGAATGGCTCTGGAATCATTGCAGGTGAATCAATCCTCTTCTCGAGTTGATTTGGGGCACGTGGAGCTGCTTTGCATTGCTGGGGTGACCTCAGGGTCCGTCTAGACTTGTGACAGTGTTCTTGGGGACTGTCTTGAGATCCATTAACTAAGTCGAAGCTCCTTACAGGTTTGATGGAGATCATGGAATGGCTCTGATGCAATGCAGGGGAATTGGGCCTCATCTCGCCTCTAGGGGGAAGTCACATGGTTTTTCTCGATTTTCCGCGGCGACCTGGGGTATGTTCTCGAGGTACAGCGGGGATGGCCCTTCAAAACACGTGTTTATTCAGTGACAACAGGACTCCTGTCTAGTAATGAAGGACACCTCAGGAATATTTTGAGGCTTGGCAGGGCAAAAGGGACGCTTCTCAAGGTGAGGCAGGGCACCCAAGGACCCTTTTCAGGAGCCACAGGGATTTGAGATTCATAACATTTTTCAAGAGGAGTCAGGCATCGTGACATTTTGAGGCAGTGAACTCCGCCTGCCTCTCGAGCTGCCATATGGATGTGAGGCATTCCGTCAATGAGGCAGGGACCTAGAGCTCTGCTAAGGTCTCGACAGGGGATTCAGACATCCCTTCATGTTTGAGATGAAAGACGAGCCTGTATTCAAGCCACTGCAAGGAAATCCGGCCTCCTTTCAAGTTAGGGCTTCTCGCTGTATATTCCACTTGAGGCAGCAAACTCGGGGTCCCTCCCACATACCTATTGCTGAGGAAGCCTCCTCTTTCGGTGTTTCTGGAATGTTGGCATAAGTGTTGAGTCTAAGCCAGGGAATCAGCTCTCATCTCGAGACAATTTGGGGTACACGGAGCATTCCTCGAGTTGCTGTGCTGAAGTTGGTGTTCTTCTAGACTTGGGACAGTGTTCTCGGGGAATCTCTGGAGTTGCCTGAAGGAAGTCGAGCCAATGGTCGTGTTTAATGGGGAATGGGGAATGGCTCTGGAATCATTGCAGGTGAATCAATCCTCTTCTCGAGTTGATTTGGGGCACGTGGAGCTGCTTTGCATTGCTGGGGTGACCTCAGGGTCCGTCTAGACTTGTGACAGTGTTCTTGGGGACTGTCTTGAGATCCATTAACTAAGTCGAAGCTCCTTACAGGTTTGATGGAGATCATGGAATGGCTCTGATGCAATGCAGGGGAATTGGGCCTCATCTCGCCTCTAGGGGGAAGTCACATGGTTTTTCTCGATTTTCCGCGGCGACCTGGGGTATGTTCTCGAGGTACAGCGGGGATGGCCCTTCAAAACACGTGTTTATTCAGTGACAACAGGACTCCTGTCTAGTAATGAGGGACACCTCAGGAATATTTTGAGGCTTGGCAGGGCAAAAGGGACGCTTCTCGAGGTGAGGCAGGGCACCCAAGGACCCTTTTCAGGAGCCACAGGGATTTGAGATTCATAACATTTTTCAAGAGGAGTCAGGCATCGTGACATTTTGAGGCAGTGAACTCCGCCTGCCTCTCGAGCTGCCATATGGATGTGAGGCATTCCGTCAATGAGGCAGGGACCTAGAGCTCTGCTAAGGTCTCGACAGGGGATTCAGACATCCCTTCATGTTTGAGATGAAAGACGAGCCTGTATTCAAGCCACTGCAAGGAAATCCGGCCTCCTTTCAAGTTAGGGCTTCTCGCTGTATATTCCACTTGAGGCAGCAAACTCGGGGTCCCTCCCACATACCTATTGCTGAGGAAGCCTCCTCTCTCGCTGTCTCTGGAAAGTTGGCATAAGTTTTGAGTCTAAGCCGGGGAATCAGCTCTCATCTCGAGACGATTAGGGGTACACGGAACATTCCTCGAGTTGCTGTGCTGAAGTTCGTGTTCTTCTAGAGCTGGGACAGTGTCCTTGGGGAATATCTGGAATTGTGTGAAGGAAGTCGAGCCACTGGCCGTATTTAATGTGTAACGGGGGTTGGCTCTGGAGTCAATGAAGGGGAATCTGACCTCATCTCGAGTTGATTTGGGGCACATGGAGCTGCTTTGCATTGCTGGCGTAACCTCAGGGCCCGTCTAGACTTGTGACAGTGTTCTTGGGGACTGTCTTGAGATCCAAAAACCAAGTCGAAGCTCCTTACATGTTTGATGGAGATCACAGAATGGCTCTGCATGCAATGCAGGGGAATCGGGCCTCATCTCGCCTCTAGGGGGAAGTCACATGGTTTTTCTCGATTTTCGGCGGCGACCTGGGGAATGTTCTCGAGTTTCAGCGGGGATGGCCCTTCAAAACACGTGTTTATATAGTGATGTCACGACTCCTGTTTAGTAACGAGGGACACCTCAGAAATCTCTTTGAGGCTTGGCAGGGCAAAAAGGGACGCTTCTCGAAGTGAGGCAGGGCACCCAAGGTCCCTTTCCAATAGTTACATGTATTTTGGGATTCCTAACAATGTTCAAGAGGAGTCTTGCATCATCACCCTTTGAAGTAGTGATCTCCGGGTTCCTCTCGATGTGTCAAAGGGATCTGAGGCATTCCGTCAAAATGAGGCAGGGACCTAGATCTTTCTCTAACGTCTCGACAGGGTACCAGACATCCCTTCATGTTGTGAGATGATAGACGAGCCTGTATTCACGCCACTGCAAGGAAATCCGGCCTCCTTTCAAGTTAGGGCTTCTCGCTGTATATTCAATTTGAGGCAGCAAACTCGGGGTTCCTCCCACATACCTATTGCTAAGAGAAGCCTCCTCTTTCGGTGTTTCTGGAAAGTTGGCATACGTCTTGAGCCTAAGCCAGGGAATCAGCTCTCATGTCAAGACGATTAGGGGTACAAGGAGCATTCCTCGAGTTGCTGTGCAGAAGTTGGTGTTCTTCTAGACTTGGGACAGTGTTCTCAGGGAATCTCTGGAGTTGCCTGAAGGAAGTCAAACCACTGGTCGTGTTTAATGGGGAAAGGGGGATGGCTCTTGAATCAATGCAGGGGAATCGGGCCTCATCTCGTGTTGATTTGCTGCACATGCAGCTGCTTTTCTTTGCTGGGGTGACCTCAGGGTCCGTCTAGACTTGTGACAGTGTTCTTGGGGAATATCTCAAGATCCATTAATCGAGTCGAAGGTCCTTACATGTTTGATGATGATCACGGAATTGTTCTGCATGCAATGCAGGGGAATCGGGCCTCATCTCGCATCTAGGGGGCAGTCTCCTGGTTTTTCTCGAGTTGAGGCGGGGACCTGGTGTATATTCTCGAGTTTCGGCGGGGATGCCCCTTTAAAACATGTGTTTATTCAGTGACGTCAGGACATCTGTCTAGTAACGGGGGACACCTCAGGAATCTCTTCGAGGCTTGGCATTGCAAAAGAGACGCTTCTCGAGGAGAGGCAGGCCACCCAAGGACCCTTTCCAGGAGCCACAGGGATTCTGGGATTCCTAACATTGTTCAAGAGGAGTCAGGCATCGTCACCTTTTGAAGCAGTGAACTCCGCCTGCCTCTCGAGGTGCCAAATTTATGAGAGGCATTCCGTCAAAATGAGGCAGGGACCTAGATCTTTCTCTAAGGTCTCGAGAGGGGATTCAGACATCTCTTCATGTTGTGAGATGAAAGACAGGCCTGCATTCACGCCACTGCAAGGAAATCCGGCCTCCTTTCAAGTTAGGGCTTCTCGCTGTATATTCCACTTGCGGCAGCAAACTCGGTGTCCCTCCCACATACCTATTGCTGAGGAAGCCTACTCTTTCGGTTTGTCTGGAAAGATGGCATAAGTGTTGAGTCTAAGCTAGGGAATCTGCTCTCATCTCGAGACGATCTGGGGTACACGGACCATTCCTCGAGTTGCTGTGCTGAAGTTGGTGTTCTTCTAGACTTGGGACAGTGTCCTTGGGGTATCTCTGGAATTGTGTGAAGGAAGTTGAGCCACTGGTCTTATTTAATGGGGATGGGGGAAGGCTCTGGAGTCAATGCAGGGGAATCTGGCCTCATCTCGAGTTGATTTGGGGCACATAGAGCTGCTTTGCGTTGCTGGGGTGACCTCAGTGACCGTCTAGACTTGTGACAGTGTTCTTGGGGACTGTCTTGAGATCCATTAACCAAGTCGAAGCTCCTTACATGTTTGATGGAGATCACAGAATCGCTCTGCATGAAATGCAGCGGAATCGGGCCTCATCCAACTTCTAGGGGGAAGTCACATGGTTTTGCTCGATTTTCGGTGGCGACCTGGGGTATCTTCTCGAGTTAAGGCGGGGATGGCCCTTCAAAACACGTGTTTATATAGTGATGTCACGTCTCCTGTCCAGTAACGAGGGACACGTCAGGAATCTCTTTGAGTCTTGGCAGGGTAAAACGAACGCTTCTCGAGGTAAGGCAGGGCACCCAAGGACCCTTTCCAGTAGTCACAGGGATTTGGGGATTCCTAACAATGTTCAAGAGGAGTCATGCATCGTCACCCTTTGAAGTAGTGATCTCCGAGTGCCTCTCGATGTGTCAAAGGGATGTGAGGCATTCCGTCAAAATGAGGCAGGGACCTAGATCTTTCTCTAACGTCTCGACAGGGGATTCAGACATCCCTTCATGTTGTGACATGAAAGACGAGCCTGTATTCACACCACTGCAAGGAAATCCGGCCTCCTTTCAAGTTAGGGCTTCTCACTGTATATTCCATTTGAGGCAGCAAACTCGGGGTCCCTCCCACATAACTATTGTTGAAAGAAGCCTCCTCTTTCGGTGTTTTTGGAAAGTTGGCATACGTCTTGGGCCTAAGCCAGGGAATCAGCTCTCATCTCGAGACAATTAGGGGTACATGGAGCATTCCTCGAGTTGCTGTGCTGAAGTTGGTTTTCTTCTAGACTTGCGACAGTGTTCTCAGGCAATCTCTGGAGTTGCCTGAAGGAAGTCAAACCACTAGTCCTGTTTAATGGGGAAAGGGGGATGGCTCTGGAAGCAATGCAGGGGAATCGGGCCTCATCTCGAGTTGATTTGTTGCACATGAAACTGCTTTGTTTTGCTGGGGTGACGTCAGTGTCCGTCTAGACTTGTGACAGTGTTCTTGGTGACTGTCTCGAGATCCATTCATCTACTGAAAGCTCCTTACATGTTTGATGATGGTCACGGAATTGTTCTGCATGCAATGCAGGGGAATCGGGCCTCATCTCGCATCTAGGGAGATGTCTCCTGGTTTTTCTCGACTTGCGGCGGGGACCTGGTGTATGTTCTTGAGTTACGGTGGGGATGGCCCTTCAAAACACGTGTTTATTCAGTGACGTCAGGACTCCTGTCTAGTAACGAGGGACACCTCAGGAATCTCTTTGAGGCTTGGCAGGGCAAAAAGGGACGCTTCTCGAGGTGAGGCAGGGCACCCAAGGTCCCTTTCCAATAGTTACATGTATTCTGGGATTCCTAACAATGTTCAAGAGGAGTCTTGCATCGTCACTCTTTGAAGTAGTGATCTCCGGGTTCCTCTCGATATGTCAAAGGGATGTGAGGCATTCCGTCAAAATGAGGCAGGGACCTAGATCTTTCTCTAACGTCTCGACAGGGGATTCAGACATCCCTTCATGTTGTGAGATGATAGACGAGCCTGTATTCACACCACTGCAAGGAAATCCGGCCTCCTTTCAAGTTAGGGCTTCTCGCTGTATATTCCATTTGAGGCAGCAAACTCGGGGTCTCTCCCACATAACTATTGTTGAAAGAAGCCTCCTCTTTCGGTGTTTCTGGAAAGTTGGCATACGTCTTGGGCCTAAGCCAGGGAATCAGCTCTCATCTCGAGACAATTAGGGGTACATGGAGCATTCCTCGAGTTCCTGTGCTGAAGTAGGTGTTCTTCTAGACTTGCGACAGTGTTCTCAGGCAATCTCTGGAGTTGCCTGAAGGAAGTCAAACCACTAGTCCTGTTTAATGGGGAAAGGGGGATGGCTCTGGAAGCAATGCAGGGGAATCGGGCCTCATCTCGAGTTGATTTGTTGCACATGAAACTGCTTTGCTTTGCTGGGGTGACGTCAGTGTCCGTCTAGACTTGTGACAGTGTTCTTGGGGACTGTCTCGAGATCCATTCATCTAGTGAAAGCTCCTTACATGTTTGATGATGGTCACGGAATTGTTCTGCATGCAATGCAGGGGAATCGGGCCTCATCTCACATCTAGGGGGATGTCTCCTGGTTTTTCTCGACTTGCGGCGGGGACCTGGTGTATGTTCTTCAGTTACGGCAGGGATGGCCCTTGAAAACATGTGTTTATTCAGTGACGTCAGGACTCCTGTCTAGTAACGAGGGACACCTCAGGAATCTCTTCAAGGCTTGGCATTACAAAAGGGACGCTTCTCGAGGTGAGGCAGGGTAACCAAGGACACTTTCCAGGAGCCACAGGGATTTGGGGATTCCTAACATTGTTCAAGAGGAGTCAGGCATCGTGACATTTTCAAGCAGTGAACTCTGCCTGCCTCTCGAGGTGCCAAATGAATGTGAGGCATTCCGTCACAATGAGGCAGGGACCTAGAGCTTTCTTTAAGGTCTCGACAGGGGATTCAGACATCCCTTCATGTTGTGAGATGAAAGACGAGCCTGTATTCAAGCCACTGCAAGGAAATCTGGCCTCCTTTCAAGTTAGGGCTTCTCGCTGTGTATTCCACTTGAGGCAGCAAACTCGGGGTCCCTCCCACATACCTATTGCTGAGGAAGCCTCCTCTTTCGGTGTTTCTGGAATGTTGGCATAAGTGTTGAGTCTAAGCCAGGGAATCAGCTCTCATCTCGAGACAATTTGGGGTACACGGAGCATTCCTCGAGTTGCTGTGCTGAAGTTGGTGTTCTTCTAGACTTGGGACAGTGTTCTCGGGGAATCTCTGGAGTTGCCTGAAGGAAGTCGAGCCAATGGTCGTGTTTAATGGGGAATGGGGAATGGCTCTGGAATCATTGCAGGTGAATCAATCCTCTTCTCGAGTTGATTTGGGGCACGTGGAGCTGCTTTGCATTGCTGGGGTGACCTCAGGGTCCGTCTAGACTTGTGACAGTGTTCTTGGGGACTGTCTTGAGATCCATTAACTAAGTCGAAGCTCCTTACAGGTTTGATGGAGATCATGGAATGGCTCTGATGCAATGCAGGGGAATTGGGCCTCATCTCGCCTCTAGGGGGAAGTCACATGGTTTTTCTCGATTTTCCGCGGCGACCTGGGGTATGTTCTCGAGGTACAGCGGGGATGGCCCTTCAAAACACGTGTTTATTCAGTGACAACAGGACTCCTGTCTAGTAATGAGGGACACCTCAGGAATATTTTGAGGCTTGGCAGGGCAAAAGGGACGCTTCTCGAGGTGAGGCAGGGCACCCAAGGACCCTTTTCAGGAGCCACAGGGATTTGAGATTCATAACATTTTTCAAGAGGAGTCAGGCATCGTGACATTTTGAGGCAGTGAACTCCGCCTGCCTCTCGAGCTGCCATATGGATGTGAGGCATTCCGTCAATGAGGCAGGGACCTAGAGCTCTGCTAAGGTCTCGACAGGGGATTCAGACATCCCTTCATGTTTGAGATGAAAGACGAGCCTGTATTCAAGCCACTGCAAGGAAATCCGGCCTCCTTTCAAGTTAGGGCTTCTCGCTGTATATTCCACTTGAGGCAGCAAACTCGGGGTCCCTCCCACATACCTATTGCTGAGGAAGCCTCCTCTCTCGCTGTCTCTGGAAAGTTGGCATAAGTTTTGAGTCTAAGCCGGGGAATCAGCTCTCATCTCGAGACGATTAGGGGTACACGGAACATTCCTCGAGTTGCTGTGCTGAAGTTCGTGTTCTTCTAGAGCTGGGACAGTGTCCTTGGGGAATATCTGGAATTGTGTGAAGGAAGTCGAGCCACTGGCCGTATTTAATGTGTAACGGGGGTTGGCTCTGGAGTCAATGAAGGGGAATCTGACCTCATCTCGAGTTGATTTGGGGCACATGGAGCTGCTTTGCATTGCTGGCGTAACCTCAGGGCCCGTCTAGACTTGTGACAGTGTTCTTGGGGACTGTCTTGAGATCCAAAAACCAAGTCGAAGCTCCTTACATGTTTGATGGAGAACACAGAATGGCTCTGCATGCAATGCAGGGGAATCGGGCCTCATCTCGCCTCTAGGGGGAAGTCACATGGTTTTTCTCGATTTTCGGCGGCGACCTGGGGAATGTTCTCGAGTTTCAGCGGGGATGGCCCTTCAAAACACGTGTTTATACAGTGATGTCACGACTCCTGTTTAGTAACGAGGGACACCTCAGAAATCTCTTTGAGGCTTGGCAGGGCAAAACGGGACGCTTCTCGAAGTGAGGCAGGGCACCCAAGGTCCCTTTCCAATAGTTACATGTATTTTGGGATTCCTAACAATGTTCAAGAGGAGTCTTGCATCATCACCCTTTGAAGTAGTGATCTCCGGGTTCCTCTCGATGTGTCAAAGGGATCTGAGGCATTCCGTCAAAATGAGGCAGGGACCTAGATCTTTCTCTAACGTCTCGACAGGGTACCAGACATCCCTTCATGTTGTGAGATGATAGACGAGCCTGTATTCACGCCACTGCAAGGAAATCCGGCCTCCTTTCAAGTTAGGGCTTCTCGCTGTATATTCAATTTGAGGCAGCAAACTCGGGGTTCCTCCCACATACCTATTGCTAAGAGAAGCCTCCTCTCTCGGTGTCTCTGGAAAGTTGGCATAAGTTTTGAGCCTAAACCAGGGAATCAGCTCTCATGTCAAGACGATTAGGGGTACAAGGAGCATTCCTCGAGTTGCTGTGCAGAAGTTGGTGTTCTTCTAGACTTGGGACAGTGTTCTCAGGGAATCTCTGGAGTTGCCTGAAGGAAGTCAAACCACTGGTCGTGTTTAATGGGGAAAGGGGGATGGCTCTTGAATCAATGCAGGGGAATCGGGCCTCATCTCGAGTTGATTTGCTGCACATGCAGCTGCTTTTCTTTGCTGGGGTGACCTCAGGGTCCGTCTAGACTTGTGACAGTGTTCTTGGGGACTATCTCAAGATCCATTAATTGAGTCGAAGGTCCTTACATGTTTGATGATGATCACGGAATTGTTCTGCATGCAATGCAGGGGAATCGGGCCTCATCTCGCATCTAGGGGGCAGTCTCCTGGTTTTTCTCGAGTTGAGGCGGGGACCTGGTGTATATTCTCGAGTTTCGGCGGGGATGCCCCTTTAAAACATGTGTTTATTCAGTGACGTCAGGACATCTGTCTAGTAACAGGGGACACCTCAGGAATCTCTTCGAGGCTTGGCATTGCAAAAGAGACGCTTCTCGAGGAGAGGCAGGCCACCCAAGGACCCTTTCCAGGAGCCACAGGGATTCTGGGATTCCTAACATTGTTCAAGAGGAGTCAGGCATCGTCACCTTTTGAAGCAGTGAACTCTGCCTGCCTCTCGAGGTGCCAAATTTATGAGAGGCATTCCGTCAAAATGAGGCAGGGACCTAGATCTTTCTCTAAGGTCTCGAGAGGGTATTCAGACATCTCTTCATGTTGTGAGATGAAAGACAGGCCTGCATTCACGCCACTGCAAGGAAATCCGGCCTCCTTTCAAGTTAGGGCTTCTCGCTGTATATTCCACTTGCGGCAGCAAACTCGGTGTCCCTCCCACATACCTATTGCTGAGGAAGCCTACTCTTTCGGTTTGTCTGGAAAGATGGCATAAGTGTTGAGTCTAAGCTAGGGAATCTGCTCTCATCTCGAGACAATCTGGGGTACACGGACCATTCCTCGAGTTGCTGTGCTGAAGTTGGTGTTCTTCTAGACTTGGGACAGTGTCCTTGGGGAATCTCTGGAATTGTGTGAAGGAAGTCGAGCCACTGGTCTTATTTAATGGGGATGGGGGAAGGCTCTGGAGTCAATGCAGGGGAATCTGGCCTCATCTCGAGTTGATTTGGGGCACATAGAGCTGCTTTGCGTTGCTGGGGTGACCTCAGGGTCCGTCTAGACTTGTGACAGTGTTCTTGGGGACTGTCTTGAGATCCATTAACCAAGTCGAAGCTCCTTACATGTTTGATGGAGATCACAGAATCGCTCTGCATGAAATGCAGCGGAATCGGGCCTCATCCAACTTCTAGGGGGAAGTCACATGGTTTTGCTCGATTTTCGGTGGCGACCTGGGGTATCTTCTCGAGTTAAGGCGGGGATGGCCCTTCAAAACACGTGTTTATATAGTGATGTCACGTCTCCTGTCCAGTAACGAGGGACACGTCAGGAATCTCTTTGAGGCTTGGCAGGGTAAAACGAACGCTTCTCGAGGTAAGGCAGGGCACCCAAGGACCCTTTCCAGTAGTCACAGGGATTTGGGGATTCCTAACAATGTTCAAGAGGAGTCATGCATCGTCACCCTTTGAAGTAGTGATCTCCGAGTGCCTCTCGATGTGTCAAAGGGATGTGAGGCATTCCGTCAAAATGAGGCAGGGACCTAGATCTTTCTCTAACGTCTCGACAGGGGATTCAGACATCCCTTCATGTTGTGACATGAAAGACGAGCCTGTATTCACACCACTGCAAGGAAATCCGGCCTCCTTTCAAGTTAGGGCTTCTCACTGTATATTCCATTTGAGGCAGCAAACTCGGGGTCCCTCCCACATAACTATTGTTGCAAGAAGCCTCCTCTTTCGGTGTTTCTGGAAAGTTGGCATACGTCTTGGGCCTAAGCCAGGGAATCAGCTCTCATCTCGAGACAATTAGGGGTACATGGAGCATTCCTCGAGTTGCTGTGCTGAAGTTGGTGTTCTTCTAGACTTGCGACAGTGTTCTCAGGCAATCTCTGGAGTTGCCTGAAGGAAGTCAAACCACTAGTCCTGTTTAATGGGGAAAGGGGGATGGCTCTGGAAGCAATGCAGGGGAATCGGGCCTCATCTCGAGTTGATTTGTTGCACATGAAACTGCTTTGTTTTGCTGGGGTGACGTCAGTGTCCGTCTAGACTTGTGACAGTGTTCTTGGGGACTGTCTCGAGATCCATTCATCTAGTGAAAGCTCCTTACATGTTTGATGATGGTCACGGAATTGTTCTGCATGCAATGCAGGGGAATCGGGCCTCATCTCGCATCTAGGGGGATGTCTCCTGGTTTTTCTCGACTTGCGGCGGGGACCTGGTGTATGTTCTTGAGTTACGGCAGGGAAGGCCCTTGAAAACATGTGTTTATTCAGTGATGTCAGGACTCCTGTCTAGTAACGAGGGACACCTCAGGAATCTCTTCAAGGCTTGGCATTACAAAAGGGACGCTTCTCGAGGTGAGGCAGGGTAACCAAGGACACTTTCCAGGAGCCACAGGGATTTGGGGATTCCTAACATTGTTCAAGAGGAGTCAGGCATCGTGACATTTTCAAGCAGTGAACTCTGCCTGCCTCTCGAGGTGCCAAATGAATGTGAGGCATTCCGTCACAATGAGGCAGGGACCTAGAGCTTTCTTTAAGGTCTCGACAGGGGATTCAGACATCCCTTCATGTTGTGAGATGAAAGATGAGCCTGTATTCAAGCCACTGCAAGGAAATCTGGCCTCCTTTCAAGTTAGGGCTTCTCGCTGTATATTCCACTTGAGGCAGCAAACTCGGGGTCCCTCCCACATACCTATTGCTGAGGAAGCCTCCTCTTTCGGTGTTTCTGGAATGTTGGCATAAGTGTTGAGTCTAAGCCAGGGAATCAGCTCTCATCTCGAGACAATTTGGGGTACACGGAGCATTCCTCGAGTTGCTGTGCTGAAGTTGGTGTTCTTCTAGACTTGGGACAGTGTTCTCGGGGAATCTCTGGAGTTGCCTGAAGGAAGTCGAGCCAATGGTCGTGTTTAATGGGGAATGGGGAATGGCTCTGGAATCATTGCAGGTGAATCAATCCTCTTCTCGAGTTGATTTGGGGCACGTGGAGCTGCTTTGCATTGCTGGGGTGACCTCAGGGTCCGTCTAGACTTGTGACAGTGTTCTTGGGGACTGTCTTGAGATCCATTAACTAAGTCGAAGCTCCTTACAGGTTTGATGGAGATCATGGAATGGCTCTGATGCAATGCAGGGGAATTGGGCCTCATCTCGCCTCTAGGGGGAAGTCACATGGTTTTTCTCGATTTTCCGCGGCGACCTGGGGTATGTTCTCGAGGTACAGCAGGGATGGCCCTTCAAAACACGTGTTTATTCAGTGACAACAGGACTCCTGTCTAGTAATGAGGGACACCTCAGGAATATTTTGAGGCTTGGCAGGGCAAAAGGGACGCTTCTCGAGGTGAGGCAGTGCACCCAAGGACCCTTTTCAGGAGCCACAGGGATTTGAGATTCATAACATTTTTCAAGAGGAGTCAGGCATCGTGACATTTTGAGGCAGTGAACTCCGCCTGCCTCTCGAGCTGCCATATGGATGTGAGGCATTCCGTCAATGAGGCAGGGACCTAGAGCTCTGCTAAGGTCTCGACAGGGGATTCAGACATCCCTTCATGTTTGAGATGAAAGACGAGCCTGTATTCAAGCCACTGCAAGGAAATCCGGCCTCCTTTCAAGTTAGGGCTTCTCGCTGTATATTCCACTTGAGGCAGCAAACTCGGGGTCCCTCCCACATACCTATTGCTGAGGAAGCCTCCTCTCTCGCTGCCTCTGGAAAGTTGGCATAAGTTTTGAGTCTAAGTCGGGGAATCAGCTCTCATCTCGAGACGATTAGGGGTACACGGAACATTCCTCGAGTTGCTGTGCTGAAGTTCGTGTTCTTCTAGAGCTGGGACAGTGTCCTTGGGGAATATCTGGAATTGTGTGAAGGAAGTCGAGCCACTGGCCGTATTTAATGTGTAACGGGGGTTGGCTCTGGAGTCAATGAAGGGGAATCTGACCTCATCTCGAGTTGATTTGGGGCACATGGAGCTGCTTTGCATTGCTGGCGTGACCTCAGGGCCCGTCTAGACTTGTGACAGTGTTCTTGGGGACTGTCTTGAGATCCAAAAACCAAGTCGAAGCTCCTTACATGTTTGATGGAGATCACAGAATGGCTCTGCATGCAATGCAGGGGAATCGGGCCTCATCTCGCCTCTAGGGGGAAGTCACATGGTTTTTCTCGATTTTCGGCGGCGACCTGGGGAATGTTCTCGAGTTTCAGCGGGGATGGCCCTTCAAAACACGTGTTTATATAGTGATGTCACGACTCCTGTCTAGTAACGAGGGACACCTCAGAAATCTCTTTGAGGCTTGGCAGGGCAAAAGGGACGCTTCTCGAAGTGAGGCAGGGCACCCAAGGTCCCTTTCCAATAGTTACATGTATTTTGGGATTCCTAACAATGTTCAAGAGGAGTCTTGCATCATCACCCTTTGAAGTAGTGATCTCCGGGTTCCTCTCGATGTGTCAAAGGGATCTGAGGCATTCCGTCAAAATGAGGCAGGGACCTAGATCTCTCTCTAACGTCTCGACAGGGTACCAGACATCCCTTCATGTTGTGAGATGATAGACGAGCCTGTATTCACGCCACTGCAAGGAAATCCGGCCTCCTTTCAAGTTAGGGCTTCTCGCTGTATATTCAATTTGAGGCAGCAAACTCGGGGTTCCTCCCACATACCTATTGCTAAGAGAAGCCTCCTCTTTCGGTGTTTCTGGAAAGTTGGCATACGTCTTGAGCCTAAGCCAGGGAATCAGCTCTCATGTCAAGACGATTAGGGGTACAAGGAGCATTCCTCGAGTTGCTGTGCAGAAGTTGGTGTTCTTCTAGACTTGGGACAGTGTTCTCAGGGAATCTCTGGAGTTGCCTGAAGGAAGTCAAACCACTGGTCGTGTTTAATGGGGAAAGGGGGATGGCTCTTGAATCAATGCAGGGGAATCGGGCCTCATCTCGTGTTGATTTGCTGCACATGCAGCTGCTTTTCTTTGCTGGGGTGACCTCAGGGTCCGTCTAGACTTGTGACAGTGTTCTTCTGGACTATCTCAAGATCCATTAATTGAGTCGAAGGTCCTTACATGTTTGATGATGATCACGGAATTGTTCTGCATGCAATGCAGGGGAATCGGGCCTCATCTCGCATCTAGGGGGCAGTCTCCTGGTTTTTCTCGAGTTGAGGCGGGGACCTGGTGTATATTCTCGAGTTTCGGCGGGGATGCCCCTTTAAAACATGTGTTTATTCAGTGACGTCAGGACATCTGTCTAGTAACGGGGGACACCTCAGGAATCTCTTCGAGGCTTGGCATTGCAAAAGAGACGCTTCTCGAGGAGAGGCAGGCCACCCAAGGACCCTTTCCAGGAGCCACAGGGATTCTGGGATTCCTAACATTGTTCAAGAGGAGTCAGGCATCGTCACCTTTTGAAGCAGTGAACTCCGCCTGCCTCTCGAGGTGCCAAATTTATGAGAGGCATTCCGTCAAAATGAGGCAGGGACCTAGATCTTTCTCTAAGGTCTCGAGAGGGGATTCAGACATCTCTTCATGTTGTGAGATGAAAGACAGGCCTGCATTCACGCCACTGCAAGGAAATCCGGCCTCCTTTCAAGTTAGGGCTTCTCGCTGTATATTCCACTTGCGGCAGCAAACTCGGTGTCCCTCCCACATACCTATTGCTGAGGAAGCCTACTCTTTCGGTTTGTCTGGAAAGATGGCATAAGTGTTGAGTCTAAGCTAGGGAATCTGCTCTCATCTCGAGACGATCTGGGGTACACGGACCATTCCTCGAGTTGCTGTGCTGAAGTTGGTGTTCTTCTAGACTTGGGACAGTGTCCTTGGGGTATCTCTGGAATTGTGTGAAGGAAGTCGAGCCACTGGTCTTATTTAATGGGGATGGGGGAAGGCTCTGGAGTCAATGCAGGGGAATCTGGCCTCATCTCGAGTTGATTTGGGGCACATAGAGCTGCTTTGCGTTGCTGGGGTGACCTCAGTGACCGTCTAGACTTGTGACAGTGTTCTTGGGGACTGTCTTGAGATCCATTAACCAAGTCGAAGCTCCTTACATGTTTGATGGAGATCACAGAATCGCTCTGCATGAAATGCAGCGGAATCGGGCCTCATCCAACTTCTAGGGGGAAGTCACATGGTTTTGCTCGATTTTCGGTGGCGACCTGGGGTATCTTCTCGAGTTAAGGCGGGGATGGCCCTTCAAAACACGTGTTTATATAGTGATGTCACGTCTCCTGTCCAGTAACGAGGGACACGTCTGGAATCTCTTTGAGGCTTGGCAGGGTAAAACGAACGCTTCTCGAGGTAAGGCAGGGCACCCAAGGACCCTTTCCAGTAGTCACAGGGATTTGGGGATTCCTAACAATGTTCAAGAGGAGTCATGCATCGTCACCCTTTGAAGTAGTGATCTCCGAGTGCCTCTCGATGTGTCAAAGGGATGTGAGGCATTCCGTCAAAATGAGGCAGGGACCTAGATCTTTCTCTAACGTCTCGACAGGGGATTCAGACATCCCTTCATGTTGTGACATGAAAGACGAGCCTGTATTCACACCACTGCAAGGAAATCCGGCCTCCTTTCAAGTTAGGGCTTCTCACTGTATATTCCATTTGAGGCAGCAAACTCGGGGTCCCTCCCACATAACTATTGTTGCAAGAAGCCTCCTCTTTCGGTGTTTCTGGAAAGTTGGCATACGTCTTGGGCCTAAGCCAGGGAATCAGCTCTCATCTCGAGACAATTAGGGGTACATGGAGCATTCCTCGAGTTGCTGTGCTGAAGTTGGTGTTCTTCTAGACTTGCGACAGTGTTCTCAGGCAATCTCTGGAGTTGCCTGAAGGAAGTCAAACCACTAGTCCTGTTTAATGGGGAAAGGGGGATGGCTCTGGAAGCAATGCAGGGGAATCGGGCCTCATCTCGAGTTGATTTGTTGCACATGAAACTGCTTTGTTTTGCTGGGGTGACGTCAGTGTCCGTCTAGACTTGTGACAGTGTTCTTGGGGACTGTCTCGAGATCCATTCATCTAGTGAAAGCTCCTTACATGTTTGATGATGGTCACGGAATTGTTCTGCATGCAATGCAGGGGAATCGGGCCTCATCTCGCATCTAGGGGGATGTCTCCTGGTTTTTCTCGACTTGCGGCGGGGACCTGGTGTATGTTCTTGAGTTACGGCAGGGAAGGCCCTTGAAAACATGTGTTTATTCAGTGACGTCAGGACTCCTGTCTAGTAACGAGGGACACCTCAGGAATCTCTTCAAGGCTTGGCATTACAAAAGGGACGCTTCTCGAGGTGAGGCAGGGTAACCAAGGACACTTTCCAGGAGCCACAGGGATTTGGGGATTCCTAACATTGTTCAAGAGGAGTCAGGCATCGTGACATTTTCAAGCAGTGAACTCTGCCTGCCTCTCGAGGTGCCAAATGAATGTGAGGCATTCCGTCACAATGAGGCAGGGACCTAGAGCTTTCTTTAAGGTCTCGACAGGGGATTCAGACATCCCTTCATGTTGTGAGATGAAAGATGAGCCTGTATTCAAGCCACTGCAAGGAAATCTGGCCTCCTTTCAAGTTAGGGCTTCTCGCTGTATATTCCACTTGAGGCAGCAAACTCGGGGTCCCTCCCACATACCTATTGCTGAGGAAGCCTCCTCTTTCGGTGTTTCTGGAATGTTGGCATAAGTGTTGAGTCTAAGCCAGGGAATCAGCTCTCATCTCGAGACAATTTGGGGTACACGGAGCATTCCTCGAGTTGCTGTGCTGAAGTTGGTGTTCTTCTAGACTTGGGACAGTGTTCTCGGGGAATCTCTGGAGTTGCCTGAAGGAAGTCGAGCCAATGGTCGTGTTTAATGGGGAATGGGGAATGGCTCTGGAATCATTGCAGGTGAATCAATCCTCTTCTCGAGTTGATTTGGGGCACGTGGAGCTGCTTTGCATTGCTGGGGTGACCTCAGGGTCCGTCTAGACTTGTGACAGTGTTCTTGGGGACTGTCTTGAGATCCATTAACTAAGTCGAAGCTCCTTACAGGTTTGATGGAGATCATGGAATGGCTCTGATGCAATGCAGGGGAATTGGGCCTCATCTCGCCTCTAGGGGGAAGTCACATGGTTTTTCTCGATTTTCCGCGGCGACCTGGGGTATGTTCTCGAGGTACAGCAGGGATGGCCCTTCAAAACACGTGTTTATTCAGTGACAACAGGACTCCTGTCTAGTAATGAGGGACACCTCAGGAATATTTTGAGGCTTGGCAGGGCAAAAGGGACGCTTCTCGAGGTGAGGCAGGGCACCCAAGGACCCTTTTCAGGAGCCACAGGGATTTGAGATTCATAACATTTTTCAAGAGGATTCAGGCATCGTGACATTTTGAGGCAGTGAACTCCGCCTGCCTCTCGAGCTGCCATATGGATGTGAGGCATTCCGTCAATGAGGCAGGGACCTAGAGCTCTGCTAAGGTCTCGACAGGGGATTCAGACATCCCTTCATGTTTGAGATGAAAGACGAGCCTGTATTCAAGCCACTGCAAGGAAATCCGGCCTCCTTTCAAGTTAGGGCTTCTCGCTGTATATTCCACTTGAGGCAGCAAACTCGGGGTCCCTCCCACATACCTATTGCTGAGGAAGCCTCCTCTCTCGCTGCCTCTGGAAAGTTGGCATAAGTTTTGAGTCTAAGTCGGGGAATCAGCTCTCATCTCGAGACGATTAGGGGTACACGGAACATTCCTCGAGTTGCTGTGCTGAAGTTCGTGTTCTTCTAGAGCTGGGACAGTGTCCTTGGGGAATATCTGGAATTGTGTGAAGGAAGTCGAGCCACTGGCCGTATTTAATGTGTAACGGGGGTTGGCTCTGGAGTCAATGAAGGGGAATCTGACCTCATCTCGAGTTGATTTGGGGCACATGGAGCTGCTTTGCATTGCTGGCGTGACCTCAGGGCCCGTCTAGACTTGTGACAGTGTTCTTGGGGACTGTCTTGAGATCCAAAAACCAAGTCGAAGCTCCTTACATGTTTGATGGAGATCACAGAATGGCTCTGCATGCAATGCAGGGGAATCGGGCCTCATCTCGCCTCTAGGGGGAAGTCACATGGTTTTTCTCGATTTTCGGCGGCGACCTGGGGAATGTTCTCGAGTTTCAGCGGGGATGGCCCTTCAAAACACGTGTTTATATAGTGATGTCACGACTCCTGTCTAGTAACGAGGGACACCTCAGAAATCTCTTTGAGGCTTGGCAGGGCAAAAGGGACGCTTCTCGAAGTGAGGCAGGGCACCCAAGGTCCCTTTCCAATAGTTACATGTATTTTGGGATTCCTAACAATGTTCAAGAGGAGTCTTGCATCATCACCCTTTGAAGTAGTGATCTCCGGGTTCCTCTCGATGTGTCAAAGGGATCTGAGGCATTCCGTCAAAATGAGGCAGGGACCTAGATCTTTCTCTAACGTCTCGACAGGGTGTCAGACATCCCTTCATGTTGTGAGATGATAGACGAGCCTGTATTCACGCCACTGCAAGGAAATCCGGCCTCCTTTCAAGTTAGGGCTTCTCGCTGTATATTCAATTTGAGGCAGCAAACTCGGGGTTCCTCCCACATACCTATTGCTGAGAGAAGCCTCCTCTTTCGGTGTTTCTGGAAAGTTGGCATACGTCTTGAGCCTAAGCCAGGGAATCTGCTCTCATGTCAAGACGATTAGGGGTACAAGGAACATTCCTCGAGTTGCTGTGCAGAAGTTGGTGTTCTTCTAGACTTGGGACAGTGTTCTCAGGGAATCTCTGGAGTTGCCTGAAGGAAGTCAAACCACTGGTCGTGTTTAATGGGGAAAGGGGGATGGCTCTTGAATCAATTCAGGGGAATCGGGCCTCATCTAGAGTTGATTTGCTGCACATGCAGCTGCTTTTCTTTGCTGGGGTGACCTCAGGGTCCGTCTAGACTTGTGACAGTGTTCTTGGGGACTATCTCAAGATCCATTAATCGAGTCGAAGGTCCTTACATGTTTGATGATGATCACGGAATTGTTCTGCATGCAATGCAGGGGAATCGGGCCTCATCTCGCATCTAGGGCGCAGTCTCCTGGTTTTTCTCGAGTTGAGGCGGGGACCTGGTGTATATTCTCGAGTTTCGGCAGGGATGCCCCTTTAAAACATGTGTTTATTCAGTGACGTCAGGACATCTGTCTAGTAACGGGGGACACCTCAGGAATCTCTTCGAGGCTTGGCATTGCAAAAGAGACGCTTCTCGAGGAGAGGCAGGCCACCCAAGGACCCTTTCCAGGAGCCACAGGGATTCTGGGATTCCTAACATTGTTCAAGAGGAGTCAGGCATCGTCACCTTTTGAAGCAGTGAACTCCGCCTGCCTCTCGAGGTGCCAAATTTATGAGAGGCATTCCGTCAAAATGAGGCAGGGACCTAGAGCTTTCTCTAAGGTCTCGAGAGGGGATTCAGACATCTCTTCATGTTGTGAGATGAAAGACAGGCCTGCATTCACGCCACTGCAAGGAAATCCGGCCTCCTTTCAAGTTAGGGCTTCTCGCTGTATATTCCACTTGCGGCAGCAAACTCGGTGTCCCTCCCACATACCTATTGCTGAGGAAGCCTACTCTTTCGGTTTGTCTGGAAAGATGGCATAAGTGTTGAGTCTAAGCTAGGGAATCTGCTCTCATCTCTAGACGATCTGGGGTACACGGACCATTCCTCGAGTTGCTGTGCTGAAGTTGGTGTTCTTCTAGACTTGGGACAGTGTCCTTGGGGAATCTCTGGAATTGTGTGAAGGAAGTCGAGCCACTGGTCTTATTTAATGGGGATGGGGGAAGGCTCTGGAGTCAATGCAGGGGAATCTGGCCTCATCTCGAGTTGATTTGGGGCACATAGAGCTGCTTTGCGTTGCTGGGGTGACCTCAGTGACCGTCTAGACTTGTGACAGTGTTCTTGGGGACTGTCTTGAGATCCATTAACCAAGTCGAAGCTCCTTACATGTTTGATGGAGATCACAGAATCGCTCTGCATGAAATGCAGCGGAATCAGGCCTCATCCAACTTCTAGGGGGAAGTCACATGGTTTTGCTCGATTTTCGGTGGCGACCTGGGGTATCTTCTCGAGTTAAGGCGGGGATGGCCCTTCAAAACACGTGTTTATATAGTGATGTCACGTCTCCTGTCCAGTAACGAGGGACACGTCAGGAATCTCTTTGAGTCTTGGCAGGGTAAAACGAACGCTTCTCGAGGTAAGGCAGGGCACCCAAGGACCCTTTCCAGTAGTCACAGGGATTTGGGGATTCCTAACAATGTTCAAGAGGAGTCATGCATCGTCACCCTTTGAAGTAGTGATCTCCGAGTGCCTCTCGATGTGTCAAAGGGATGTGAGGCATTCCGTCAAAATGAGGCAGGGACCTAGATCTTTCTCTAACGTCTCGACAGGGGATTCAGACATCCCTTCATGTTGTGACATGAAAGACGAGCCTGTATTCACACCACTGCAAGGAAATCCGGCCTCCTTTCAAGTTAGGGCTTCTCACTGTATATTCCATTTGAGGCAGCAAACTCGGGGTCCCTCCCACATAACTATTGTTGAAAGAAGCCTCCTCTTTCGGTGTTTCTGGAAAGTTGGCATACGTCTTGGGCCTAAGCCAGGGAATCAGCTCTCATCTCGAGACAATTAGGGGTACATGGAGCATTCCTCGAGTTGCTGTGCTGAAGTTGGTGTTCTTCTAGACTTGCGACAGTGTTCTCAGGCAATCTCTGGAGTTGCCTGAAGGAAGTCAAACCACTAGTCCTGTTTAATGGGGAAAGGGGGATGGCTCTGGAAGCAATGCAGGGGAATCGGGCCTCATCTCGAGTTGATTTGTTGCACATGAAACTGCTTTGCTTTGCTGGGGTGACGTCAGTGTCCGTCTAGACTTGTGACAGTGTTCTTGGGGACTGTCTCGAGATCCATTCATCTAGTGAAAGCTCCTTACATGTTTGATGATGGTCACGGAATTGTTCTGCATGCAATGCAGGGGAATCGGGCCTCATCTCGCATCTAGGGGGATGTCTCCTGGTTTTTCTCGACTTGCGGCGGGGACCTGGTGTATGTTCTTGAGTTACGGCAGGGATGGCCCTTGAAAACATGTGTTTATTCAGTGACGTCAGGACCCTTGTCTAGTAACGAGGGACACCTCAGGAATCTCTTCAAGGCTTGGCATTACAAAAGGGACGCTTCTCGAGGTGAGGCAGGGTAACCAAGGACACTTTCCAGGAGCCACAGGGATTTGGGGATTCCTAACATTGTTCAAGAGGAGTCAGGCATCGTGACATTTTCAAGCAGTGAACTCTGCCTGCCTCTCGAGGTGCCAAATGAATGTGAGGCATTCCGTCACAATGAGGCAGGGACCTAGAGCTTTCTTTAAGGTCTCGACAGGGGATTCAGACATCCCTTCATGTTGTGAGATGAAAGATGAGCCTGTATTCAAGCCACTGCAAGGAAATCTGGCCTCCTTTCAAGTTAGGGCTTCTCGCTGTATATTCCACTTGAGGCAGCAAACTCGGGGTCCCTCCCACATACCTATTGCTGAGGAAGCCTCCTCTTTCGGTGTTTCTGGAATGTTGGCATAAGTGTTGAGTCTAAGCCAGGGAATCAGCTCTCATCTCGAGACAATTTGGGGTACACGGAGCATTCCTCGAGTTGCTGTGCTGAAGTTGGTGTTCTTCTAGACTTGGGACAGTGTTCTCGGGGAATCTCTGGAGTTGCCTGAAGGAAGTCGAGCCAATGGTCGTGTTTAATGGGGAATGGGGAATGGCTCTGGAATCATTGCAGGTGAATCAATCCTCTTCTCGAGTTGATTTGGGGCACGTGGAGCTGCTTTGCATTGCTGGGGTGACCTCAGGGTCCGTCTAGACTTGTGACAGTGTTCTTGGGGACTGTCTTGAGATCCATTAACTAAGTCGAAGCTCCTTACAGGTTTGATGGAGATCATGGAATGGCTCTGATGCAATGCAGGGGAATTGGGCCTCATCTCGCCTCTAGGGGGAAGTCACATGGTTTTTCTCGATTTTCCGCGGCGACCTGGGGTATGTTCTCGAGGTGCAGCGGGGATGGCCCTTCAAAACACGTGTTTATTCAGTGACAACAGGACTCCTGTCTAGTAATGAGGGACACCTCAGGAATATTTTGAGGCTTGGCAGGGCAAAAGGGACGCTTCTCGAGGTGAGGCAGGGCACCCAAGGACCCTTTTCAGGAGCCACAGGGATTTGAGATTCATAACATTTTTCAAGAGGAGTCAGGCATCGTGACATTTTGAGGCAGTGAACTCCGCCTGCCTCTCGAGCTGCCATATGGATGTGAGGCATTCCGTCAATGAGGCAGGGACCTAGAGCTCTGCTAAGGTCTCGACAGGGGATTCAGACATCCCTTCATGTTTGAGATGAAAGACGAGCCTGTATTCAAGCCACTGCAAGGAAATCCGGCCTCCTTTCAAGTTAGGGCTTCTCGCTGTATATTCCACTTGAGGCAGCAAACTCGGGGTCCCTCCCACATACCTATTGCTGAGGAAGCCTCCTCTCTCGCTGCCTCTGGAAAGTTGGCATAAGTTTTGAGTCTAAGCCGGGGAATCAGCTCTCATCTCGAGACGATTAGGGGTACACGGAACATTCCTCGAGTTGCTGTGCTGAAGTTCGTGTTCTTCTAGAGCTGGGACAGTGTCCTTGGGGAATATCTGGAATTGTGTGAAGGAAGTCGAGCCACTGGCCGTATTTAATGTGTAACGGGGGTTGGCTCTGGAGTCAATGAAGGGGAATCTGACCTCATCTCGAGTTGATTTGGGGCACATGGAGCTGCTTTGCATTGCTGGCGTGACCTCAGGGCCCGTCTAGACTTGTGACAGTGTTCTTGGGGACTGTCTTGAGATCCAAAAACCAAGTCGAAGCTCCTTACATGTTTGATGGAGATCACAGAATGGCTCTGCATGCAATGCAGGGGAATCGGGCCTCATCTCGCCTCTAGGGGGAAGTCACATGGTTTTTCTCGATTTTCGGCGGCGACCTGGGGAATGTTCTCGAGTTTCAGCGGGGATGGCCCTTCAAAACACGTGTTTATACAGTGATGTCACGACTCCTGTCTAGTAACGAGGGACACCTCAGAAATCTCTTTGAGGCTTGGCAGGGCAAAAAGGGACGCTTCTCGAAGTGAGGCAGGGCACCCAAGGTCCCTTTCCAATAGTTACATGTATTTTGGGATTCCTAACAATGTTCAAGAGGAGTCTTGCATCATCACCCTTTGAAGTAGTGAACTCCGGGTTCCTCTCGATGTGTCAAAGGGATCTGAGGCATTCCGTCAAAATGAGGCAGGGACCTAGATCTTTCTCTAACGTCTCGACAGGGTGTCAGACATCCCTTCATGTTGTGAGATGATAGACGAGCCTGTATTCACGCCACTGCAAGGAAATCCGGCCTCCTTTCAAGTTAGGGCTTCTCGCTGTATATTGAATTTGAGGCAGCAAACTCGGGGTTCCTCCCACATACCTATTGCTGAGAGAAGCCTCCTCTTTCGGTGTTTCTGGAAAGTTGGCATACGTCTTGAGCCTAAGCCAGGGAATCAGCTCTCATGTCAAGACGATTAGGGGTACAAGGAGCATTCCTCGAGTTGCTGTGCAGAAGTTGGTGTTCTTCTAGACTTGGGACAGTGTTCTCAGGGAATCTCTGGAGTTGCCTGAAGGAAGTCAAACCACTGGTCATGTTTAATGGGGAAAGGGGGATGGCTCTTGAATCAATTCAGGGGAATCGGGCCTCATCTCGAGTTGATTTGCTGCACATGCAGCTGCTTTTCTTTGCTGGGGTGACCTCAGGGTCCGTCTAGACTTGTGACAGTGTTCTTGGGGACTATCTCAAGATCCATTAATCGAGTCGAAGGTCCTTACATGTTTGATGATGATCACGGAATTGTTCTGCATGCAATGCAGGGGAATCGGGCCTCATCTCGCATCTAGGGGGCAGTCTCCTGGTTTTTCTCGAGTTGAGGCGGGGACCTGGTGTATATTCTCGAGTTTCGGCGGGGATGCCCCTTTAAAACATGTGTTTATTCAGTGACGTCAGGACATCTGTCTAGTAACGGGGGACACCTCAGGAATCTCTTCGAGGCTTGGCATTGCAAAAGAGACGCTTCTCGAGGAGAGGCAGGCCACCCAAGGACCCTTTCCAGGAGCCACAGGGATTCTGGGATTCCTAACATTGTTCAAGAGGAGTCAGGCATCGTCACCTTTTGAAGCAGTGAACTCCGCCTGCCTCTCGAGGTGCCAAATTTATGAGAGGCATTCCGACGAAATGAGGCAGGGACCTAGATCTTTCTCTAAGGTCTCGAGAGGGGATTCAGACATCTCTTCATGTTGTGAGATGAAAGACAGGCCTGCATTCACGCCACTGCAAGGAAATCCGGCCTCCTTTCAAGTTAGGGCTTCTCGCTGTATATTCCACTTGCGGCAGCAAACTCAGTGTCCCTCCCACATACCTATTGCTGAGGAAGCCTACGCTTTCGGTTTGTCTGGAAAGATGGCATAAGTGTTGAGTCTAAGCTAGGGAATCTGCTCTCATCTCGAGATGATCTGGGGTACACGGACCATTCCTCGAGTTGCTGTGCTGAAGTTGGTGTTCTTCTAGACTTGGGACAGTGTCCTTGGGGAATCTCTGGAATTGTGTGAAGGAAGTCGAGCCACTGGTCTTATTTAATGGGGATGGGGGAAGGCTCTGGAGTCAATGCAGGGGAATCTGGCCTCATCTCGAGTTGATTTGGGGCACATAGAGCTGCTTTTCGTTGCTGGGGTGACCTCAGGGTCCGTCTAGACTTGTGACAGTGTTCTTGGGGACTGTCTTGAGATCCATTAACCAAGTCGAAGCTCCTTACATGTTTGATGGAGATCACAGAATCGCTCTGCATGAAATGCAGCGGAATCGGAACTCATCCAACTTCTAGGGGGAAGTCAAATGGTTTTGCTCGATTTTCGGTGGCGACCTGGGGTATCTTCTCGAGTTAAGGCGGGGATGGCCCTTCAAAACACGTGTTTATATAGTGATGTCACGTCTCCTGTCCAGTAACGAGGGACACGTCAGGAATCTCTTTGAGGCTTGGCAGGGTAAAACGAACGCTTCTCGAGGTAAGGCAGGGCACCCAAGGACCCTTTCCAGTAGTCACAGGGATTTGGGGATTCCTAACAATGTTCAAGAGGAGTCATGCATCGTCACCCTTTGAAGTAGTGATCTCCGAGTGCCTCTCGATGTGTCAAAGGGATATGAGGCATTCCGTCAAAATGAGGCAGGGACCTAGATCTTTCTCTAACGTCTCGACAGGGGATTCAGACATCCCTTCATGTTGTGACATGAAAGACGAGCCTGTATTCACACCACTGCAAGGAAATCCGGCCTCCTTTCAAGTTAGGGCTTCTCACTGTATATTCCATTTGAGGCAGCAAACTCGGGGTCCCTCCCACATAACTATTGTTGAAAGAAGCCTCCTCTTTCGGTGTTTCTGGAAAGTTGGCATACGTCTTGGGCCTAAGCCAGGGAATCAGCTCTCATCTCGAGACAATTAGGGGTACATGCAGCATTCCTCGAGTTGCTGTGCTGAAGTTGGTGTTCTTCTAGACTTGCGACAGTGTTCTCAGGCAATCTCTGGAGTTGCCTGAAGGAAGTCAAACCACTAGTCCTGTTTAATGGGGAAAGGGGGATGGCTCTGGAAGCAATGCAGGGGAATCGGGCCTCATCTCGAGTTGATTTGTTGCACATGAAACTGCTTTGCTTTGCTGGGGTGACGTCAGTGTCCGTCTAGACTTGTGACAGTGTTCTTGGGGACTGTCTCGAGATCCATTCATCTAGTGAAAGCTCCTTACATGTTTGATGATGGTCACAGAATTGTTCTGCATGCAATGCAGGGGAATCGGGCCTCATCTCGCATCTAGGGGGATGTCTCCTGGTTTTTCTCGACTTGCGGCGGGGACCTGGTGTATGTTCTTGAGTTACGGCAGGGATGGCCCTTGAAAACATGTGTTTATTCAGTGACGTCAGGACTCCTGTCTAGTAACGAGGGACACCTCAGGAATCTCTTCAAGGCTTGGCATTACAAAAGGGACGCTTCTCGAGGTGAGGCAGGGTAACCAAGGACACTTTCCAGGAGCCACAGGGATTTGGGGATTCCTAACATTGTTCAAGAGGAGTCAGGCATCGTGACATTTTCAAGCAGTGAACTCTGCCTGCCTCTCGAGGTGCCAAATGAATGTGAGGCATTCCGTCACAATGAGGCAGGGACCTAGAGCTTTCTTTAAGGTCTCGACAGGGGATTCAGACATCCCTTCATGTTGTGAGATGAAAGATGAGCCTGTATTCAAGCCACTGCAAGGAAATCTGGCCTCCTTTCAAGTTAGGGCTTCTCGCTGTATATTCCACTTGAGGCAGCAAACTCGGGGTCCCTCCCACATACCTATTGCTGAGGAAGCCTCCTCTTTCGGTGTTTCTGGAATGTTGGCATAAGTGTTGAGTCTAAGCCAGGGAATCAGCTCTCATCTCGAGACAATTTGGGGTACACGGAGCATTCCTCGAGTTGCTGTGCTGAAGTTGGTGTTCTTCTAGACTTGGGACAGTGTTCTCGGGGAATCTCTGGAGTTGCCTGAAGGAAGTCGAGCCAATGGTCGTGTTTAATGGGGAATGGGGAATGGCTCTGGAATCATTGCAGGTGAATCAATCCTCTTCTCGAGTTGATTTGGGGCACGTGGAGCTGCTTTGCATTGCTGGGGTGACCTCAGGGTCCGTCTAGACTTGTGACAGTGTTCTTGGGGACTGTCTTGAGATCCATTAACTAAGTCGAAGCTCCTTACAGGTTTGATGGAGATCATGGAATGGCTCTGATGCAATGCAGGGGAATTGGGCCTCATCTCGCCTCTAGGGGGAAGTCACATGGTTTTTCTCGATTTTCCGCGGCGACCTGGGGTATGTTCTCGAGGTACAGCAGGGATGGCCCTTCAAAACACGTGTTTATTCAGTGACAACAGGACTCCTGTCTAGTAATGAGGGACACCTCAGGAATATTTTGAGGCTTGGCAGGGCAAAAGGGACGCTTCTCGAGGTGAGGCAGGGCACCCAAGGACCCTTTTCAGGAGCCACAGGGATTTGAGATTCATAACATTTTTCAAGAGGAGTCAGGCATCGTGACATTTTGAGGCAGTGAACTCCGCCTGCCTCTCGAGCTGCCATATGGATGTGAGGCATTCCGTCAATGAGGCAGGGACCTAGAGCTCTGCTAAGGTCTCGACAGGGGATTCAGACATCCCTTCATGTTTGAGATGAAAGACGAGCCTGTATTCAAGCCACTGCAAGGAAATCCGGCCTCCTTTCAAGTTAGGGCTTCTCGCTGTATATTCCACTTGAGGCAGCAAACTCGGGGTCCCTCCCACATACCTATTGCTGAGGAAGCCTCCTCTCTCGCTGCCTCTGGAAAGTTGGCATAAGTTTTGAGTCTAAGCCGGGGAATCAGCTCTCATCTCGAGACGATTAGGGGTACACGGAACATTCCTCGAGTTGCTGTGCTGAAGTTCGTGTTCTTCTAGAGCTGGGACAGTGTCCTTGGGGAATATCTGGAATTGTGTGAAGGAAGTCGAGCCACTGGCCGTATTTAATGTGTAACGGGGGTTGGCTCTGGAGTCAATGAAGGGGAATCTGACCTCATCTCGAGTTGATTTGGGGCACATGGAGCTGCTTTGCATTGCTGGCGTGACCTCAGGGCCCGTCTAGACTTGTGACAGTGTTCTTGGGGACTGTCTTGAGATCCAAAAACCAAGTCGAAGCTCCTTACATGTTTGATGGAGATCACAGAATGGCTCTGCATGCAATGCAGGGGAATCGGGCCTCATCTCGCCTCTAGGGGGAAGTCACATGGTTTTTCTCGATTTTCGGCGGCGACCTGGGGAATGTTCTCGAGTTTCAGCGGGGATGGCCCTTCAAAACACGTGTTTATACAGTGATGTCACGACTCCTGTCTAGTAACGAGGGACACCTCAGAAATCTCTTTGAGGCTTGGCAGGGCAAAAAGGGACGCTTCTCGAAGTGAGGCAGGGCACCCAAGGTCCCTTTCCAATAGTTACATGTATTTTGGGATTCCTAACAATGTTCAAGAGGAGTCTTGCATCATCACCCTTTGAAGTAGTGAACTCCGGGTTCCTCTCGATGTGTCAAAGGGATCTGAGGCATTCCGTCAAAATGAGGCAGGGACCTAGATCTTTCTCTAACGTCTCGACAGGGTGTCAGACATCCCTTCATGTTGTGAGATGATAGACGAGCCTGTATTCACGCCACTGCAAGGAAATCCGGCCTCCTTTCAAGTTAGGGCTTCTCGCTGTATATTGAATTTGAGGCAGCAAACTCGGGGTTCCTCCCACATACCTATTGCTGAGAGAAGCCTCCTCTTTCGGTGTTTCTGGAAAGTTGGCATACGTCTTGAGCCTAAGCCAGGGAATCAGCTCTCATGTCAAGACGATTAGGGGTACAAGGAGCATTCCTCGAGTTGCTGTGCAGAAGTTGGTGTTCTTCTAGACTTGGGACAGTGTTCTCAGGGAATCTCTGGAGTTGCCTGAAGGAAGTCAAACCACTGGTCATGTTTAATGGGGAAAGGGGGATGGCTCTTGAATCAATTCAGGGGAATCGGGCCTCATCTCGAGTTGATTTGCTGCACATGCAGCTGCTTTTCTTTGCTGGGGTGACCTCAGGGTCCGTCTAGACTTGTGACAGTGTTCTTGGGGACTATCTCAAGATCCATTAATCGAGTCGAAGGTCCTTACATGTTTGATGATGATCACGGAATTGTTCTGCATGCAATGCAGGGGAATCGGGCCTCATCTCGCATCTAGGGGGCAGTCTCCTGGTTTTTCTCGAGTTGAGGCGGGGACCTGGTGTATATTCTCGAGTTTCGGCGGGGATGCCCCTTTAAAACATGTGTTTATTCAGTGACGTCAGGACATCTGTCTAGTAACGGGGGACACCTCAGGAATCTCTTCGAGGCTTGGCATTGCAAAAGAGACGCTTCTCGAGGAGAGGCAGGCCACCCAAGGACCCTTTCCAGGAGCCACAGGGATTCTGGGATTCCTAACATTGTTCAAGAGGAGTCAGGCATCGTCACCTTTTGAAGCAGTGAACTCCGCCTGCCTCTCGAGGTGCCAAATTTATGAGAGGCATTCCGACGAAATGAGGCAGGGACCTAGATCTTTCTCTAAGGTCTCGAGAGGGGATTCAGACATCTCTTCATGTTGTGAGATGAAAGACAGGCCTGCATTCACGCCACTGCAAGGAAATCCGGCCTCCTTTCAAGTTAGGGCTTCTCGCTGTATATTCCACTTGCGGCAGCAAACTCAGTGTCCCTCCCACATACCTATTGCTGAGGAAGCCTACGCTTTCGGTTTGTCTGGAAAGATGGCATAAGTGTTGAGTCTAAGCTAGGGAATCTGCTCTCATCTCGAGATGATCTGGGGTACACGGACCATTCCTCGAGTTGCTGTGCTGAAGTTGGTGTTCTTCTAGACTTGGGACAGTGTCCTTGGGGAATCTCTGGAATTGTGTGAAGGAGTCGAGCCACTGGTCTTATTTAATGGGGATGGGGGAAGGCTCTGGAGTCAATGCAGGGGAATCTGGCCTCATCTCGAGTTGATTTGGGGCACATAGAGCTGCTTTTCGTTGCTGGGGTGACCTCAGGGTCCGTCTAGACTTGTGACAGTGTTCTTGGGGACTGTCTTGAGATCCATTAACCAAGTCGAAGCTCCTTACATGTTTGATGGAGATCACAGAATCGCTCTGCATGAAATGCAGCGGAATCGGAACTCATCCAACTTCTAGGGGGAAGTCAAATGGTTTTGCTCGATTTTCGGTGGCGACCTGGGGTATCTTCTCGAGTTAAGGCGGGGATGGCCCTTCAAAACACGTGTTTATATAGTGATGTCACGTCTCCTGTCCAGTAACGAGGGACACGTCAGGAATCTCTTTGAGGCTTGGCAGGGTAAAACGAACGCTTCTCGAGGTAAGGCAGGGCACCCAAGGACCCTTTCCAGTAGTCACAGGGATTTGGGGATTCCTAACAATGTTCAAGAGGAGTCATGCATCGTCACCCTTTGAAGTAGTGATCTCCGAGTGCCTCTCGATGTGTCAAAGGGATGTGAGGCATTCCGTCAAAATGAGGCAGGGACCTAGATCTTTCTCTAACGTCTCGACAGGGGATTCAGACATCCCTTCATGTTGTGACATGAAAGACGAGCCTGTATTCACACCACTGCAAGGAAATCCGGCCTCCTTTCAAGTTAGGGCTTCTCACTGTATATTCCATTTGAGGCAGCAAACTCGGGGTCCCTCCCACATAACTATTGTTGAAAGAAGCCTCCTCTTTCGGTGTTTCTGGAAAGTTGGCATACGTCTTGGGCCTAAGCCAGGGAATCAGCTCTCATCTCGAGACAATTAGGGGTACATGCAGCATTCCTCGAGTTGCTGTGCTGAAGTTGGTGTTCTTCTAGACTTGCGACAGTGTTCTCAGGCAATCTCTGGAGTTGCCTGAAGGAAGTCAAACCACTAGTCCTGTTTAATGGGGAAAGGGGGATGGCTCTGGAAGCAATGCAGGGGAATCGGGCCTCATCTCGAGTTGATTTGTTGCACATGAAACTGCTTTGCTTTGCTGGGGTGACGTCAGTGTCCGTCTAGACTTGTGACAGTGTTCTTGGGGACTGTCTCGAGATCCATTCATCTAGTGAAAGCTCCTTACATGTTTGAGGATGGTCACGGAATTGTTCTGCATGCAATGCAGGGGAATCGGGCCTCATCTCGCATCTAGGGGGATGTCTCCTGGTTTTTCTCGACTTGCGGCGGGGACCTGGTGTATGTTCTTGAGTTACGGCAGGGATGGCCCTTGAAAACATGTGTTTATTCAGTGACGTCAGGACTCCTGTCTAGTAACGAGGGACACCTCAGGAATCTCTTCAAGGCTTGGCATTACAAAAGGGACGCTTCTCGAGGTGAGGCAGGGTAACCAAGGACACTTTCCAGGAGCCACAGGGATTTGGGGATTCCTAACATTGTTCAAGAGGAGTCAGGCATCGTGACATTTTCAAGCAGTGAACTCTGCCTGCCTCTCGAGGTGCCAAATGAATGTGAGGCATTCCGTCACAATGAGGCAGGGACCTAGAGCTTTCTTTAAGGTCTCGACAGGGGATTCAGACATCCCTTCATGTTGTGAGATGAAAGATGAGCCTGTATTCAAGCCACTGCAAGGAAATCTGGCCTCCTTTCAAGTTAGGGCTTCTCGCTGTATATTCCACTTGAGGCAGCAAACTCGGGGTCCCTCCCACATACCTATTGCTGAGGAAGCCTCCTCTCTCGCTGTCTCTGGAAAGTTGGCATAAGTTTTGAGTCTAAGCCAGGGAATCAGCTCTCATCTCGAGACGATTAGGGGTACATGGAACATTCCTCGAGTTGCTGTGCTGAAGTTCGTGTTCTTCTAGAGCTGGGACAGTGTCCTTGGGGAATCTCTGGAGTTGCCTGAAGGAAGTCGAGCCACTGGCCGTATTTAATGTGTAACGGGGGTTGGCTCTGGAGTCAATGAAGGGGAATCTGACCTCATCTCGAGTTGATTTGGGGCACATGGAGCTGCTTTGCATTGCTGGCGTGACCTCAGGGCCCGTCTAGACTTGTGACAGTGTTCTTGGGGACTGTCTTGAGATCCAAAAACCAAGTCGAAGCTCCTTACATGTTTGATGGAGATCACAGAATGGCTCTGCATGCAATGCAGGGGAATCGGGCCTCATCTCGCCTCTAGGGGGAAGTCACATGGTTTTTCGCGATTTTCGGCGGCGACCTGGGGAATGTTCTCGAGTTTCAGCGGGGATGGCCCTTCAAAACACGTGTTTATATAGTGATGTCACGACTCCTGTCTAGTAACGAGGGACACCTCAGAAATCTCTTTGAGGCTTGGCAGGGCAAAAAGGGACGCTTCTCGAAGTGAGGCAGGGCACCCAAGGTCCCTTTCCAATAGTTACATGTATTTTGGGATTCCTAACAATGTTCAAGAGGAGTCTTGCATCATCACCCTTTGAAGTAGTGATCTCCGGGTTCCTCTCGATGTGTCAAAGGGATCTGAGGCATTCCGTCAAAATGAGGCAGGGACCTAGATCTTTCTCTAACGTCTCGACAGGGTGTCAGACATCCCTTCATGTTGTGAGATGATAGACGAGCCTGTATTCACGCCACTGCAAGGAAATCCGGCCTCCTTTCGAGTTAGGGCTTCTCGCTGTATATTCAATTTGAGGCAGCAAACTCGGGGTTCCTCCCACATACCTATTGCTTAGAGAAGCCTCCTCTTTCGGTGTTTCTGGAAAGTTGGCATAAGTGTTGAGTCTAAGCCAGGGAATCAGCTCTCATGTCAAGACGATTAGGGGTCCAAGGAGCATTCCTCGAGTTGCTGTGCAGAAGTTGGTGTTCTTCTAGACTTGGGACAGTGTTCTCAGGGAATCTCTGGAGTTGCCTGAAGGAAGTCAAACCACTGGTCGTGTTTAATGGGGAAAGGGGGATGGCTCTTGAATCAATTCAGGGGAATCGGGCCTCATCTCGTGTTGATTTGCTGCACATGCAGCTGCTTTTCTTTGCTGGGGTGACCTCAGGGTCCGTCTAGACTTGTGACAGTGTTCTTGGGGACTATCTCAAGATCCATTAATCGAGTCGAAGGTCCTTACATGTTTGATGATGATCACGGAATTGTTCTGCATGCAATGCAGGGGAATCGGGCCTCATCTCGCATCTAGGGGGCAGTCTCCTGGTTTTTCTCGAGTTGAGGCGGGGACCTGGTGTATATTCTCGAGTTTCGGCGGGGATGCCCCTTTAAAACATGTGTTTATTCAGTGACGTCAGGACATCTGTCTAGTAACGGGGGACACCTCAGGAATCTCTTCGAGGCTTGGCATTGCAAAAGAGACGCTTCTCGAGGAGAGGCAGGCCACCCAAGGACCCTTTCCAGGAGCCACAGGGATTCTGGGATTCCTAACATTGTTCAAGAGGAGTCAGGCATCGTCACCTTTTGAAGCAGTGAACTCCGCCTGCCTCTCGAGGTGCCAAATTTATGAGAGGCATTCCGTCAAAATGAGGCAGGGACCTAGATCTTTCTCTAAGGTCTCGAGAGGGGATTCAGACATCTCTTCATGTTGTGAGATGAAAGACAGGCCTGCATTCACGCCACTGCAAGGAAATCCGGCCTCCTTTCAAGTTAGGGCTTCTCGCTGTATATTCCACTTGCGGCAGCAAACTCGGTGTCCCTCCCACATACCTATTGCTGAGGAAGCCTACTCTTTCGGTTTGTCTGGAAAGATGGCATAAGTGTTGAGTCTAAGCTAGGGAATCTGCTCTCATCTCGAGACGATCTGGGGTACACGGACCATTCCTCGAGTTGCTGTGCTGAAGTTTGTGTTCTTCTAGACTTGGGACAGTGTCCTTGGGGAATCTCTGGAATTGTGTGAAGGAAGTCGAGCCACTGGTCTTATTTAATGGGGATGGGGGAAGGCTCTGGAGTCAATGCAGGGGAATCTGGCCTCATCTCGAGTTGATTTGGGGCACATAGAGCTGCTTTGCGTTGCTGGGGTGACCTCAGTGACCGTCTAGACTTGTGACAGTGTTCTTGGGGACTGTCTTGAGATCCATTAACCAAGTCGAAGCTCCTTATATGTTTGATGGAGATCACAGAATCGCTCTGCATGAAATGCAGCGGAATCGGGCCTCATCCAACTTCTAGGGGGAAGTCACATGGTTTTGCTCGATTTTCGGTGGCGACCTGGGGTATCTTCTCGAGTTAAGGCGGGGATGGCCCTTCAAAACACGTGTTTATATAGTGATGTCACGTCTCCTGTCCAGTAACGAGGGACACGTCAGGAATCTCTTTGAGTCTTGGCAGGGTAAAACGAACGCTTCTCGAGGTAAGGCAGGGCACCCAAGGACCCTTTCCAGTAGTCACAGGGATTTGGGGATTCCTAACAATGTTCAAGAGGAGTCATGCATCGTCACCCTTTGAAGTAGTGATCTCCGAGTGCCTCTCGATGTGTCAAAGGGATGTGAGGCATTCCGTCAAAATGAGGCAGGGACCTAGATCTTTCTCTAACGTCTCGACAGGGGATTCAGACATCCCTTCATGTTGTGACATGAAAGACGAGCCTGTATTCACACCACTGCAAGGAAATCCGGCCTCCTTTCAAGTTAGGGCTTCTCACTGTATATTCCATTTGAGGCAGCAAACTCGGGGTCCCTCCCACATAACTATTGTTGAAAGAAGCCTCCTCTTTCGGTGTTTTTGGAAAGTTGGCATACGTCTTGGGCCTAAGCCAGGGAATCAGCTCTCATCTCGAGACAATTAGGGGTACATGGAGCATTCCTCGAGTTGCTGTGCTGAAGTTGGTGTTCTTCTAGACTTGCGACAGTGTTCTCAGGCAATCTCTGGAGTTGCCTGAAGGAAGTCAAACCACTAGTCCTGTTTAATGGGGAAAGGGGGATGGCTCTGGAAGCAATGCAGGGGAATCGGGCCTCATCTCGAGTTGATTTGTTGCACATGAAACTGCTTTGTTTTGCTGGGGTGACGTCAGTGTCCGTCTAGACTTGTGACAGTGTTCTTGGTGACTGTCTCGAGATCCATTCATCTACTGAAAGCTCCTTACATGTTTGATGATTGTCACGGAATTGTTCTGCATGCAATGCAGGGGAATCGGGCCTCATCTCGCATCTAGGGGGATGTCTCCTGGTTTTTCTCGACTTGCGGCGGGGACCTGGTGTATGTTCTTGAGTTACGGTGGGGATGGCCCTTCAAAACACGTGTTTATTCAGTGACGTCAGGACTCCTGTCTAGTAACGAGGGACACCTCAGGAATCTCTTTGAGGCTTGGCAGGGCAAAAAGGGACGCTTCTCGAGGTGAGGCAGGGCACCCAAGGTCCCTTTCCAATAGTTACATGTATTCTGGGATTCCTAACAATGTTCAAGAGGAGTCTTGCATCGTCACTCTTTGAAGTAGTGATCTCCGGGTTCCTCTCGATATGTCAAAGGGATGTGAGGCATTCCGTCAAAATGAGGCAGGGACCTAGATCTTTCTCTAACGTCTCGACAGGGGATTCAGACATCCCTTCATGTTGTGAGATGATAGACGAGCCTGTATTCACGCCACTGCAAGGAAATCCGGCCTCCTTTCAAGTTAGGGCTTCTCGCTGTATATTCAATTTGAGGCAGCAAACTCGGGGTCTCTCCCACATAATTATTGTTGAAAGAAGCCTCCTCTTTCGGTGTTTCTGGAAAGTTGGCATACGTCTTGGGCCTAAGCCAGGGAATCAGCTCTCATCTCGAGACAATTAGGGGTACATGGAGCATTCCTCGAGTTCCTGTGCTGAAATTGGTGTTCTTCTAAACTTGCGACAGTGTTCTCAGGCAATCTCTGGAGTTGCCTGAAGGAAGTCAAACCACTAGTCCTGTTTAATGGGGAAAGGGGGATGGCTCTGGAAGCAATGCAGGGGAATCGGGCCTCATCTCGAGTTGATTTGTTGCACATGAAACTGCTTTGTTTTGCTGGGGTGACGTCAGTGTCCGTCTAGACTTGTGACAGTGTTCTTGGGGACTGTCTCGAGATCCATTCATCTAGTGAAAGCTCCTTACATGTTTGATGATGGTCACGGAATTGTTCTGCATGCAATGCAGGGGAATCGGGCCTCATCTCACATCTAGGGGGATGTCTCCTGGTTTTTCTCGACTTGCGGCGGGGACCTGGTGTATGTTCTTGAGTTACGGCAGGGATGGCCCTTGAAAACATGTGTTTATTCAGTGACGTCAGGACTCCTGTCTAGTAACGAGGTACATCTCAGGAATCTCTTCAAGGCTTGGCATTACAAAAGGGACGCTTCTCTAGGTGAGGCAGGGTAACCAAGGACACTTTCCAGGAGCCACAGGGATTTGGGGATTCCTAACATTGTTCAAGAGGAGTCAGGCATCGTGACATTTTCAAGCAGTGAACTCTGCCTGCCTCTCGAGGTGCCAAATGAATGTGAGGCATTCCGTCACAATGAGGCAGGGACCTAGAGCTTTCTTTAAGGTCTCGACAGGGGATTCAGACATCCCTTCATGTTGTGAGATGAAAGACGAGCCTGTATTCAAGCCACTGCAAGGAAATCTGGCCTCCTTTCAAGTTAGGGCTTCTCGCTGTGTATTCCACTTGAGGCAGCAAACTCGGGGTCCCTCCCACATACCTATTGCTGAGGAAGCCTCCTCTTTCGGTGTTTCTGGAATGTTGGCATAAGTGTTGAGTCTAAGCCAGGGAATCAGCTCTCATCTCGAGACAATTTGGGGTACACGGAGCATTCCTCGAGTTGCTGTGCTGAAGTTGGTGTTCTTCTAGACTTGGGACAGTGTTCTCGGGGAATCTCTGGAGTTGCCTGAAGGAAGTCGAGCCAATGGTCGTGTTTAATGGGGAATGGGGAATGGCTCTGGAATCATTGCAGGTGAATCAATCCTCTTCTCGAGTTGATTTGGGGCACGTGGAGCTGCTTTGCATTGCTGGGGTGACCTCAGGGTCCGTCTAGACTTGTGACAGTGTTCTTGGGGACTGTCTTGAGATCCATTAACTAAGTCGAAGCTCCTTACAGGTTTGATGGAGATCATGGAATGGCTCTGATGCAATGCAGGGGAATTGGGCCTCATCTCGCCTCTAGGGGGAAGTCACATGGTTTTTCTCGATTTTCCGCGGCGACCTGGGGTATGTTCTCGAGGTACAGCGGGGATGGCCCTTCAAAACACGTGTTTATTCAGTGACAACAGGACTCCTGTCTAGTAATGAGGGACACCTCAGGAATATTTTGAGGCTTGGCAGGGCAAAAGGGACGCTTCTCGAGGTGAGGCAGGGCACCCAAGGACCCTTTTCAGGAGCCACAGGGATTTGAGATTCATAACATTTTTCAAGAGGAGTCAGGCATCGTGACATTTTGAGGCAGTGAACTCCGCCTGCCTCTCGAGCTGCCATATGGATGTGAGGCATTCCGTCAATGAGGCAGGGACCTAGAGCTCTGCTAAGGTCTCGACAGGGGATTCAGACATCCCTTCATGTTTGAGATGAAAGACGAGCCTGTATTCAAGCCACTGCAAGGAAATCCGGCCTCCTTTCAAGTTAGGGCTTCTCGCTGTATATTCCACTTGAGGCAGCAAACTCGGGGTCCCTCCCACATACCTATTGCTGAGGAAGCCTCCTCTCTCGCTGTCTCTGGAAAGTTGGCATAAGTTTTGAGTCTAAGCCGGGGAATCAGCTCTCATCTCGAGACGATTAGGGGTACACGGAACATTCCTCGAGTTGCTGTGCTGAAGTTCGTGTTCTTCTAGAGCTGGGACAGTGTCCTTGGGGAATATCTGGAATTGTGTGAAGGAAGTCGAGCCACTGGCCGTATTTAATGTGTAACGGGGGTTGTCTCTGGAGTCAATGAAGGGGAATCTGACCTCATCTCGAGTTGATTTGGGGCACATGGAGCTGCTTTGCATTGCTGGCGTGACCTCAGGGCCCGTCTAGACTTGTGACAGTGTTCTTGGGGACTGTCTTGAGATCCAAAAACCAAGTCGAAGCTCCTTACATGTTTGATGGAGATCACAGAATGGCTCTGCATGCAATGCAGGGGAATCGGGCCTCATCTCGCCTCTAGGGGGAAGTCACATGGTTTTTCTCGATTTTCGGCGGCGACCTGGGGAATGTTCTCGAGTTTCAGCGGGGATGGCCCTTCAAAACACGTGTTTATATAGTGATGTCACGACTCCTGTCTAGTAACGAGGGACACCTCAGAAATCTCTTTGAGGCTTTTCAGGGCAAAAAGGGACGCTTCTCGAAGTGAGGCAGGGCACCCAAGGTCCCTTTCCAATAGTTACATGTATTTTGGGATTCCTAACAATGTTCAAGAGGAGTCTTGCATCATCACCCTTTGAAGTAGTGATCTCCGGGTTCCTCTCGATGTGTCAAAGGGATCTGAGGCATTCCGTCAAAATGAGGCAGGGACCTAGATCTTTCTCTAACGTCTCGACAGGGTGTCAGACATCCCTTCATGTTGTGAGATGATAGACGAGCCTGTATTCACGCCACTGCAAGGAAATCCGGCCTCCTTTCGAGTTAGGGCTTCTCGCTGTATATTCAATTTGAGGCAGCAAACTCGGGGTTCCTCCCACATACCTATTGCTAAGAGAAGCCTCCTCTTTCGGTGTTTCTGGAAAGTTGGCATACGTCTTGAGCCTAAGCCAGGGAATCAGCTCTCATGTCAAGACGATTAGGGGTACAAGGAGCATTCCTCGAGTTGCTGTGCAGAAGTTGGTGTTCTTCTAGACTTGGGACAGTGTTCTCAGGGAATCTCTGGAGTTGCCTGAAGGAAGTCAAACCACTGGTCGTGTTTAATGGGGAAAGGGGGATGGCTCTTGAATCAATTCAGGGGAATCGGGCCTCATCTCGTGTTGATTTGCTGCACATGCAGCTGCTTTTCTTTGCTGGGGTGACCTCAGGGTCCGTCTAGACTTGTGACAGTGTTCTTGGGGACTATCTCAAGATCCATTAATCGAGTCGAAGGTCCTTACATGTTTTATGATGATCACGGAATTGTTCTGCATGCAATGCAGGGGAATCGGGCCTCATCTCGCATCTAGGGGGCAGTCTCCTGGTTTTTCTCGAGTTGAGGCGGGGACCTGGTGTATATTCTCGAGTTTCGGCGGGGATGCCCCTTTAAAACATGTGTTTATTCAGTGACGTCAGGACATCTGTCTAGTAACGGGGGACACCTCAGGAATCTCTTCGAGGCTTGGCATTGCAAAAGAGACGCTTCTCGAGGAGAGGCAGGCCACCCAAGGACCCTTTCCAGGAGCCACAGGGATTCTGGGATTCCTAACATTGTTCAAGAGGAGTCAGGCATCGTCACCTTTTGAAGCAGTGAACTCCGCCTGCCTCTCGAGGTGCCAAATTTATGAGAGGCATTCCGTCAAAATGAGGCAGGGACCTAGATCTTTCTCTAAGGTCTCGAGAGGGGATTCAGACATCTCTTCATGTTGTGAGATGAAAGACAGGCCTGCATTCACGCCACTGCAAGGAAATCCGGCCTCCTTTCAAGTTAGGGCTTCTCGCTGTATATTCCACTTGCGGCAGCAAACTCAGTGTCCCTCCCACATACCTATTGCTGAGGAAGCCTACTCTTTCGGTTTGTCTGGAAAGATGGCATAAGTGTTGAGTCTAAGCTAGGGAATCTGCTCTCATCTCGAGACGATCTGGGGTACACGGACCATTCCTCGAGTTGCTGTGCTGAAGTTGGTGTTCTTCTAGACTTGGGACAGTGTCCTTGGGGAATCTCTGGAATTGTGTGAAGGAAGTCGAGCCACTGGTCTTATTTAATGGGGATGGGGGAAGGCTCTGGAGTCAATGCAGGGGAATCTGGCCTCATCTCGAGTTGATTTGGGGCACATAGAGCTGCTTTGCGTTGCTGGGGTGACCTCAGTGACCGTCTAGACTTGTGACAGTGTTCTTGGGGACTGTCTTGAGATCCATTAACCAAGTCGAAGCTCCTTACATGTTTGATGGAGATCACAGAATCGCTCTGCATTAAATGCAGTGGAATCGGGCCTCATCCAACTTCTAGGGGGAAGTCACATGGTTTTGCTCGATTTTCGGTGGCGACCTGGGGTATCTTCTCGAGTTAAGGCGGGGATGGCCCTTCAAAACACGTGTTTATATAGTGATGTCACGTCTCCTGTCCAGTAACGAGGGACACGTCAGGAATCTCTTTGAGGCTTGGCAGGGTAAAACGAACGCTTCTCGAGGTAAGGCAGGGCACCCAAGGACCCTTTCCAGTAGTCACAGGGATTTGGGGATTCCTAACAATGTTCAAGAGGAGTCATGCATCGTCACCCTTTGAAGTAGTGATCTCCGAGTGCCTCTCGATGTGTCAAAGGGATGTGAGGCATTCCGTCAAAATGAGGCAGGGACCTAGATCTTTCTCTAACGTCTCGACAGGGGATTCAGACATCCCTTCATGTTGTGACATGAAAGACGAGCCTGTATTCACACCACTGCAAGGAAATCCGGCCTCCTTTCAAGTTAGGGCTTCTCACTGTATATTCCATTTGAGGCAGCAAACTCGGGGTCCCTCCCACATAACTATTGTTGAAAGAAGCCTCCTCTTTCGGTGTTTCTGGAAAGTTGGCATACGTCTTGGGCCTAAGCCAGGGAATCAGCTCTCATCTCGAGACAATTAGGGGTACATGGAGCATTCCTCGAGTTGCTGTGCTGAAGTTGGTGTTCTTCTAGACTTGCGACAGTGTTCTCAGGCAATCTCTGGAGTTGCCTGAAGGAAGTCAAACCACTAGTCCTGTTTAATGGGGAAAGGGGGATGGCTCTGGAAGCAATGCAGGGGAATCGGGCCTCATCTCGAGTTGATTTGTTGCACATGAAACTGCTTTGCTTTGCTGGGGTGACGTCAGTGTCCGTCTAGACTTGTGACAGTGTTCTTGGGGACTGTCTCGAGATCCATTCATCTAGTGAAAGCTCCTTACATGTTTGATGATGGTCACGGAATTGTTCTGCATGCAATGCAGGGGAATCGGGCCTCATCTCGCATCTAGGGGGATGTCTCCTGGTTTTTCTCGACTTGCGGCGGGGACCTGGTGTATGTTCTTGAGTTACGGCAGGGATGGCCCTTGAAAACATGTGTTTATTCAGTGACGTCAGGACTCCTGTCTAGTAACGAGGGACACCTCAGGAATCTCTTCAAGGCTTGGCATTACAAAAGGGACGCTTCTCGAGGTGAGGCAGGGTAACCAAGGACACTTTCCAGGAGCCACAGGGATTTGGGGATTCCTAACATTGTTCAAGAGGAGTCAGGCATCGTGACATTTTCAAGCAGTGAACTCTGCCTGCCTCTCGAGGTGCCAAATGAATGTGAGGCATTCCGTCACAATGAGGCAGGGACCTAGAGCTTTCTTTAAGGTCTCGACAGGGGATTCGGACATCCCTTCATGTTGTGAGATGAAAGATGAGCCTGTATTCAAGCCACTGCAAGGAAATCTGGCCTCCTTTCAAGTTAGGGCTTCTCGCTGTATATTCCACTTGAGGCAGCAAACTCGGGGTCCCTCCCACATACCTATTGCTGAGGAAGCCTCCTCTTTCGGTGTTTCTGGAATGTTGGCATAAGTGTTGAGTCTAAGCCAGGGAATCAGCTCTCATCTCGAGACAATTTGGGGTACACGGAGCATTCCTCGAGTTGCTGTGCTGAAGTTGGTGTTCTTCTAGACTTGGGACAGTGTTCTCGGGGAATCTCTGGAGTTGCCTGAAGGAAGTCGAGCCAATGGTCGTGTTTAATGGGGAATGGGGAATGGCTCTGGAATCATTGCAGGTGAATCAATCCTCTTCTCGAGTTGATTTGGGGCACGTGGAGCTGCTTTGCATTGCTGGGGTGACCTCAGGGTCCGTCTAGACTTGTGACAGTGTTCTTGGGGACTGTCTTGAGATCCATTAACTAAGTCGAAGCTCCTTACAGGTTTGATGGAGATCATGGAATGGCTCTGATGCAATGCAGGGGAATTGGGCCTCATCTCGCCTCTAGGGGGAAGTCACATGGTTTTTCTCGATTTTCTGCGGCGACCTGGGGTATGTTCTCGAGGTACAGCGGGGATGGCCCTTCAAAACACGTGTTTATTCAGTGACAACAGGACTCCTGTCTAGTAATGAGGGACACCTCAGGAATATTTTGAGGCTTGGCAGGGCAAAAGGGACGCTTCTCGAGGTGAGGCAGGGCACCCAAGGACCCTTTTCAGGAGCCACAGGGATTTGAGATTCATAACATTTTTCAAGAGGAGTCAGGCATCGTGACATTTTGAGGCAGTGAACTCCGCCTGCCCCTCGAGCTGCCATATGGATGTGAGGCATTCCGTCAATGAGGCAGGGACCTAGAGCTCTGCTAAGGTCACGACAGGGGATTCAGACATCCCTTCAGGTTTGAGATGAAAGACGAGCCTGTATTCAAGCCACTGCAAGGAAATCCGGCCTCCTTTCAAGTTAGGGCTTCTCGCTGTATATTCCACTTGAGGCAGCAAACTCGGGGTCCCTCCCACATACCTATTGCTGAGGAAGCCTCCTCTCTCGCTGTCTCTGGAAAGTTGGCATAAGTTTTGAGTCTAAGCCGGGGAATCAGCTCTCATCTCGAGACGATTAGGGGTACACGGAACATTCCTCGAGTTGCTGTGCTGAAGTTCGTGTTCTTCTAGAGCTGGGACAGTGTCCTTGGGGAATATCTGGAATTGTGTGAAGGAAGTCGAGCCACTGGCCGTATTTAATGTGTAACGGGGGTTGGCTCTGGAGTCAATGAAGGGGAATCTGACCTCATCTCGAGTTGATTTGGGGCACATGGAGCTGCTTTGCATTGCTGGCGTGACCTCAGGGCCCATCTAGACTTGTGAAAGTGTTCTTGGGGACTGTCTTGAGATCCAAAAACCAAGTCGAAGCTCCTTACATGTTTGATGGAGATCACAGAATGGCTCTGCATGCAATGCAGGGGAATCGGGCCTCATCTCGCCTCTAGGGGGAAGTCACATGGTTTTTCTCGATTTTCGGCGGCGACCTGGGGAATGTTCTCGAGTTTCAGCGGGGATGGCCCTTCAAAACACGTGTTTATATAGTGATGTCACGACTCCTGTCTAGTAACGAGGGACACCTCAGAAATCTCTTTGAGGCTTGGCAGGGCAAAAAGGACGCTTCTCGAAGTGAGGCAGGGCACCCAAGGTCCCTTTCCAATAGTTACATGTATTTTGGGATTCCTAACAATGTTCAAGAGGAGTCTTGCATCATCACCCTTTGAAGTAGTGATCTCCGGGTTCCTCTCGATGTGTCAAAGGGATCTGAGGCATTCCGTCAAAATGAGGCAGGGACCTAGATCTTTCTCTAACGTCTCGACAGGGTGTCAGACATCCCTTCATGTTGTGAGATGATAGACGATCCTGTATTCACGCCACTGCAAGGAAATCCGGCCTCCTTTCGAGTTACGGCTTCTCGCTGTATATTCAATTTGAGGCAGCAAACTCGGGGTTCCTCCCACATACCTATTGCTGAGAGAAGCCTCCTCTTTCGGTGTTTCTGGAAAGTTGGCATACGTCTTGAGCCTAAGCCAGGGAATCAGCTCTCATGTCAAGACGATTAGGGGTACAAGGAGCATTCCTCGAGTTGCTGTGCAGAAGTTGGTGTTCTTCTAGACTTGGGACAGTGTTCTCAGGGAATCTCTGGAGTTGCCTGAAGGAAGTCAAACCACTGGTCGTGTTTAATGGGGAAAGGGGGATGGCTCTTGAATCAATTCAGGGGAATCGGGCCTCATCTCGTGTTGATTTGCTGCACATGCAGCTGCTTTTCTTTGCTGGGGTGACCTCAGGGTCCGTCTAGACTTGTGACAGTGTTCTTGGGGACTATCTCAAGATCCATTAATCAAGTCGAACGTCCTTACATGTTTGATGATGATCACGGAATTGTTCTGCATGCAATGCAGGGGAATCGGGCCTCATCTCGCATCTAGGGGGCAGTCTCCTGGTTTTTCTCGAGTTGAGGCGGGGACCTGGTGTATATTCTCGAGTTTCGGCGGGGATGCCCCTTTAAAACATGTGTTTATTCAGTGACGTCAGGACATCTGTCTGGTAACAGGGGACACCTCAGGAATCTCTTCGAGGCTTGGCATTGCAAAAGAGACGCTTCTCGAGGAGAGGCAGGCCACCCAAGGACCCTTTCCAGGAGCCACAGGGATTCTGGGATTCCTAACATTGTTCAAGAGGAGTCAGGCATCGTCACCTTTTGAAGCAGTGAACTCCGCCTGCCTCTCGAGGTGCCAAATTTATGAGAGGCATTCCGTCAAAATGAGGCAGGGACCTAGATCTTTCTCTAAGGTCTCGAGAGGGGATTCAGACATCTCTTCATGTTGTGAGATGAAAGACAGGCCTGCATTCACGCCACTGCAAGGAAATCCGGCCTCCTTTCAAGTTAGGGCTTCTCGCTGTATATTCCACTTGCGGCAGCAAACTCGGTGTCCCTCCCACATACCTATTGCTGAGGAAGCCTACTCTTTCGGTTTGTCTGGAAAGATGGCATAAGTGTTGAGTCTAAGCTAGGGAATCTGCTCTCATCTCGAGACGATCTGGGGTACACGGACCATTCCTCGAGTTGCTGTGCTGAAGTTGGTGTTCTTCTAGACTTGGGACAGTGTCCTTGGGGAATCTCTGGAATTGTGTGAAGGAAGTCGAGCCACTGGTCTTATTTAATGGGGATGGGGGAAGGCTCTGGAGTCAATGCAGGGGAATCTGGCCTCATCTCGAGTTGATTTGGGGCACATAGAGCTGCTTTGCGTTGCTGGGGTGACCTCAGTGACCGTCTAGACTTGTGACAGTGTTCTTGGGGACTGTCTTGAGATCCATTAACCAAGTCGAAGCTCCTTACATGTTTGATGGAGATCACAGAATCGCTCTGCATGAAATGCAGCGGAATCGGGCCTCATCCAACTTCTAGGGGGAAGTCACATGGTTTTGCTCGATCTTCGGTGGCGACCTGGGGTATCTTCTCGAGTTAAGGCGGGGATGGCCCTTCAAAACACGTGTTTATATAGTGATGTCACGTCTCCTGTCCAGTAACGAGGGACACGTCAGGAATCTCTTTGAGGCTTGGCAGGGTAAAACGAACGCTTCTCGAGGTAAGGCAGGGCACCCAAGGACCCTTTCCAGTAGTCACAGGGATTTGGGGATTCCTAACAATGTTCAAGAGGAGTCATGCATCGTCACCCTTTGAAGTAGTGATCTCCGAGTGCCTCTCGATGTGTCAAAGGGATTTGAGGCATTCCGTCAAAATGAGGCAGGGACCTAGAGCTTTCTCTAACGTCTCGACAGGGGATTCAGACATCCCTTCATGTTGTGACATGAAAGACGAGCCTGTATTCACACCACTGCAAGGAAATCCGGCCTCCTTTCAAGTTAGGGCTTCTCACTGTATATTCCATTTGAGGCAGCAAACTCGGGGTCCCTCCCACATAACTATTGTTGAAAGAAGCCTCCTCTTTCGGTGTTTCTGGAAAGTTGGCATACGTCTTGGGCCTAAGCCAGGGAATCAGCTCTCATCTCGAGACAATTAGGGGTACATGCAGCATTCCTCGAGTTGCTGTGCTGAAGTTGGTGTTCTTCTAGACTTGCGACAGTGTTCTCAGGCAATCTCTGGAGTTGCCTGAAGGAAGTCAAACCACTAGTCCTGTTTAATGGGGAAAGGGGGATGGCTCTGGAAGCAATGCAGGGGAATCGGGCCTCATCTCGAGTTGATTTGTTGCACATGAAACTGCTTTGTTTTGCTGGGGTGACGTCAGTGTCCGTCTAGACTTGTGACAGTGTTCTTGGTGACTGTCTCGAGATCCATTCATCTACTGAAAGCTCCTTACATGTTTGATGATGGTCACGGAATTGTTCTGCATGCAATGCAGGGGAATCGGGCCTCATCTCGCATCTAGGGGGATGTCTCCTGGTTTTTCTCGACTTGCGGCGGGGACCTGGTGTATGTTCTTGAGTTACGGTGGGGATGGCCCTTCAAAACACGTGTTTATTCAGTGACGTCAGGACTCCTGTCTAGTAACGAGGGACACCTCAGGAATCTCTTTGAGGCTTGGCAGGGCAAAAAGGGACGCTTCTCGAGGTGAGGCAGGGCACCCAAGGTCCCTTTCCAATAGTTACATGTATTCTGGGATTCCTAACAATGTTCAAGAGGAGTCTTGCATCGTCACTCTTTGAAGCAGTGATCTCCGGGTTCCTCTCGATATGTCAAAGGGATGTGAGGCATTCCGTCAAAATGAGGCAGGGACCTAGATCTTTCTCTAACGTCTCGACAGGGGATTCAGACATCCCTTCATGTTGTGAGATGATAGACGAGCCTGTATTCACGCCACTGCAAGGAAATCCGGCCTCCTTTCAAGTTAGGGCTTCTCGCTGTATATTCAATTTGAGGCAGCAAACTCGGGGTCTCTCCCACATAACTATTGTTGAAAGAAGCCTCCTCTTTCGGTGTTTCTGGAAAGTTGGCATACGTCTTGGGCCTAAGCCAGGGAATCAGCTCTCATCTCGAGACAATTAGGGGTACATGGAGCATTCCTCGAGTTCCTGTGCTGAAGTTGGTGTTCTTCTAGACTTGCGACAGTGTTCTCAGGCAATCTCTGGAGTTGCCTGAAGGAAGTCAAACCACTAGTCCTGTTTAATGGGGAAAGGGGGATGGCTCTGGAAGCAATGCAGGGGAATCGGGCCTCATCTCGAGTTGATTTGTTGCACATGAAACTGCTTTGTTTTGCTGGGGTGACGTCAGTGTCCGTCTAGACTTGTGACAGTGTTCTTGGGGACTGTCTCGAGATCCATTCATCTAGTGAAAGCTCCTTACATGTTTGATGATGGTCACGGAATTGTTCTGCATGCAATGCAGGGGAATCGGGCCTCATCTCGCATCTAGGGGGATGTCTCCTGGTTTTTCTCGACTTGCGGCGGGGACCTGGTGTATGTTCTTGAGTTACGGCAGGGATGGCCCTTGAAAACATGTGTTTATTCAGTGACGTCAGGACTCCTGTCTAGTAACGAGGGACACCTCAGGAATCTCTTCAAGGCTTGGCATTACAAAAGGGACGCTTCTCGAGGTGAGGCAGGGTAACCAAGGACACTTTCCAGGAGCCACAGGGATTTGGGGATTCCTAACATTGTTCAAGAGGAGTCAGGCATCGTGACATTTTCAAGCAGTGAACTCTGCCTGCCTCTCGAGGTGCCAAATGAATGTGAGGCATTCCGTCACAATGAGGCAGGGACCTAGAGCTTTCTTTAAGGTCTCGACAGGGGATTCGGACATCCCTTCATGTTGTGAGATGAAAGATGAGCCTGTATTCAAGCCACTGCAAGGAAATCTGGCCTCCTTTCAAGTTAGGGCTTCTCGCTGTATATTCCACTTGAGGCAGCAAACTCGGGGTCCCTCCCACATACCTATTGCTGAGGAAGCCTCCTCTTTCGGTGTTTCTGGAATGTTGGCATAAGTGTTGAGTCTAAGCCAGGGAATCAGCTCTCATCTCGAGACAATTTGGGGTACACGGAGCATTCCTCGAGTTGCTGTGCTGAAGTTGGTGTTCTTCTAGACTTGGGACAGTGTTCTCGGGGAATCTCTGGAGTTGCCTGAAGGAAGTCGAGCCAATGGTCGTGTTTAATGGGGAATGGGGAATGGCTCTGGAATCATTGCAGGTGAATCAATCCTCTTCTCGAGTTGATTTGGGGCACGTGGAGCTGCTTTGCATTGCTGGGGTGACCTCAGGGTCCGTCTAGACTTGTGACAGTGTTCTTGGGGACTGTCTTGAGATCCATTAACTAAGTCGAAGCTCCTTACAGGTTTGATGGAGATCATGGAATGGCTCTGATGCAATGCAGGGGAATTGGGCCTCATCTCGCCTCTAGGGGGAAGTCACATGGTTTTTCTCGATTTTCCGCGGCGACCTGGGGTATGTTCTCGAGGTACAGCGGGGATGGCCCTTCAAAACACGTGTTTATTCAGTGACAACAGGACTCCTGTCTAGTAATGAGGGACACCTCAGGAATATTTTGAGGCTTGGCAGGGCAAAAGGGACGCTTCTCGAGGTGAGGCAGGGCACCCAAGGACCCTTTTCAGGAGCCACAGGGATTTGAGATTCATAACATTTTTCAAGAGGAGTCAGGCATCGTGACATTTTGAGGCAGTGAACTCCGCCTGCCTCTCGAGCTGCCATATGGATGTGAGGCATTCCGTCAATGAGGCAGGGACCTAGAGCTCTGCTAAGGTCACGACAGGGGATTCAGACATCCCTTCATGTTTGAGATGAAAGACGAGCCTGTATTCAAGCCACTGCAAGGAAATCCGGCCTCCTTTCAAGTTAGGGCTTCTCGCTGTATATTCCACTTGAGGCAGCAAACTCGGGGTCCCTCCCACATACCTATTGCTGAGGAAGCCTCCTCTCTCGCTGTCTCTGGAAAGTTGGCATAAGTTTTGAGTCTAAGCCGGGGAATCAGCTCTCATCTCGAGACGATTAGGGGTACACGGAACATTCCTCGAGTTGCTGTGCTGAAGTTCGTGTTCTTCTAGAGCTGGGACAGTGTCCTTGGGGAATATCTGGAATTGTGTGAAGGAAGTCGAGCCACTGGCCGTATTTAATGTGTAACGGGGGTTGGCTCTGGAGTCAATGAAGGGGAATCTGACCTCATCTCGAGTTGATTTGGGGCACATGGAGCTGCTTTGCATTGCTGGCGTGACCTCAGGGCCCATCTAGACTTGTGAAAGTGTTCTTGGGGACTGTCTTGAGATCCAAAAACCAAGTCGAAGCTCCTTACATGTTTGATGGAGATCACAGAATGGCTCTGCATGCAATGCAGGGGAATCGGGCCTCATCTCGCCTCTAGGGGGAAGTCACATGGTTTTTCTCGATTTTCGGCGGCGACCTGGGGAATGTTCTCGAGTTTCAGCGGGGATGGCCCTTCAAAACACGTGTTTATATAGTGATGTCACGACTCCTGTCTAGTAACGAGGGACACCTCAGAAATCTCTTTGAGGCTTGGCAGGGCAAAAAGGGACGCTTCTCGAAGTGAGGCAGGGCACCCAAGGTCCCTTTCCAATAGTTACATGTATTTTGGGATTCCTAACAATGTTCAAGAGGAGTCTTGCATCATCACCCTTTGAAGTAGTGATCTCCGGGTTCCTCTCGATGTGTCAAAGGGATCTGAGGCATTCCGTCAAAATGAGGCAGGGACCTAGATCTTTCTCTAACGTCTCGACAGGGTGTCAGACATCCCTTCATGTTGTGAGATGATAGACGATCCTGTATTCACGCCACTGCAAGGAAATCCGGCCTCCTTTCGAGTTAGGGCTTCTCGCTGTATATTCAATTTGAGGCAGCAAACTCGGGGTTCCTCCCACATACCTATTGCTGAGAGAAGCCTCCTCTTTCGGTGTTTCTGGAAAGTTGGCATACGTCTTGAGCCTAAGCCAGGGAATCAGCTCTCATGTCAAGACGATTAGGGGTACAAGGAGCATTCCTCGAGTTGCTGTGCAGAAGTTGGTGTTCTTCTAGACTTGGGACAGTGTTCTCAGGGAATCTCTGGAGTTGCCTGAAGGAAGTCAAACCACTGGTCGTGTTTAATGGGGAAAGGGGGATGGCTCTTGAATCAATTCAGGGGAATCGGGCCTCATCTCGTGTTGATTTGCTGCACATGCAGCTGCTTTTCTTTGCTGGGGTGACCTCAGGGTCCGTCTAGACTTGAGACAGTGTTCTTGGGGACTATCTCAAGATCCATTAATCAAGTCGAAGGTCCTTACATGTTTGATGATGATCACGGAATTGTTCTGCATGCAATGCAGGGGAATCGGGCCTCATCTCGCATCTAGGGGGCAGTCTCCTGGTTTTTCTCGAGTTGAGGCGGGGACCTGGTGTATATTCTCGAGTTTCGGCGGGGATGCCCCTTTAAAACATGTGTTTATTCAGTGACGTCAGGACATCTGTCTAGTAACGGGGGACACCTCAGGAATCTCTTCGAGGCTTGGCATTGCAAAAGAGACGCTTCTCGAGGAGAGGCAGGCCACCCAAGGACCCTTTCCAGGAGCCACAGGGATTCTGGGATTCCTAACATTGTTCAAGAGGAGTCAGGCATCGTCACCTTTTGAAGCAGTGAACTCCGCCTGCCTCTCGAGGTGCCAAATTTATGAGAGGCATTCCGTCAAAATGAGGCAGGGACCTAGATCTTTCTCTAAGGTCTCGAGAGGGGATTCAGACATCTCTTCATGTTGTGAGATGAAAGACAGGCCTGCATTCACGCCACTGCAAGGAAATCCGGCCTCCTTTCAAGTTAGGGCTTCTCGCTGTATATTCCACTTGCGGCAGCAAACTCGGTGTCCCTCCCACATACCTATTGCTGAGGAAGCCTACTCTTTCGGTTTGTCTGGAAAGATGGCATAAGTGTTGAGTCTAAGCTAGGGAATCTGCTCTCATCTCGAGACGATCTGGGGTACACGGACCATTCCTCGAGTTGCTGTGCTGAAGTTGGTGTTCTTCTAGACTTGGGACAGTGTCCTTGGGGTATCTCTGGAATTGTGTGAAGGAAGTCGAGCCACTGGTCTTATTTAATGGGGATGGGGGAAGGCTCTGGAGTCAATGCAGGGGAATCTGGCCTCATCTCGAGTTGATTTGGGGCACATAGAGCTGCTTTGCGTTGCTGGGGTGACCTCAGTGACCGTCTAGACTTGTGACAGTGTTCTTGGGGACTGTCTTGAGATCCATTAACCAAGTCGAAGCTCCTTACATGTTTGATGGAGATCACAGAATCGCTCTGCATGAAATGCAGCGGAATCGGGCCTCATCCAACTGCTAGGGGGAAGTCACATGGTTTTGCTCGATTTTCGGTGGCGACCTGGGGTATCTTCTCGAGTTAAGGCGGGGATGGCCCTTCAAAACACGTGTTTATATAGTGATGTCACGTCTCCTGTCCAGTAACGAGGGACACGTCAGGAATCTCTTTGAGGCTTGGCAGGGTAAAACGAACGCTTCTCGAGGTAAGGCAGGGCACCCAAGGACCCTTTCCAGTAGTCACAGGGATTTGGGGATTCCTAACAATGTTCAAGAGGAGTCATGCATCGTCACCCTTTGAAGTAGTGATCTCCGAGTGCCTCTCGATGTGTCAAAGGGATGTGAGGCATTCCGTCAAAATGAGGCAGGGACCTAGATCTTTCTCTAACGTCTCGACAGGGGATTCAGACATCCCTTCATGTTGTGACATGAAAGACGAGCCTGTATTCACACCACTGCAAGGAAATCCGGCCTCCTTTCAAGTTAGGGCTTCTCACTGTATATTCCATTTGAGGCAGCAAACTCGGGGTCCCTCCCACATAACTATTGTTGAAAGAAGCCTCCTCTTTCGGTGTTTCTGGAAAGTTGGCATACGTCTTGGGCCTAAGCCAGGGAATCAGCTCTCATCTCGAGACAATTAGGGGTACATGGAGCATTCCTCGAGTTGCTGTGCTGAAGTTGGTGTTCTTCTAGACTTGCGACAGTGTTCTCAGGCAATCTCTGGAGTTGCCTGAAGGAAGTCAAACCACTAGTCCTGTTTAATGGGGAAAGGGGGATGGCTCTGGAAGCAATGCAGGGGAATCGGGCCTCATCTCGAGTTGATTTGTTGCACATGAAACTGCTTTGCTTTGCTGGGGTGACGTCAGTGTCCGTCTAGACTTGTGACAGTGTTCTTGGGGACTGTCTCGAGATCCATTCATCTAGTGAAAGCTCCTTACATGTTTGATGATGGTCACGGAATTGTTCTGCATGCAATGCAGGGGAATCGGGCCTCATCTCGCATCTAGGGGGATGTCTCCTGGTTTTTCTCGACTTGCGGCGGGGACCTGGTGTATGTTCTTGAGTTACGGCAGGGATGGCCCTTGAAAACATGTGTTTATTCAGTGACGTCAGGACCCTTGTCTAGTAACGAGGGACACCTCAGGAATCTCTTCAAGGCTTGGCATTACAAAAGGGACGCTTCTCGAGGTGAGGCAGGGTAACCAAGGACACTTTCCAGGAGCCACAGGGATTTGGGGATTCCTAACATTGTTCAAGAGGAGTCAGGCATCGTGACATTTTCAAGCAGTGAACTCTGCCTGCCTCTCGAGGTGCCAAATGAATGTGAGGCATTCCGTCACAATGAGGCAGGGACCTAGAGCTTTCTTTAAGGTCTCGACAGGGGATTCAGACATCCCTTCATGTTGTGAGATGAAAGATGAGCCTGTATTCAAGCCACTGCAAGGAAATCTGGCCTCCTTTCAAGTTAGGGCTTCTCGCTGTATATTCCACTTGCGGCAGCAAACTCGGGGTCCCTCCCACATACCTATTGCTGAGGAAGCCTCCTCTTTCGGTGTTTCTGGAATGTTGGCATAAGTGTTGAGTCTAAGCCAGGGAATCAGCTCTCATCTCGAGACAATTTGGGGTACACGGAGCATTCCTCGAGTTGCTGTGCTGAAGTTGGTGTTCTTCTAGACTTGGGACAGTGTTCTCGGGGAATCTCTGGAGTTGCCTGAAGGAAGTCGAGCCAATGGTCGTGTTTAATGGGGAATGGGGAATGGCTCTGGAATCATTGCAGGTGAATCAATCCTCTTCTCGAGTTGATTTGGGGCACGTGGAGCTGCTTTGCATTGCTGGGGTGACCTCAGGGTCCGTCTAGACTTGTGACAGTGTTCTTGGGGACTGTCTTGAGATCCATTAACTAAGTCGAAGCTCCTTACAGGTTTGATGGAGATCATGGAATGGCTCTGATGCAATGCAGGGGAATTGGGCCTCATCTCGCCTCTAGGGGGAAGTCACATGGTTTTTCTCGATTTTCCGCGGCGACCTGGGGTATGTTCTCGAGGTACAGCGGGGATGGCCCTTCAAAACACGTGTTTATTCAGTGACAACAGGACTCCTGTCTAGTAATGAGGGACACCTCAGGAATATTTTGAGGCTTGGCAGGGCAAAAGGGACGCTTCTCGAGGTGAGGCAGGGCACCCAAGGACCCTTTTCAGGAGCCACAGGGATTTGAGATTCATAACATTTTTCAAGAGGAGTCAGGCATCGTGACATTTTGAGGCAGTGAACTCCGCCTGCCTCTCGAGCTGCCATATGGATGTGAGGCATTCCGTCAATGAGGCAGGGACCTAGAGCTCTGCTAAGGTCTCGACAGGGGATTCAGACATCCCTTCATGTTTGAGATGAAAGACGAGCCTGTATTCAAGCCACTGCAAGGAAATCCGGCCTCCTTTCAAGTTAGGGCTTCTCGCTGTATATTCCACTTGAGGCAGCAAACTCGGGGTCCCTCCCACATACCTATTGCTGAGGAAGCCTCCTCTCTCGCTGTCTCTGGAAAGTTGGCATAAGTTTTGAGTCTAAGCCGGGGAATCAGCTCTCATCTCGAGACGATTAGGGGTACACGGAACATTCCTCGAGTTGCTGTGCTGAAGTTCGTGTTCTTCTAGAGCTGGGACAGTGTCCTTGGGGAATATCTGGAATTGTGTGAAGGAAGTCGAGCCACTGGCCGTATTTAATGTGTAACGGGGGTTGGCTCTGGAGTCAATGAAGGGGAATCTGACCTCATCTCGAGTTGATTTGGGGCACATGGAGCTGCTTTGCATTGCTGGCGTGACCTCAGGGCCCGTCTAGACTTGTGACAGTGTTCTTGGGGACTGTCTTGAGATCCAAAAACCAAGTCGAAGCTCCTTACATGTTTGATGGAGATCACAGAATCGCTCTGCATGAAATGCAGCGGAATCGGGCCTCATCCAACTTCTAGGGGGAAGTCACATGGTTTTGCTCGATCTTCGGTGGCGACCTGGGGTATCTTCTCGAGTTAAGGCGGGGATGGCCCTTCAAAACACGTTTTTATATAGTGATGTCACGTCTCCTGTCCAGTAACGAGGGACACGTCAGGAATCTCTTTGAGGCTTGGCAGGGTAAAACGAACGCTTCTCGAGGTAAGGCAGGGCACCCAAGGACCCTTTCCAGTAGTCACAGGGATTTGGGGATTCCTAACAATGTTCAAGAGGAGTCATGCATCGTCACCCTTTGAAGTAGTGATCTCCGAGTGCCTCTCGATGTGTCAAAGGGATGTGAGGCATTCCGTCAAAATGAGGCAGGGACCTAGATCTTTCTCTAACGTCTCGACAGGGGATTCAGACATCCCTTCATGTTGTGACATGAAAGACGAGCCTGTATTCACACCACTGCAAGGAAATCCGGCCTCCTTTCAAGTTAGGGCTTCTCACTGTATATTCCATTTGAGGCAGCAAACTCGGGGTCCCTCCCACATAACTATTGTTGAAAGAAGCCTCCTCTTTCGGTGTTTCTGGAAAGTTGGCATACGTCTTGGGCCTAAGCCAGGGAATCAGCTCTCATCTCGAGACAATTAGGGGTACATGCAGCATTCCTCGAGTTGCTGTGCTGAAGTTGGTGTTCTTCTAGACTTGCGACAGTGTTCTCAGGCAATCTCTGGAGTTGCCTGAAGGAAGTCAAACCACTAGTCCTGTTTAATGGGGAAAGGGGGATGGCTCTGGAAGCAATGCAGGGGAATCGGGCCTCATCTCGAGTTGATTTGTTGCACATGAAACAGCTTTGTTTTGCTGGGGTGACGTCAGTGTACGTCTAGACTTGTGACAGTGTTCTTGGGGACTGTCTCGAGATCCATTCATCTAGTGAAAGCTCCTTACATGTTTGATGATGGTCACGGAATTGTTCTGCATGCAATGCAGGGGAATCGGGCCTCATCTCGCATCTAGGGGGATGTCTCCTGGTTTTTCTCGACTTGCGGCGGGGACCTGGTGTATGTTCTTGAGTTACGGTGGGGATGGCCCTTCAAAACACGTGTTTATTCAGTGACGTCAGGACTCCTGTCTAGTAACGAGGGACACCTCAGGAATCTCTTTGAGGCTTGGCAGGGCAAAAAGGGACGCTTCTCGAGGTGAGGCAGGGCACCCAAGGTCCCTTTCCAATAGTTACATGTATTCTGGGATTCCTAACAATGTTCAAGAGGAGTCTTGCATCGTCACTCTTTGAAGTAGTGATCTCCGGGTTCCTCTCGATATGTCAAAGGGATGTGAGGCATTCCGTCAAAATGAGGCAGGGACCTAGATCTTTCTCTAACGTCTCGACAGGGGATTCAGACATCCCTTCATGTTGTGAGATGATAGACGAGCCTGTATTCACGCCACTGCAAGGAAATCCGGCCTCCTTTCAAGTTAGGGCTTCTCGCTGTATATTCAATTTGAGGCAGCAAACTCGGGGTCTCTCCCACATAACTATTGTTGAAAGAAGCCTCCTCTTTCGGTGTTTCTGGAAAGTTGGCATACGTCTTGGGCCTAAGCCAGGGAATCAGCTCTCATCTCGAGACAATTAGGGGTACATGGAGCATTCCTCGAGTTCCTGTGCTGAAGTTGGTGTTCTTCTAGACTTGCGACAGTGTTCTCAGGCAATCTCTGGAGTTGCCTGAAGGAAGTCAAACCACTAGTCCTGTTTAATGGGGAAAGGGGGATGGCTCTGGAAGCAATGCAGGGGAATCGGGCCTCATCTCGAGTTGATTTGTTGCACATGAAACTGCTTTGTTTTGCTGGGGTGACGTCAGTGTCCGTCTAGACTTGTGACAGTGTTCTTGGGGACTGTCTCGAGATCCATTCATCTAGTGAAAGCTCCTTACATGTTTGATGATGGTCACGGAATTGTTCTGCATGCAATGCAGGGGAATCGGGCCTCATCTCGCATCTAGGGGGATGTCTCCTGGTTTTTCTCGACTTGCGGCGGGGACCTGGTGTATGTTCTTGAGTTACGGCAGGGATGGCCCTTGAAAACATGTGTTTATTCAGTGACGTCAGGACTCCTGTCTAGTAACGAGGGACACCTCAGGAATCTCTTCAAGGCTTGGCATTACAAAAGGGACGCTTCTCGAGGTGAGGCAGGGTAACCAAGGACACTTTCCAGGAGCCACAGGGATTTGGGGATTCCTAACATTGTTCAAGAGGAGTCAGGCATCGTGACATTTTCAAGCAGTGAACTCTGCCTGCCTCTCGAGGTGCCAAATGAATGTGAGGCATTCCGTCACAATGAGGCAGGGACCTAGAGCTTTCTTTAAGGTCTCGACAGGGGATTCAGACATCCCTTCATGTTGTGAGATGAAAGACGAGCCTGTATTCAAGCCACTGCAAGGAAATCTGGCCTCCTTTCAAGTTAGGGCTTCTCGCTGTATATTCCACTTGAGGCAGCAAACTCGGGGTCCCTCCCACATACCTATTGCTGAGGAAGCCTCCTCTTTCGGTGTTTCTGGAATGTTGGCATAAGTGTTGAGTCTAAGCCAGGGAATCAGCTCTCATCTCGAGACAATTTGGGGTACACGGAGCATTCCTCGAGTTGCTGTGCTGAAGTTGGTGTTCTTCTAGACTTGGGACAGTGTTCTCGGGGAATCTCTGGAGTTGCCTGAAGGAAGTCGAGCCAATGGTCGTGTTTAATGGGGAATGGGGAATGGCTCTGGAATCATTGCAGGTGAATCAATCCTCTTCTCGAGTTGATTTGGGGCACGTGGAGCTGCTTTGCATTGCTGGGGTGACCTCAGGGTCCGTCTAGACTTGTGACAGTGTTCTTGGGGACTGTCTTGAGATCCATTAACTAAGTCGAAGCTCCTTACAGGTTTGATGGAGATCATGGAATGGCTCTGATGCAATGCAGGGGAATTGGGCCTCATCTCGCCTCTAGGGGGAAGTCACATGGTTTTTCTCGATTTTCCGCGGCGACCTGGGGTATGTTCTCGAGGTACAGCGGGGATGGCCCTTCAAAACACGTGTTTATTCAGTGACAACAGGACTCCTGTCTAGTAATGAGGGACACCTCAGGAATATTTTGAGGCTTGGCAGGGCAAAAGGGACGCTTCTCGAGGTGAGGCAGGGCACCCAAGGACCCTTTTCAGGAGCCACAGGGATTTGAGATTCATAACATTTTTCAAGAGGAGTCAGGCATCGTGACATTTTGAGGCAGTGAACTCCGCCTGCCTCTCGAGCTGCCATATGGATGTGAGGCATTCCGTCAATGAGGCAGGGACCTAGAGCTCTGCTAAGGTCTCGACAGGGGATTCAGACATCCCTTCATGTTTGGGATGAAAGACGAGCCTGTATTCAAGCCACTGCAAGGAAATCCGGCCTCCTTTCAAGTTAGGGCTTCTCGCTGTATATTCCACTTGAGGCAGCAAACTCGGGGTCCCTCCCACATACCTATTGCTGAGGAAGCCTCCTCTCTCGCTGTCTCTGGAAAGTTGGCATAGGTTTTGAGTCTAAGCCGGGGAATCAGCTCTCATCTCGAGACGATTAGGGGTACACGGAACATTCCTTGAGTTGCTGTGCTGAAGTTCGTGTTCTTCTAGAGCTGGGACAGTGTCCTTGGGGAATATCTGGAATTGTGTGAAGGAAGTCGAGCCACTGGCCGTATTTAATGTGTAACGGGGGTTGGCTCTGGAGTCAATGAAGGGGAATCTGACCTCATCTCGAGTTGATTTGGGGCACATGGAGCTGCTTTGCATTGCTGGCGTGACCTCAGGGCCCGTCTAGACTTGTGACAGTGTTCTTGGGGACTGTCTTGAGATCCAAAAACCAAGTCGAAGCTCCTTACATGTTTGATGGAGATCACAGAATGGCTCTGCATGCAATGCAGGGGAATCGGGCCTCATCTCGCCTCTAGGGGGAAGTCACATGGTTTTTCTCGATTTTCGGCGGCGACCTGGGGAATGTTCTCGAGTTTCAGCGGGGATGGCCCTTCAAAACACGTGTTTATATAGTGATGTCACGACTCCTGTCTAGTAACGAGGGACACCTCAGAAATCTCTTTGAGGCTTGGCAGGGCAAAAAGGGACGCTTCTCGAAGTGAGGCAGGGCACCCAAGGTCCCTTTCCAATAGTTACATGTATTTTGGGATTCCTAACAATGTTCAAGAGGAGTCTTGCATCATCACCCTTTGAAGTAGTGATCTCCGGGTTCCTCTCGATGTGTCAAAGGGATCTGAGGCATTCCGTCAAAATGAGGCAGGGACCTAGATCTTTCTCTAACGTCTCGACAGGGTATCAGACATCCCTTCATGTTGTGAGATGATAGACGAGCCTGTATTCACGCCACTGCAAGGAAATCCGGCCTCCTTTCACGTTAGGGCTTCTCGCTGTATATTCAATTTGAGGCAGCAAACTCGGGGTTCCTCCCACATACCTATTGCTAAGAGAAGCCTCCTCTTTCGGTGTTTCTGGAAAGTTGGCATACGTCTTGAGCCTAAGCCAGGGAATCAGCTCTCATGTCAAGACGATTAGGGGTACAAGGAGCATTCCTCGAGTTGCTGTGCAGAAGTTGGTGTTCTTCTAGACTTGGGACAGTGTTCTCAGGGAATCTCTGGAGTTGCCTGAAGGAAGTCAAACCACTGGTCGTGTTTAATGGGGAAAGGGGGATGGCTCTTGAATCAATGCAGGGGAATCGGGCCTCATCTCGAGTTGATTTGCTGCACATGCAGCTGCTTTTCTTTGCTGGGGTGACCTCAGGGTCCGTCTAGACTTGTGACAGTGTTCTTGGGGACTATCTCAAGATCCATTAATCGAGTCGAAGGTCCTTACATGTTTGATGATGATCACGGAATTGTTCTGCATGCAATGCAGGGGAATCGGGCCTCATCTCGCATCTAGGGGGCAGTCTCCTGGTTTTTCTCGAGTTGAGGCGGGGACCTGGTGTATATTCTCGAGTTTCGGCGGGGATGCCCCTTTAAAACATGTGTTTATTCAGTGACGTCAGGACATCTGTCTAGTAACGGGGGACACCTCAGGAATCTCTTCGAGGCTTGGCATTGCAAAAGAGACGCTTCTCGAGGAGAGGCAGGCCACCCAAGGACCCTTTCCAGGAGCCACAGGGATTCTGGGATTCCTAACATTGTTCAAGAGGAGTCAGGCATCGTCACCTTTTGAAGCAGTGAACTCCGCCTGCCTCTCGAGGTGCCAAATTTATGAGAGGCATTCCGTCAAAATGAGGCAGGGACCTAGATCTTTCTCTAAGGTCTCGAGAGGGGATTCAGACATCTCTTCATGTTGTGAGATGAAAGACAGGCCTGCATTCACGCCACTGCAAGGAAATCCGGCCTCCTTTCAAGTTAGGGCTTCTCGCTGTATATTCCACTTGCGGCAGCAAACTCGGTGTCCCTCCCACATACCTATTGCTGAGGAAGCCTACTCTTTCGGTTTGTCTGGAAAGATGGCATAAGTGTTGAGTCTAAGCTAGGGAATCTGCTCTCATCTCGAGACGATCTGGGGTACACGGACCATTCCTCGAGTTGCTGTGCTGAAGTTGGTGTTCTTCTAGACTTGGGACAGTGTCCTTGGGGAATCTCTGGAATTGTGTGAAGGAAGTCGAGCCACTGGTCTTATTTAATGGGGATGGGGGAAGGCTCTGGAGTCAATGCAGGGGAATCTGGCCTCATCTCGAGTTGATTTGGGGCACATAGAGCTGCTTTGCGTTGCTGGGGTGACCTCAGGGTCCGTCTAGACTTGTGACAGTGTTCTTGGGGACTGTCTTGAGATCCATTAACCAAGTCGAAGCTCCTTACATGTTTGATGGAGATCACAGAATCGCTCTGCATGAAATGCAGCGGAATCGGGCCTCATCCAACTTCTAGGGGGAAGTCACATGGTTTTGCTCGATTTTCGGTGGCGACCTGGGGTATCTTCTCGAGTTAAGGCGGGGATGGCCCTTCAAAACACGTGTTTATATAGTGATGTCACGTCTCCTGTCCAGTAACGAGGGACACGTCAGGAATCTCTTTGAGTCTTGGCAGGGTAAAACGAACGCTTCTCGAGGTAAGGCAGGGCACCCAAGGACCCTTTCCAGTAGTCACAGGGATTTGGGGATTCCTAACAATGTTCAAGAGGAGTCATGCATCGTCACCCTTTGAAGTAGTGATCTCCGAGTGCCTCTCGATGTGTCAAAGGGATGTGAGGCATTCCGTCAAAATGAGGCAGGGACCTAGATCTTTCTCTAACGTCTCGACAGGGGATTCAGACATCCCTTCATGTTGTGACATGAAAGACGAGCCTGTATTCACACCACTGCAAGGAAATCCGGCCTCCTTTCAAGTTAGGGCTTCTCACTGTATATTCCATTTGAGGCAGCAAACTCGGGGTCCCTCCCACATAACTATTGTTGAAAGAAGCCTCCTCTTTCGGTGTTTCTGGAAAGTTGGCATACGTCTTGGGCCTAAGCCAGGGAATCAGCTCTCATCTCGAGACAATTAGGGGTACATGGAGCATTCCTCGAGTTGCTGTGCTGAAGTTGGTGTTCTTCTAGACTTGCGACAGTGTTCTCAGGCAATCTCTGGAGTTGCCTGAAGGAAGTCAAACCACTAGTCCTGTTTAATGGGGAAAGGGGGATGGCTCTGGAAGCAATGCAGGGGAATCGGGCCTCATCTCGAGTTGATTTGTTGCACATGAAACTGCTTTGCTTTGCTGGGGTGACGTCAGTGTCCGTCTAGACTTGTGACAGTGTTCTTGGGGACTGTCTCGAGATCCATTCATCTAGTGAAAGCTCCTTACATGTTTGATGATGGTCACGGAATTGTTCTGCATGCAATGCAGGGGAATCGGGCCTCATCTCGCATCTAGGGGGATGTCTCCTGGTTTTTCTCGACTTGCGGCGGGGACCTGGTGTATGTTCTTGAGTTACGGCAGGGATGGCCCTTGAAAACATGTGTTTATTCAGTGACGTCAGGACCCTTGTCTAGTAACGAGGGACACCTCAGGAATCTCTTCAAGGCTTGGCATTACAAAAGGGACGCTTCTCGAGGTGAGGCAGGGTAACCAAGGACACTTTCCAGGAGCCACAGGGATTTGGGGATTCCTAACATTGTTCAAGAGGAGTCAGACATCGTGACATTTTCAAGCAGTGAACTCTGCCTGCCTCTCGAGGTGCCAAATGAATGTGAGGCATTCCGTCACAATGAGGCAGGGACCTAGAGCTTTCTTTAAGGTCTCGACAGGGGATTCAGACATCCCTTCATGTTGTGAGATGAAAGACGAGCCTGTATTCAAGCCACTGCAAGGAAATCTGGCCTCCTTTCAAGTTAGGGCTTCTCGCTGTATATTCCACTTGAGGCAGCAAACTCGGGGTCCCTCCCACATACCTATTGCTGAGGAAGCCTCCTCTTTCGGTGTTTCTGGAATGTTGGCATAAGTGTTGAGTCTAAGCCAGGGAATCAGCTCTCATCTCGAGACAATTTGGGGTACACGGAGCATTCCTCGAGTTGCTGTGCTGAAGTTGGTGTTCTTCTAGACTTGGGACAGTGTTCTCGGGGAATCTCTGGAGTTGCCTGAAGGAAGTCGAGCCAATGGTCGTGTTTAATGGGGAATGGGGAATGGCTCTGGAATCATTGCAGGTGAATCAATCCTCTTCTCGAGTTGATTTGGGGCACGTGGAGCTGCTTTGCATTGCTGGGGTGACCTCAGGGTCCGTCTAGACTTGTGACAGTGTTCTTGGGGACTGTCTTGAGATCCATTAACTAAGTCGAAGCTCCTTACAGGTTTGATGGAGATCATGGAATGGCTCTGATGCAATGCAGGGGAATTGGGCCTCATCTCGCCTCTAGGGGGAAGTCACTTGGTTTTTCTCGATTTTCCGCGGCGACCTGGGGTATGTTCTCGAGGTACAGCGGGGATGGCCCTTCAAAACACGTGTTTATTCAGTGACAACAGGACTCCTGTCTAGTAATGAGGGACACCTCAGGAATATTTTGAGGCTTGGCAGGGCAAAAGGGACGCTTCTCGAGGTGAGGCAGGGCACCCAAGGACCCTTTTCAGGAGCCACAGGGATTTGAGATTCATAACATTTTTCAAGAGGAGTCAGGCATCGTGACATTTTGAGACAGTGAACTCCGCCTGCCTCTCGAGCTGCCATATGGATGTGAGGCATTCCGTCAATGAGGCAGGGACCTAGAGCTCTGCTAAGGTCTCGACAGGGGATTCAGACATCCCTTCATGTTTGAGATGAAAGACGAGCCTGTATTCAAGCCACTGCAAGGAAATCCGGCCTCCTTTCAAGTTAGGGCTTCTCGCTGTATATTCCACTTGAGGCAGCAAACTCGGGGTCCCTCCCACATACCTATTGCTGAGGAAGCCTCCTCTCTCGCTGTCTCTGGAAAGTTGGCATAAGTTTTGAGTCTAAGGCGGGGAATCAGCTCTCATCTCGAGACGATTAGGGGTACACGGAACATTCCTCGAGTTGCTGTGCTGAAGTTCGTGTTCTTCTAGAGCTGGGACAGTGTCCTTGGGGAATATCTGGAATTGTGTGAAGGAAGTCGAGCCACTGGCCGTATTTAATGTGTAACGGGGGTTGGCTCTGGAGTCAATGAAGGGGAATCTGACCTCATCTCGAGTTGATTTGGGGCACATGGAGCTGCTTTGCATTGCTGGCGTGACCTCAGGGCCCGTCTAGACTTGTGACAGTGTTCTTGGGGACTGTCTTGAGATCCAAAAACCAAGTCGAAGCTCCTTACATGTTTGATGGAGATCACAGAATGGCTCTGCATGCAATGCAGGGGAATCGGGCCTCATCTCGCCTCTAGGGGGAAGTCACATGGTTTTTCTCGATTTTCGGCGGCGACCTGGGGAATGTTCTCGAGTTTCAGCGGGGATGGCCCTTCAAAACACGTGTTTATATAGTGATGTCACGACTCCTGTCTAGTAACGAGGGACACCTCAGAAATCTCTTTGAGGCTTGGCAGGGCAAAAAGGGACGCTTCTCGAAGTGAGGCAGGGCACCCAAGGTCCCTTTCCAATAGTTACATGTATTTTGGGATTCCTAACAATGTTCAAGAGGAGTCTTGCATCATCACCCTTTGAAGTAGTGATCTCCGGGTTCCTCTCGATGTGTCAAAGGGATCTGAGGCATTCCGTCAAAATGAGGCAGGGACCTAGATCTTTCTCTAACGTCTCGACAGGGTATCAGACATCCCTTCATGTTGTGAGATGATAGACGAGCCTGTATTCACGCCACTGCAAGGAAATCCGGCCTCCTTTCACGTTAGGGCTTCTCGCTGTATATTCAATTTGAGGCAGCAAACTCGGGGTTCCTCCCACATACCTATTGCTAAGAGAAGCCTCCTCTTTCGGTGTTTCTGGAAAGTTGGCATACGTCTTGAGCCTAAGCCAGGGAATCAGCTCTCATGTCAAGACGATTAGGGGTACAAGGAGCATTCCTCGAGTTGCTGTGCAGAAGTTGGTGTTCTTCTAGACTTGGGACAGTGTTCTCAGGGAATCTCTGGAGTTGCCTGAAGGAAGTCAAACCACTGGTCGTGTTTAATGGGGAAAGGGGGATGGCTCTTGAATCAATGCAGGGGAATCGGGCCTCATCTCGAGTTGATTTGCTGCACATGCAGCTGCTTTTCTTTGCTGGGGTGACCTCAGGGTCCGTCTAGACTTGTGACAGTGTTCTTGGGGACTATCTCAAGATCCATTAATCGAGTCGAAGGTCCTTACATGTTTGATGATGATCACGGAATTGTTCTGCATGCAATGCAGGGGAATCGGGCCTCATCTCGCATCTAGGGGGCAGTCTCCTGGTTTTTCTCGAGTTGAGGCGGGGACCTGGTGTATATTCTCGAGTTTCGGCGGGGATGCCCCTTTAAAACATGTGTTTATTCAGTGACGTCAGGACATCTGTCTAGTAACGGGGGACACCTCAGGAATCTCTTCGAGGCTTGGCATTGCAAAAGAGACGCTTCTCGAGGAGAGGCAGGCCACCCAAGGACCCTTTCCAGGAGCCACAGGGATTCTGGGATTCCTAACATTGTTCAAGAGGAGTCAGGCATCGTCACCTTTTGAAGCAGTGAACTCCGCCTGCCTCTCGAGGTGCCAAATTTATGAGAGGCATTCCGTCAAAATGAGGCAGGGACCTAGATCTTTCTCTAAGGTCTCGAGAGGGGATTCAGACATCTCTTCATGTTGTGAGATGAAAGACAGGCCTGCATTCACGCCACTGCAAGGAAATCCGGCCTCCTTTCAAGTTAGGGCTTCTCGCTGTATATTCCACTTGCGGCAGCAAACTCGGTGTCCCTCCCACATACCTATTGCTGAGGAAGCCTACTCTTTCGGTTTGTCTGGAAAGATGGCATAAGTGTTGAGTCTAAGCTAGGGAATCTGCTCTCATCTCGAGACGATCTGGGGTACACGGACCATTCCTCGAGTTGCTGTGCTGAAGTTGGTGTTCTTCTAGACTTGGGACAGTGTCCTTGGGGAATCTCTGGAATTGTGTGAAGGAAGTCGAGCCACTGGTCTTATTTAATGGGGATGGGGGAAGGCTCTGGAGTCAATGCAGGGGAATCTGGCCTCATCTCGAGTTGATTTGGGGCACATAGAGCTGCTTTGCGTTGCTGGGGTGACCTCAGGGTCCGTCTAGACTTGTGACAGTGTTCTTGGGGACTGTCTTGAGATCCATTAACCAAGTCGAAGCTCCTTACATGTTTGATGGAGATCACAGAATCGCTCTGCATGAAATGCAGCGGAATCGGGCCTCATCCAACTTCTAGGGGGAAGTCACATGGTTTTGCTCGATTTTCGGTGGCGACCTGGGGTATCTTCTCGAGTTAAGGCGGGGATGGCCCTTCAAAACACGTGTTTATATAGTGATGTCACGTCTCCTGTCCAGTAACGAGGGACACGTCAGGAATCTCTTTGAGTCTTGGCAGGGTAAAACGAACGCTTCTCGAGGTAAGGCAGGGCACCCAAGGACCCTTTCCAGTAGTCACAGGGATTTGGGGATTCCTAACAATGTTCAAGAGGAGTCATGCATCGTCACCCTTTGAAGTAGTGATCTCCGAGTGCCTCTCGATGTGTCAAAGGGATGTGAGGCATTCCGTCAAAATGAGGCAGGGACCTAGATCTTTCTCTAACGTCTCGACAGGGGATTCAGACATCCCTTCATGTTGTGACATGAAAGACGAGCCTGTATTCACACCACTGCAAGGAAATCCGGCCTCCTTTCAAGTTAGGGCTTCTCACTGTATATTCCATTTGAGGCAGCAAACTCGGGGTCCCTCCCACATAACTATTGTTGAAAGAAGCCTCCTCTTTCGGTGTTTCTGGAAAGTTGGCATACGTCTTGGGCCTAAGCCAGGGAATCAGCTCTCATCTCGAGACAATTAGGGGTACATGGAGCATTCCTCGAGTTGCTGTGCTGAAGTTGGTGTTCTTCTAGACTTGCGACAGTGTTCTCAGGCAATCTCTGGAGTTGCCTGAAGGAAGTCAAACCACTAGTCCTGTTTAATGGGGAAAGGGGGATGGCTCTGGAAGCAATGCAGGGGAATCGGGCCTCATCTCGAGTTGATTTGTTGCACATGAAACTGCTTTGCTTTGCTGGGGTGACGTCAGTGTCCGTCTAGACTTGTGACAGTGTTCTTGGGGACTGTCTCGAGATCCATTCATCTAGTGAAAGCTCCTTACATGTTTGATGATGGTTACGGAATTGTTCTGCATGCAATGCAGGGGAATCGGGCCTCATCTCGCATCTAGGGGGATGTCTCCTGGTTTTTCTCGACTTGCGGCGGGGACCTGGTGTATGTTCTTGAGTTACGGCAGGGATGGCCCTTGAAAACATGTGTTTATTCAGTGACGTCAGGACCCTTGTCTAGTAACGAGGGACACCTCAGGAATCTCTTCAAGGCTTGGCATTACAAAAGGGACGCTTCTCGAGGTGAGGCAGGGTAACCAAGGACACTTTCCAGGAGCCACAGGGATTTGGGGATTCCTAACATTGTTCAAGAGGAGTCAGACATCGTGACATTTTCAAGCAGTGAACTCTGCCTGCCTCTCGAGGTGCCAAATGAATGTGAGGCATTCCGTCACAATGAGGCAGGGACCTAGAGCTTTCTTTAAGGTCTCGACAGGGGATTCAGACATCCCTTCATGTTGTGAGATGAAAGACGAGCCTGTATTCAAGCCACTGCAAGGAAATCTGGCCTCCTTTCAAGTTAGGGCTTCTCGCTGTATATTCCACTTGAGGCAGCAAACTCGGGGTCCCTCCCACATACCTATTGCTGAGGAAGCCTCCTCTTTCGGTGTTTCTGGAATGTTGGCATAAGTGTTGAGTCTAAGCCAGGGAATCAGCTCTCATCTCGAGACAATTTGGGGTACACGGAGCATTCCTCGAGTTGCTGTGCTGAAGTTGGTGTTCTTCTAGACTTGGGACAGTGTTCTCGGGGAATCTCTGGAGTTGCCTGAAGGAAGTCGAGCCAATGGTCGTGTTTAATGGGGAATGGGGAATGGCTCTGGAATCATTGCAGGTGAATCAATCCTCTTCTCGAGTTGATTTGGGGCACGTGGAGCTGCTTTGCATTGCTGGGGTGACCTCAGGGTCCGTCTAGACTTGTGACAGTGTTCTTGGGGACTGTCTTGAGATCCATTAACTAAGTCGAAGCTCCTTACAGGTTTGATGGAGATCATGGAATGGCTCTGATGCAATGCAGGGGAATTGGGCCTCATCTCGCCTCTAGGGGGAAGTCACTTGGTTTTTCTCGATTTTCCGCGGCGACCTGGGGTATGTTCTCGAGGTACAGCGGGGATGGCCCTTCAAAACACGTGTTTATTCAGTGACAACAGGACTCCTGTCTAGTAATGAGGGACACCTCAGGAATATTTTGAGGCTTGGCAGGGCAAAAGGGACGCTTCTCGAGGTGAGGCAGGGCACCCAAGGACCCTTTTCAGGAGCCACAGGGATTTGAGATTCATAACATTTTTCAAGAGGAGTCAGGCATCGTGACATTTTGAGGCAGTGAACTCCGCCTGCCTCTCGAGCTGCCATATGGATGTGAGGCATTCCGTCAATGAGGCAGGGACCTAGAGCTCTGCTAAGGTCTCGACAGGGGATTCAGACATCCCTTCATGTTTGAGATGAAAGACGAGCCTGTATTCAAGCCACTGCAAGGAAATCCGGCCTCCTTTCAAGTTAGGGCTTCTCGCTGTATATTCCACTTGAGGCAGCAAACTCGGGGTCCCTCCCACATACCTATTGCTGAGGAAGCCTCCTCTCTCGCTGTCTCTGGAAAGTTGGCATAAGTTTTGAGTCTAAGCCGGGGAATCAGCTCTCATCTCGAGACGATTAGGGGTACACGGAACATTCCTCAAGTTGCTGTGCTGAAGTTCGTGTTCTTCTAGAGCTGGGACAGTGTCCTTGGGGAATATCTGGAATTGTGTGAAGGAAGTCGAGCCACTGGCCGTATTTAATGTGTAACGGGGGTTGGCTCTGGAGTCAATGAAGGGGAATCTGACCTCATCTCGAGTTGATTTGGGGCACATGGAGCTGCTTTGCATTGCTGGCGTGACCTCAGGGCCCGTCTAGACTTGTGACAGTGTTCTTGGGGACTGTCTTGAGATCCAAAAACCAAGTCGAAGCTCCTTACATGTTTGATGGAGATCACAGAATGGCTCTGCATGCAATGCAGGGGAATCGGGCCTCATCTCGCCTCTAGGGGGAAGTCACATGGTTTTTCTCGATTTTCGGCGGCGACCTGGGGAATGTTCTCGAGTTTCAGCGGGGATGGCCCTTCAAAACACGTGTTTATATAGTGATGTCACGACTCCTGTCTAGTAACGAGGGACACCTCAGAAATCTCTTTGAGGCTTGGCAGGGCAAAAAGGGACGCTTCTCGAAGTGAGGCAGGGCACCCAAGGTCCCTTTCCAATAGTTACATGTATTTTGGGATTCCTAACAATGTTCAAGAGGAGTCTTGCATCATCACCCTTTGAAGTAGTGATCTCCGGGTTCCTCTCGATGTGTCAAAGGGATCTGAGGCATTCCGTCAAAATGAGGCAGGGACCTAGATCTTTCTCTAACGTCTCGACAGGGTGTCAGACATCCCTTCATGTTGTGAGATGATAGACGAGCCTGTATTCACGCCACTGCAAGGAAATCCGGCCTCCTTTCAAGTTAGGGCTTCTCGCTGTATATTCAATTTGAGGCAGCAAACTCGGGGTTCCTCCCACATACCTATTGCTGAGAGAAGCCTCCTCTTTCGGTGTTTCTGGAAAGTTGGCATATGTCTTGAGCCTAAGCCAGGGAATCAGCTCTCATGTCAAGACGGTTAGGGGTACAAGGAGCATTCCTCGAGTTGCTGTGCAGAAGTTGGTGTTCTTCTAGACTTGGGACAGTGTTCTCAGGGAATCTCTGGAGTTGCCTGAAGGAAGTCAAACCACTGGTCGTGTTTAATGGGGAAAGGGGGATGGCTCTTGAATCAATGCAGGGGAATCGGGCCTCATCTCGAGTTGATTTGCTGCACATGCAGCTGCTTTTCTTTGCTGGGGTGACCTCAGGGTCCGTCTAGACTTGTGACAGTGTTCTTGGGGACTATCTCAAGATCCATTAATCGAGTCGAAGGTCCTTACATGTTTGATGATGATCACGGAATTGTTCTGCATGCAATGCAGGGGAATCGGGCCTCATCTCGCATCTAGGGGGCAGTCTCCTGGTTTTTCTCGAGTTGAGGCGGGGACCTGGTGTATATTCTCGAGTTTCGGCGGGGATGCCCCTTTAAAACATGTGTTTATTCAGTGACGTCAGGACATCTGTCTAGTAACGGGGGACACCTCAGGAATCTCTTCGAGGCTTGGCATTGCAAAAGAGACGCTTCTCGAGGAGAGGCAGGCCACCCAAGGACCCTTTCCAGGAGCCACAGGGATTCTGGGATTCCTAACATTGTTCAAGAGGAGTCAGGCATCGTCACCTTTTGAAGCAGTGAACTCCGCCTGCCTCTCGAGGTGCCAAATTTATGAGAGGCATTCCGTCAAAATGAGGCAGGGACCTAGATCTTTCTCTAAGGTCTCGAGAGGGGATTCAGACATCTCTTCATGTTGTGAGATGAAAGACAGGCCTGCATTCACGCCACTGCAAGGAAATCCGGCCTCCTTTCAAGTTAGGGCTTCTCGCTGTATATTCCACTTGCGGCAGCAAACTCGGTGTCCCTCCCACATACCTATTGCTGAGGAAGCCTACTCTTTCGGTTTGTCTGGAAAGATGGCATAAGTGTTGAGTCTAAGCTAGGGAATCTGCTCTCATCTCGAGACGATCTGGGGTACACGGACCATTCCTCGAGTTGCTGTGCTGAAGTTGGTGTTCTTCTAGACTTGGGACAGTGTCCTTGGGGAATCTCTGGAATTGTGTGAAGGAAGTCGAGCCACTGGTCTTATTTAATGGGGATGGGGGAAGGCTCTGGAGTCAATGCAGGGGAATCTGGCCTCATCTCGAGTTGATTTGGGGCACATAGAGCTGCTTTGCATTGCTGGGGTGACCTCAGTGACCGTCTAGACTTGTGACAGTGTTCTTGGGGACTGTCTTGAGATCCATTAACCAAGTCGAAGCTCCTTACATGTTTGATGGAGATCACAGAATCGCTCTGCATGAAATGCAGCGGAATCGGGCCTCATCCAACTTCTAGGGGGAAGTCACATGGTTTTGCTCGATTTTCGGTGGCGACCTGGGGTATCTTCTCGAGTTAAGGCGGGGATGGCCCTTCAAAACACGTGTTTATATAGTGATGTCACGTCTCCTGTCCAGTAACGAGGGACACGTCAGGAATCTCTTTGAGGCTTGGCAGGGTAAAACGAACGCTTCTCGAGGTAAGGCAGGGCACCCAAGGACCCTTTCCAGTAGTCACAGGGATTTGGGGATTCCTAACAATGTTCAAGAGGAGTCATGCATCGTCACCCTTTGAAGTAGTGATCTCCGAGTGCCTCTCGATGTGTCAAAGGGATGTGAGGCATTCCGTCAAAATGAGGCAGGGACCTAGATCTTTCTCTAATGTCTCGACAGGGGATTCAGACATCCCTTCATGTTGTGACATGAAAGACGAGCCTGTATTCACACCACTGCAAGGAAATCCGGCCTCCTTTCAAGTTAGGGCTTCTCACTGTATATTCCATTTGAGGCAGCAAACTCGGGGTCCCTCCCACATAACTATTGTTGAAAGAAGCCTCCTCTTTCGGTGTTTCTGGAAAGTTGGCATACGTCTTGGGCCTAAGCCAGGGAATCAGCTCTCATCTCGAGACAATTAGGGGTACATGGAGCATTCCTCGAGTTGCTGTGCTGAAGTTGGTGTTCTTCTAGACTTGCGACAGTGTTCTCAGGCAATCTCTGGAGTTGCCTGAAGGAAGTCAAACCACTAGTCCTGTTTAATGGGGAAAGGGGGATGGCTCTGGAAGCAATGCAGGGGAATCGGGCCTCATCTCGAGTTGATTTGTTGCACATGAAACTGCTTTGTTTTGCTGGGGTGACGTCAGTGTCCGTCTAGACTTGTGACAGTGTTCTTGGTGACTGTCTCGAGATCCATTCATCTACTGAAAGCTCCTTACATGTTTGATGATGGTCACGGAATTGTTCTGCATGCAATGCAGGGGAATCGGGCCTCATCTCGCATCTAGGGGGATGTCTCCTGGTTTTTCTCGACTTGCGGCGGGGACCTGGTGTATGTTCTTGAGTTACGGTGGGGATGGCCCTTCAAAACACGTGTTTATTCAGTGACGTCAGGACTCCTGTCTAGTAACGAGGGACACCTCAGGAATCTCTTTGAGGCTTGGCAGGGCAAAAAGGGACGCTTCTCGAGGTGAGGCAGGGCACCCAAGTTCCCTTTCCAATAGTTACATGTATTCTGGGATTCCTAACAATGTTCAAGAGGAGTCTTGCATCGTCACTCTTTGAAGTAGTGATCTCCGGGTTCCTCTCGATATGTCAAAGGGATGTGAGGCATTCCGTCAAAATGAGGCAGGGACCTAGATCTTTCTCTAACGTCTCGACAGGGGATTCAGACATCCCTTCATGTTGTGAGATGATAGACGAGCCTGTATTCACGCCACTGCAAGGAAATCCGGCCTCCTTTCAAGTTAGGGCTTCTCGCTGTATATTCAATTTGAGGCAGCAAACTCGGGGTCTCTCCCACATAACTATTGTTGAAAGAAGCCTCCTCTTTCGGTGTTTCTGGAAAGTTGGCATACGTCTTGGGCCTAAGCCAGGGAATCAGCTCTCATCTCGAGACAATTAGGGGTACATGGAGCATTCCTCGAGTTCCTGTGCTGAAGTTGGTGTTCTTCTAGACTTGCGACAGTGTTCTCAGGCAATCTCTGGAGTTGCCTGAAGGAAGTCAAACCACTAGTCCTGTTTAATGGGGAAAGGGGGATGGCTCTGGAACCAATGCAGGGGAATCGGGCCTCATCTCGAGTTGATTTGTTGCACATGAAACTGCTTTGCTTTGCTGGGGTGACGTCAGTGTCCGTCTAGACTTGTGACAGTGTTCTTGGGGACTGTCTCGAGATCCATTCATCTAGTGAAAGCTCCTTACATGTTTGATGATGGTCACGGAATTGTTCTGCATGCAATGCAGGGGAATCGGGCCTCATCTCGCATCTAGGGGGATATCTCCTGGTTTTTCTCGACTTGCGGCGGGGACCTGGTGTATGTTCTTGAGTTACGGCAGGGATGGCCCTTGAAAACATGTGTTTATTCAGTGACGTCAGGACTCCTGTCTAGTAACGAGGGACACCTCAGGAATCTCTTCAAGGCTTGGCATTACAAAAGGGACGCTTCTCGAGGTGAGGCAGGGTAACCAAGGACACTTTCCAGGAGCCACAGGGATTTGGGGATTCCTAACATTGTTCAAGAGGAGTCAGGCATCGTGACATTTTCAAGCAGTGAACTCTGCCTGCCTCTCGAGGTGCCAAATGAATGTGAGGCATTCCGTCACAATGAGGCAGGGACCTAGAGCTTTCTTTAAGGTCTCGACAGGGGATTCAGACATCCCTTCATGTTGTGAGATGAAAGACGAGCCTGTATTCAAGCCACTGCAAGGAAATCTGGCCTCCTTTCAAGTTAGGGCTTCTCGCTGTATATTCCACTTGAGGCAGCAAACTCGGGGTCCCTCCCACATACCTATTGCTGAGGAAGCCTCCTCTTTCGGTGTTTCTGGAATGTTGGCATAAGTGTTGAGTCTAAGCCAGGGAATCAGCTCTCATCTCGAGACAATTTGGGGTACACGGAGCATTCCTCGAGTTGCTGTGCTGAAGTTGGTGTTCTTCTAGACTTGGGACAGTGTTCTCGGGGAATCTCTGGAGTTGCCTGAAGGAAGTCGAGCCAATGGTCGTGTTTAATGGGGAATGGGGAATGGCTCTGGAATCATTGCAGGTGAATCAATCCTCTTCTCGAGTTGATTTGGGGCACGTGGAGCTGCTTTGCATTGCTGGGGTGACCTCAGGGTCCGTCTAGACTTGTGACAGTGTTCTTGGGGACTGTCTTGAGATCCATTAACTAAGTCGAAGCTCCTTACAGGTTTGATGGAGATCATGGAATGGCTCTGATGCAATGCAGGGGAATTGGGCCTCATCTCGCCTCTAGGGGGAAGTCACATGGTTTTTCTCGATTTTCCGCGGCGACCTGGGGTATGTTCTCGAGGTACAGCGGGGATGGCCCTTCAAAACACGTGTTTATTCAGTGACAACAGGACTCCTGTCTAGTAATGAGGGACACCTCAGGAATATTTTGAGGCTTGGCAGGGCAAAAGGGACGCTTCTCGAGGTGAGGCAGGACACCCAAGGACCCTTTTCAGGAGCCACAGGGATTTGAGATTCATAACATTTTTCAAGAGGAGTCAGGCATCGTGACATTTTGAGGCAGTGAACTCCGCCTGCCTCTCGAGCTGCCATATGGATGTGAGGCATTCCGTCAATGAGGCAGGGACCTAGAGCTCTGCTAAGGTCTCGACAGGGGATTCAGACATCCCTTCATGTTTGGGATGAAAGACGAGCCTGTATTCAAGCCACTGCAAGGAAATCCGGCCTCCTTTCAAGTTAGGGCTTCTCGCTGTATATTCCACTTGAGGCAGCAAACTCGGGGTCCCTCCCACATACCTATTGCTGAGGAAGCCTCCTCTCTCGCTGTCTCTGGAAAGTTGGCATAAGTTTTGAGTCTAAGCCGGGGAATCAGCTCTCATCTCGAGACGATTAGGGGTACACGGAACATTCCTTGAGTTGCTGTGCTGAAGTTCGTGTTCTTCTAGAGCTGGGACAGTGTCCTTGGGGAATATCTGGAATTGTGTGAAGGAAGTCGAGCCACTGGCCGTATTTAATGTGTAACGGGGGTTGGCTCTGGAGTCAATGAAGGGGAATCTGACCTCATCTCGAGTTGATTTGGGGCACATGGAGCTGCTTTGCATTGCTGGCGTGACCTCAGGGCCCGTCTAGACTTGTGACAGTGTTCTTGGGGACTGTCTTGAGATCCAAAAACCAAGTCGAAGCTCCTTACATGTTTGATGGAGATCACAGAATGGCTCTGCATGCAATGCAGGGGAATCGGGCCTCATCTCGCCTCTAGGGGGAAGTCACATGGTTTTTCTCGATTTTCGGCGGCGACCTGGGGAATGTTCTCGAGTTTCAGCGGGGATGGCCCTTCAAAACACGTGTTTATATAGTGATGTCACGACTCCTGTCTAGTAACGAGGGACACCTCAGAAATCTCTTTGAGGCTTGGCAGGGCAAAAAGGGACGCTTCTCGAAGTGAGGCAGGGCACCCAAGGTCCCTTTCCAATAGTTACATGTATTTTGGGATTCCTAACAATGTTCAAGAGGAGTCTTGCATCATCACCCTTTGAAGTAGTGATCTCCGGGTTCCTCTCGATGTGTCAAAGGGATCTGAGGCATTCCGTCAAAATGAGGCAGGGACCTAGATCTTTCTCTAACGTCTCGACAGGGTATCAGACATCCCTTCATGTTGTGAGATGATAGACGAGCCTGTATTCACGCCACTGCAAGGAAATCCGGCCTCCTTTCACGTTAGGGCTTCTCGCTGTATATTCAATTTGAGGCAGCAAACTCGGGGTTCCTCCCACATACCTATTGCTAAGAGAAGCCTCCTCTTTCGGTGTTTCTGGAAAGTTGGCATACGTCTTGAGCCTAAGCCAGGGAATCAGCTCTCATGTCAAGACGATTAGGGGTACAAGGAGCATTCCTCGAGTTGCTGTGCAGAAGTTGGTGTTCTTCTAGACTTGGGACAGTGTTCTCAGGGAATCTCTGGAGTTGCCTGAAGGAAGTCAAACCACTGGTCGTGTTTAATGGGGAAAGGGGGATGGCTCTTGAATCAATGCAGGGGAATCGGGCCTCATCTCGAGTTGATTTGCTGCACATGCAGCTGCTTTTCTTTGCTGGGGTGACCTCAGGGTCCGTCTAGACTTGTGACAGTGTTCTTTGGGACTATCTCAAGATCCATTAATCGAGTCGAAGGTCCTTACATGTTTGATGATGATCACGGAATTGTTCTGCATGCAATGCAGGGGAATCGGGCCTCATCTCGCATCTAGGGGGCAGTCTCCTGGTTTTTCTCGAGTTGAGGCGGGGACCTGGTGTATATTCTCGAGTTTCGGCGGGGATGCCCCTTTAAAACATGTGTTTATTCAGTGACGTCAGGACATCTGTCTAGTAACGGGGGACACCTCAGGAATCTCTTCGAGGCTTGGCATTGCAAAAGAGACGCTTCTCGAGGAGAGGCAGGCCACCCAAGGACCCTTTCCAGGAGCCACAGGGATTCTGGGATTCCTAACATTGTTCAAGAGGAGTCAGGCATCGTCACCTTTTGAAGCAGTGAACTCCGCCTGCCTCTCGAGGTGCCAAATTTATGAGAGGCATTCCGTCAAAATGAGGCAGGGACCTAGATCTTTCTCTAAGGTCTCGAGAGGGGATTCAGACATCTCTTCATGTTGTGAGATGAAAGACAGGCCTGCATTCACGCCACTGCAAGGAAATCCGGCCTCCTTTCAAGTTAGGGCTTCTCGCTGTATATTCCACTTGCGGCAGCAAACTCGGTGTCCCTCCCACATACCTATTGCTGAGGAAGCCTACTCTTTCGGTTTGTCTGGAAAGATGGCATAAGTGTTGAGTCTAAGCTAGGGAATCTGCTCTCATCTCGAGACGATCTGGGGTACACGGACCATTCCTCGAGTTGCTGTGCTGAAGTTGGTGTTCTTCTAGACTTGGGACAGTGTCCTTGGGGAATCTCTGGAATTGTGTGAAGGAAGTCGAGCCACTGGTCTTATTTAATGGGGATGGGGGAAGGCTCTGGAGTCAATGCAGGGAAATCTGGCCTCATCTCGAGTTGATTTGGGGCACATAGAGCTGCTTTGCGTTGCTGGGGTGACCTCAGGGTCCGTCTAGACTTGTGACAGTGTTCTTGGGGACTGTCTTGAGATCCATTAACCAAGTCGAAGCTCCTTACATGTTTGATGGAGATCACAGAATCGCTCTGCATGAAATGCAGCGGAATCGGGCCTCATCCAACTTCTAGGGGAAGTCACATGGTTTTGCTCGATTTTCGGTGGCGACCTGGGGTATCTTCTCGAGTTAAGGCGGGGATGGCCCTTCAAAACACGTGTTTATATAGTGATGTCACGTCTCCTGTCCAGTAACGAGGGACACGTCAGGAATCTCTTTGAGGCTTGGCAGGGTAAAACGAACGCTTCTCGAGGTAAGGCAGGGCACCCAAGGACCCTTTCCAGTAGTCACAGGGATTTGGGGATTCCTAACAATGTTCAAGAGGAGTCATGCATCGTCACCCTTTGAAGTAGTGATCTCCGAGTGCCTCTCGATGTGTCAAAGGGATGTGAGGCTTTCCGTCAAAATGAGGCAGGGACCTAGATCTTTCTCTAATGTCTCGACAGGGGATTCAGACATCCCTTCATGTTGTGACATGAAAGACGAGCCTGTATTCACACCACTGCAAGGAAATCCGGCCTCCTTTCAAGTTAGGGCTTCTCACTGTATATTCCATTTGAGGCAGCAAACTCGGGGTCCCTCCCACATAACTATTGTTGAAAGAAGCCTCCTCTTTCGGTGTTTCTGGAAAGTTGGCATACGTCTTGGGCCTAAGCCAGGGAATCAGCTCTCATCTCGAGACAATTAGGGGTACATGGAGCATTCCTCGAGTTGCTGTGCTGAAGTTGGTGTTCTTCTAGACTTGCGACAGTGTTCTCAGGCAATCTCTGGAGTTGCCTGAAGGAAGTCAAACCACTAGTCCTGTTTAATGGGGAAAGGGGGATGGCTCTGGAAGCAATGCAGGGGAATCGGGCCTCATCTCGAGTTGATTTGTTGCACATGAAACTGCTTTGTTTTGCTGGGGTGACGTCAGTGTCCGTCTAGACTTGTGACAGTGTTCTTGGTGACTGTCTCGAGATCCATTCATCTACTGAAAGCTCCTTACATGTTTGATGATGGTCACGGAATTGTTCTGCATGCAATGCAGGGGAATCGGGCCTCATCTCGCATCTAGGGGGATGTCTCCTGGTTTTTCTCGACTTGCGGCGGGGACCTGGTGTATGTTCTTGAGTTACGGTGGGGATGGCCCTTCAAAACACGTGTTTATTCAGTGACGTCAGGACTCCTGTCTAGTAACGAGGGACACCTCAGGAATCTCTTTGAGGCTTGGCAGGGCAAAAAGGGACGCTTCTCGAGGTGAGGCAGGGCACCCAAGGTCAATTTCCAATAGTTACATGTATTCTGGGATTCCTAACAATGTTCAAGAGGAGTCTTGCATCGTCACTCTTTGAAGTAGTGATCTCCGGGTTCCTCTCGATATGTCAAAGGGATGTGAGGCATTCCGTCAAAATGAGGCAGGGACCTAGATCTTTCTCTAACGTCTCGACAGGGGATTCAGACATCCCTTCATGTTGTGAGATGATAGACGAGCCTGTATTCACGCCACTGCAAGGAAATCCGGCCTCCTTTCAAGTTAGGGCTTCTCGCTGTATATTCAATTTGAGGCAGCAAACTCGGGGTCTCTCCCACATAACTATTGTTGAAAGAAGCCTCCTCTTTCGGTGTTTCTGGAAAGTTGGCATACGTCTTGGGCCTAAGCCAGGGAATCAGCTCTCATCTCGAGACAATTAGGGGTACATGGAGCATTCCTCGAGTTCCTGTGCTGAAGTTGGTGTTCTTCTAGACTTGCGACAGTGTTCTCAGGCAATCTCTGGAGTTGCCTGAAGGAAGTCAAACCACTAGTCCTGTTTAATGGGGAAAGGGGGATGGCTCTGGAACCAATGCAGGGGAATCGGGCCTCATCTCGAGTTGATTTGTTGCACATGAAACTGCTTTGCTTTGCTGGGGTGACGTCAGTGTCCGTCTAGACTTGTGACAGTGTTCTTGGGGACTGTCTCGAGATCCATTCATCTAGTGAAAGCTCCTTACATGTTTGATGATGGTCACGGAATTGTTCTGCATGCAATGCAGGGGAATCGGGCCTCATCTCGCATCTAGGGGGATATCTCCTGGTTTTTCTCGACTTGCGGCGGGGACCTGGTGTATGTTCTTGAGTTACGGCAGGGATGGCCCTTGAAAACATGTGTTTATTCAGTGACGTCAGGACTCCTGTCTAGTAACGAGGGACACCTCAGGAATCTCTTCAAGGCTTGGCATTACAAAAGGGACGCTTCTCGAGGTGAGGCAGGGTAACCAAGGACACTTTCCAGGAGCCACAGGGATTTGGGGATTCCTAACATTGTTCAAGAGGAGTCAGGCATCGTGACATTTTCAAGCAGTGAACTCTGCCTGCCTCTCGAGGTGCCAAATGAATGTGAGGCATTCCGTCACAATGAGGCAGGGACCTAGAGCTTTCTTTAAGGTCTCGACAGGGGATTCAGACATCCCTTCATGTTGTGAGATGAAAGACGAGCCTGTATTCAAGCCACTGCAAGGAAATCTGGCCTCCTTTCAAGTTAGGGCTTCTCGCTGTATATTCCACTTGAGGCAGCAAACTCGGGGTCCCTCCCACATACCTATTGCTGAGGAAGCCTCCTCTTTCGGTGTTTCTGGAATGTTGGCATAAGTGTTGAGTCTAAGCCAGGGAATCAGCTCTCATCTCGAGACAATTTGGGGTACACGGAGCATTCCTCGAGTTGCTGTGCTGAAGTTGGTGTTCTTCTAGACTTGGGACAGTGTTCTCGGGGAATCTCTGGAGTTGCCTGAAGGAAGTCGAGCCAATGGTCGTGTTTAATGGGGAATGGGGAATGGCTCTGGAATCATTGCAGGTGAATCAATCCTCTTCTCGAGTTGATTTGGGGCACGTGGAGCTGCTTTGCATTGCTGGGGTGACCTCAGGGTCCGTCTAGACTTGTGACAGTGTTCTTGGGGACTGTCTTGAGATCCATTAACTAAGTCGAAGCTCCTTACAGGTTTGATGGAGATCATGGAATGGCTCTGATGCAATGCAGGGGAATTGGGCCTCATCTCGCCTCTAGGGGGAAGTCACATGGTTTTTCTCGATTTTCCGCGGCGACCTGGGGTATGTTCTCGAGGTACAGCGGGGATGGCCCTTCAAAACACGTGTTTATTCAGTGACAACAGGACTCCTGTCTAGTAATGAGGGACACCTCAGGAATATTTTGAGGCTTGGCAGGGCAAAAGGGACGCTTCTCGAGGTGAGGCAGGACACCCAAGGACCCTTTTCAGGAGCCACAGGGATTTGAGATTCATAACATTTTTCAAGAGGAGTCAGGCATCGTGACATTTTGAGGCAGTGAACTCCGCCTGCCTCTCGAGCTGCCATATGGATGTGAGGCATTCCGTCAATGAGGCAGGGACCTAGAGCTCTGCTAAGGTCTCGACAGGGGATTCAGACATCCCTTCATGTTTGGGATGAAAGACGAGCCTGTATTCAAGCCACTGCAAGGAAATCCGGCCTCCTTTCAAGTTAGGGCTTCTCGCTGTATATTCCACTTGAGGCAGCAAACTCGGGGTCCCTCCCACATACCTATTGCTGAGGAAGCCTCCTCTCTCGCTGTCTCTGGAAAGTTGGCATAGGTTTTGAGTCTAAGCCGGGGAATCAGCTCTCATCTCGAGACGATTAGGGGTACACGGAACATTCCTTGAGTTGCTGTGCTGAAGTTCGTGTTCTTCTAGAGCTGGGACAGTGTCCTTGGGGAATATCTGGAATTGTGTGAAGGAAGTCGAGCCACTGGCCGTATTTAATGTGTAACGGGGGTTGGCTCTGGAGTCAATGAAGGGGAATCTGACCTCATCTCGAGTTGATTTGGGGCACATGGAGCTGCTTTGCATTGCTGGCGTGACCTCAGGGCCCGTCTAGACTTGTGACAGTGTTCTTGGGGACTGTCTTGAGATCCAAAAACCAAGTCGAAGCTCCTTACATGTTTGATGGAGATCACAGAATGGCTCTGCATGCAATGCAGGGGAATCGGGCCTCATCTCGCCTCTAGGGGGAAGTCACATGGTTTTTCTCGATTTTCGGCGGCGACCTGGGGAATGTTCTCGAGTTTCAGCGGGGATGGCCCTTCAAAACACGTGTTTATATAGTGATGTCACGACTCCTGTCTAGTAACGAGGGACACCTCAGAAATCTCTTTGAGGCTTGGCAGGGCAAAAAGGGACGCTTCTCGAAGTGAGGCAGGGCACCCAAGGTCCCTTTCCAATAGTTACATGTATTTTGGGATTCCTAACAATGTTCAAGAGGAGTCTTGCATCATCACCCTTTGAAGTAGTGATCTCCGGGTTCCTCTCGATGTGTCAAAGGGATCTGAGGCATTCCGTCAAAATGAGGCAGGGACCTAGATCTTTCTCTAACGTCTCGACAGGGTATCAGACATCCCTTCATGTTGTGAGATGATAGACGAGCCTGTATTCACGCCACTGCAAGGAAATCCGGCCTCCTTTCACGTTAGGGCTTCTCGCTGTATATTCAATTTGAGGCAGCAAACTCGGGGTTCCTCCCACATACCTATTGCTAAGAGAAGCCTCCTCTTTCGGTGTTTCTGGAAAGTTGGCATACGTCTTGAGCCTAAGCCAGGGAATCAGCTCTCATGTCAAGACGATTAGGGGTACAAGGAGCATTCCTCGAGTTGCTGTGCAGAAGTTGGTGTTCTTCTAGACTTGGGACAGTGTTCTCAGGGAATCTCTGGAGTTGCCTGAAGGAAGTCAAACCACTGGTCTTGTTTAATGGGGAAAGGGGGATGGCTCTTGAATCAATGCAGGGGAATCGGGCCTCATCTCGAGTTGATTTGCTGCACATGCAGCTGCTTTTCTTTGCTGGGGTGACCTCAGGGTCCGTCTAGACTTGTGACAGTGTTCTTTGGGACTATCTCAAGATCCATTAATCGAGTCGAAGGTCCTTACATGTTTGATGATGATCACGGAATTGTTCTGCATGCAATGCAGGGGAATCGGGCCTCATCTCGCATCTAGGGGGCAGTCTCCTGGTTTTTCTCGAGTTGAGGCGGGGACCTGGTGTATATTCTCGAGTTTCGGCGGGGATGCCCCTTTAAAACATGTGTTTATTCAGTGACGTCAGGACATCTGTCTAGTAACGGGGGACACCTCAGGAATCTCTTCGAGGCTTGGCATTGCAAAAGAGACGCTTCTCGAGGAGAGGCAGGCCACCCAAGGACCCTTTCCAGGAGCCACAGGGATTCTGGGATTCCTAACATTGTTCAAGAGGAGTCAGGCATCGTCACCTTTTGAAGCAGTGAACTCCGCCTGCCTCTCGAGGTGCCAAATTTATGAGAGGCATTCCGTCAAAATGAGGCAGGGACCTAGATCTTTCTCTAAGGTCTCGAGAGGGGATTCAGACATCTCTTCATGTTGTGAGATGAAAGACAGGCCTGCATTCACGCCACTGCAAGGAAATCCGGCCTCCTTTCAAGTTAGAGCTTCTCGCTGTATATTCCACTTGCGGCAGCAAACTCGGTGTCCCTCCCACATACCTATTGCTGAGGAAGCCTACTCTTTCGGTTTGTCTGGAAAGATGGCATAAGTGTTGAGTCTAAGCTAGGGAATCTGCTCTCATCTCGAGACGATCTGGGGTACACGGACCATTCCTCGAGTTGCTGTGCTGAAGTTGGTGTTCTTCTAGACTTGGGACAGTGTCCTTGGGGAATCTCTGGAATTGTGTGAAGGAAGTCGAGCCACTGGTCTTATTTAATGGGGATGGGGGAAGGCTCTGGAGTCAATGCAGGGGAATCTGGCCTCATCTCGAGTTGATTTGGGGCACATAGAGCTGCTTTGCGTTGCTGGGGTGACCTCAGTGTCCGTCTAGACTTGTGACAGTGTTCTTGGGGACTGTCTTGAGATCCATTAACCAAGTCGAAGCTCCTTACATGTTTGATGGAGATCACAGAATCACTCTGCATTAAATGCAGCGGAATCGGGCCTCATCCAACTTCTAGGGGGAAGTCACATGGTTTTGCTCGATTTTCGGTGGCGACCTGGGGTATCTTCTCGAGTTAAGGCGGGGATGGCCCTTCAAAACACGTGTTTATATAGTGATGTCACGTCTCCTGTCCAGTAACGAGGGACACGTCAGGAATCTCTTTGAGGCTTGGCAGGGTAAAACGAACGCTTCTCGAGGTAAGGCAGGGCACCCAAGGACCCTTTCCAGTAGTCACAGGGATTTAGGGATTCCTAACAATGTTCAAGAGGAGTCATGCATCGTCACCCTTTGAAGTAGTGATCTCCGGGTTCCTCTCGATATGTCAAAGGGATGTGAGGCATTCCGTCAAAATGAGGCAGGGACCTAGATCTTTCTCTAACGTCTCGACAGGGGATTCAGACATCCCTTCATGTTGTGACATGAAAGACGAGCCTGTATTCACACCACTGCAAGGAAATCCGGCCTCCTTTCAAGTTAGGGCTTCTCACTGTATATTCCATTTGAGGCAGCAAACTCGGGGTCCCTCCCACATAACTATTGTTGAAAGAAGCCTCCTCTTTCGGTGTTTCTGGAAAGTTGGCATACGTCTTGGGCCTAAGCCAGGGAATCAGCTCTCATCTCGAGACAATTAGGGGTACATGGAGCATTCCTCGAGTTGCTGTGCTGAAGTTGGTGTTCTTCTAGACTTGCGACAGTGTTCTCAGGCAATCTCTGGAGTTGCCTGAAGGAAGTCAAACCACTAGTCCTGTTTAATGGGGAAAGGGGGATGGCTCTGGAAGCAATGCAGGGGAATCGGGCCTCATCTCGAGTTGATTTGTTGCACATGAAAATGCTTTGCTTTGCTGGGGTGACGTCAGTGTCCGTCTAGACTTGTGACAGTGTTCTTGGGGACTGACTCGAGATCCATTCATCTAGTGAAAGCTCCTTACATGTTTGATGATGGTCACGGAATTGTTCTGCATGCAATGCAGGGGAATCGGGCCTCATCTCGCATCTAGGGGGATGTCTCCTGGTTTTTCTCGACTTGCGGCGGGGACCTGGTGTACATTCTTGAGTTATGGCAGGGATGGCCCTTGAAAACACGTGTTTATTCAGTGACGTCAGGACTCCTGTCTAGTAACGAGGGACACCTCAGGAATCTCTTCAAGGCTTGGCATTACAAAAGGGACGCTTCTCGAGGTGAGGCAGGGTAACCAAGGACCCTTTCCAGGAGCCACAGGGATTCTGGGATTCCTAACATTGTTCAAGAGGAGTCAGGCATCGTCACCTTTTGAAGCAGTGAACTCCGCCTGCCTCTCGAGGTGCCAAATTTATGAGAGGCATTCCGTCAAAATGAGGCAGGGACCTAGATCTTTCTCTAAGGTCTCGACAGGGCATTCAGACATCTCTTCATGTTGTGAGATGAAAGACAGGCCTGCATTCAGGCCACTGCAAGGAAATCCGGCATCCTTTCAAGTTAGGGCTTCTCGCTGTATATTCCACTTGAGGCAGCAAACTCGGGGTCCCTGCCACATAACTATTGCTGAGGAAGCCTACTCTTTTGGTGTGTCTGGAAAGATGGCATAAGTGTTGAGTCTAAGCTAGGGAATCTGCTCTCATCTCGAGACGATCTGGGGTACACGGACCATTCCTCGAGTTGCTGTGCTGAAGTTGGTGTTCTTCTAGACTTGGGACAGTGTAATTGGGAAATCTCTGGAATTGTGTGAAGGAAGTCGAGCCACTGGTCTTATTTAATGGGGAATGGGGGAAGGCTCTGGAGTCAATGCAGGGGAATCTGGCCTCATCTCGAGTTGATTTTGGGCACATGGAGCTGCTTTGCGTTGCTGGGGTGACCTCACGGTCCGTCTAGTCTTGTGACAGTGTTCTTGGGGACTGTCTTGAGATCCATTAACCAAGTCGAAGCTCCTTACATGTTTGATGGAGATCACAGAATCGCTCTGCATGCATTGCAGCGGAATCGGGCCTCATCCAACCTCTAGGGGGAAGTCACATGGTTTTTCTCGATTTTCGTTGGCGACCTGGGGTATGTTCTCGAGTTACGGGGGGGATGGCACTTCAAAACACGTGTGTATATAGTGATGTCACGTCTCCTGTCCAGTAACGAGGGACACGTCAGGAATCTCTTTGAGGCTTGGGAGGGTAAAACGAACACTTCCCGAGGTAAGGCAGGGCACCCAAGGACCCTTTCCAGTAGTCACAGGGATTTGGGGATTCCTAACAATGTTCAAGAGGAGTCATGCATCGTCACACTTTGAAGTAGTGATTTCCGAGTGCCTCTCGATGTGTCAAAGGGATGTGAGACATTCCGTCAAAATGAGGCAGGGACCTAGAACTTTCTCTAACGTCTCGACAGGGGATTCAGACATCCCTTCATGTTGTGACATGAAAGACGAGCCTGTATTCACACCACTGCAAGGAAATCCGGCCTCCTTTCAAGTTAGGGCTTCTCACTGTATATTCCATTTGAGGCAGCAAACTCGGGGTCCCTCCCACATAACTATTGTTGAAAGAAGCCTCCTCTTTCGGTGTTTCTGGAAAGTTGGCATACGTCTTGGGCCTAAGCCAGGGAATCAGCTCTCATCTCGAGACAATTAGGGGTACATGGAGCATTCCTCGAGTTCCTGTGCTGAAGTTGGTGTTCTAGACTTGCGACAATGTTCTCAGGCAATCTCTGGAGTTGCCTGAAGGAAGTCAAACCACTAGTCCTGTTTAATGGGGAAAGGGGGATGGCTCTGGAAGCAATGCAGGGGAATCGGGCCTCATCTCGAGTTGACTTGTTGCACATGAAACTGCTTTGCTTTGCTGGGGTGACGTCAGTGTCCGTCTAGACTTGTGACAGTGTTCTTGGGGACTGTCTCGAGATCCATTCATCTAGTGAAAGCTCCTTACATGTTTGATGATGGTCACGGAATTGTTCTGCATGCAATGCAGGGGAATCGGGCCTCATCTCGCATCTAGGGGGAAGTCTCCTGGTTTTTCTCGACTTGCGGCGGGGACCTGGTGTATGTTCTTGAGTTACGGCGGGGATGGCCCTTCAAAACACGTGTTTATTCAGTGACGTCAGGACTCCTGTCTAGTAACGAGGGACACCTCAGGAATCTCTTCAAGGCTTGGCATTACAAAAGGGACGCTTCTCGAGGTGAGGCAGGGTAACCAAGGACACTTTCCAGGAGCCACAGGGATTTGGGGATTCCTAACATTGTTCAAGAGGAGTCAGGCATCGTGACATTTTCAAGCAGTGAACTCTGCCTGCCTCTCGAGGTGCCAAATGAATGTGAGGCATTCCGTCACAATGAGGCAGGGACCTAGAGCTTTCTTTAAGGTCTCGACAGGGGATTCAGACATCCCTTCATGTTGTGAGATGAAAGATGAGCCTGTATTCAAGCCACTGCAAGGAAATCTGGCCTCCTTTCAAGTTAGGGCTTCTCGCTGTATATTCCACTTGAGGCAGCAAACTCGGGGTCCCTCCCACATACCTATTGCTGAGGAAGCCTCCTCTTTCGGTGTTTCTGGAATGTTGGCATAAGTGTTGAGTCTAAGCCAGGGAATCAGCTCTCATCTCGAGACAATTTGGGGTACACGGAGCATTCCTCGAGTTGCTGTGCTGAAGTTGGTGTTCTTCTAGACTTGGG